TAGCATGCGTACAAAACATACCGCCATAAGGACCGACCGTTTGCGATCAGGCACTGGTGACTGAAATTTAAGACAGTCTGAGTCAGAAATGTTTAGATTACGATAAAAACAAATGCACAGGCACATCCACAGCCATACGCGTAAACTGCATCTTGATGATATTTTCGTTATAACCATAGGCTGTCAAAAAAAAGTCAGGTTAACCTAGTTGTTTCGCAATACCCCGGATAATATAAGCTGAAACCGCTTCCTATGCTTTTGCGGTTCTCCTGAAAGTTCTTAAAAAAGCTTTGGTTCAAACTTGACTGGGAACGCGAAGCTTACGTCTCGGACTTTGAACTCTGACAATTTGAAAGATAATGGAGCTTTTATCGAAAAAAAACAAAACAGCTTTCTGCATGTGTCTCTTGCCCCGTGTAATCGTTTAGTGTTCAAGTTGTTTCCCCACTATTAGTAACAATGTACGAACTGGCTCAGCTAAAACCGGTGATTTCGCATAAAAAAAAAAAAAAAAAAGGTCCAGATCGCGCGCTTTAGTTTATATTGTCCGGGGGCGTATGTCTCCATGCTGTATTATTGTTTCGTTCACCCCTTTTTTCGGTGATGAACAGTGATCAAATGCGACGTGTATGGATTAGTACGTTAAAGTTATGCGTGGCGTAGTATTCAGACAAAACGAAATACGGCGACCAAGTACCAGTAACGAAACAATGAGAAAACAGTTTTCGCTACCGATCGTCGGCCACATACTGACGGTACTGTGCTTTGACCGCAGACGGAACAGGAAGTTAGAACCCGAGGTTCGGGAACACGGGCCACGCCGCATCGTTGAGTCCCTCCAAGGTCACATAGGTGGCACGGCCACCTCATAAAGGCGATTCTATTTTTGTTACTTAAAAGATAAAACAATAGTCTGGCCTGTCGAACTGCTTTTAAGATCAGTGTTGAGATTATATCATCTCATAAGCATTTTATGATGGCAGCGTTGAGCTTAGCATTGTCGTTAAAAAATACTGGGGTAGTTTTTAGGTATGTATTTATGAAAACGCAGTGCATGCACACTCTGTCTCCTGGCAGAATGTTGACTGAAAGTCTTACGCTTTAAGCCGGGGTCACACTGTTCCATCAGTGTTGGCGGTAACGCGTTACAAGTAACGGCGTTACGCGTAATGCGTAACTTTTTCAGCAACGTAGTAACGTACTTCTTACCTTTTCAAGACAGTAACGGCTTACGCACCTACGCTAATTAGGGAGTTGCAGTAGATCGTTTTTCTCCCCCGTTACGGTATCCCCGAAGAAAACGCCGCAGCTGCGCATGCGCGCCGCCAGCCTTGTCTGCATAGTTCGAGGTCTTGTGGCGGATTACGGAGCGCTATCCGGGTGCTTAGCGGGCTGCGGAAACGGCCTACTACAATTCCCTATATTATTTTGAGAAACGCTTAACGTAGTTACGTTACTCGTTACATATTCTTCCCAAGACCTGGAAAAAGCACACTTAAATATTTTTTGTGTCTCTATACTTCGTTTTACCTTAACCCAAGACGCAGTCGACGCTAAGCGCTGATGAGATTAGGGAGTTTTCGTAGATCGTTTTCGCCGTCCCGCAAGGCCCTCCGCAACCCGCTACGATAGCGGGAACTCCACAGTCAAGGCTATCGGCGCGCAGGCGCAGTAGCAACTTCTTCGTTGCGGAACGCTTAGCGGAGGGGGCAGCGCGGTCTACGAAAACTCCCTATTAATCGGACAGGGTCAAAAGGGCGCCATCATGGTGGTGGTGTTTGCCTGACGTGAGGTTTTTCTCACTGGCTGTGGAAAAGTTTCACGGGCTTGGGTTATTGCAGTATTGATGAGAATGAATGCAGGGGAAAGGAGGGGGAACAGGTGGTGATGAGAAATATAGGATGATGAAACACAAGTTAACAAATTAAAGTAAAATAAAAAGTCGGCAAGAAATCAGTCAAAAGTGAGAAAATGGGCTCATCTAGAACGCGAGCATCACAGAATGTTCACAAACTTCCCGCAGAAAACTTCACGAGAAAAACTATCACTGGCACACAACCACGAAAAGAGAAGTCGGCGGTCGTATTTTCTCACTCATCACAGCCTTGCCAGAAGCCCACAGGCATCCAAGAAGCTGAACACAGTCTTTCGGAGACGTATGCACATGGATGATGGACCCTTGGGGAATAGCATATCCACGAGGGTGGGTGAAACACCGAGGCTCTTCAGTGAAGCTAGAAGGACGGTTCTTTCTGTATTGTAGTGTCTACATTCAAAAAATATATGCGTCAGCGTTTCTGGTTGATCGCAGTGCTCGCAGAAGGGGCTGGTTGTTTTTTTGATACGGTGCAGGTTCACTTGCGTGTACGCGCAGTCTGTTCTTAAGCGGTGGAGAAGAGAAGCGAACTTCCGTGTTAGGCCACGCGTACAAGCTGGAGGAGGAGGTTCATCAGACGCCACACTGGAAACGGGATGCTTGTGTTGTATCCAAGTCTTAATAGCCAATCTTGGGTCAGAGTGGCTGGGGAGATTCAACGTCGCAGTGGGAGTTGCAGTTTTGTTTTAGAGCGGTTGAGGCCAGATGGTCAGCCATCTCATTTCCGGGTAAGCCAATGTGCGAAGGTATCCACTGTACTCGCAGGTTAGAACCATGGGAGACAAGTAGATGACCCAGCCTAATTATTTCACAAACCAAATCAGGATTGGCGCCTTTGCTGCTGAGGATATTATGCATAGCACACCGAGAGTCAGTTGCCAAAAGCCAGTTATTAGGTGGTTTCGTCGTGATGTGAAGAAGAGCTGCGTGGATTCCACTCAGCTCAGCTGTAGTCGACGACACGGCATGGTCGAACCGTCCTGACCATGAGCAGGGTTCCGATGGGATCTGGTAAGCTGCAGACGCGACATCATGAATGAAGTCGACAGAGCCATCAGTATAAATGGCCGTAAACGAGGAATGCCGAGACGTCATCACCTCCTCTGTCAGGGCTCGACTAACCACACAGGGGTGTCGTGATTTTCCGTGGAAACCCGGGATGTCCTCGTAGATGGTGAACGGGTGCTTGCTCCACGGGGAGTCAACTGGAGGAGAATGGACGGAGGGTATGAAGCCGAGAGCCTCAACTAGAGAGGTGCAGTGACCGCCATATTGTGAAAGATGACGCTGTTGCATGTCAGTAAACAGCGAGACACCACTGGTCGACTCAGCAAGCCGAACGAGATGTTTAAGAGCACGGTTCACAGCGTGTAAAGCTACCGGCATCTCTCGGCCCTCAATCCACGTTGCATCGATTCGGGAGTACGAGGGAAAACCAAGAGCCATTCTTATTCCGGCTCGGTGGCATCGTTCCAGCTGATCCCATAGAGATTGCGTAGGCGGCAAATATGACGCTGCATAAAGAATGCGGGAAAGGTTAAGCGCCCGGTGCACGCATAGTAGGGCTTTAGGGGACGATCCCCACTCAAGTCCACGAAGTCGACGAATGAGAGATGTCGTCATCGCCGTCTGACGTACAAGATTCGTTACGTGCCGACGCCAACATAATCGGGAATCAAGATCGACCCCCAAGTATCGATAGCTACGCATGGTGTTCGTCAAGTTTCTGTACGTGTACTAACATCGCTGAACTAATCATAAACAAGAAAAGGTACAGTGAGTTGCGTTGTTGACGCTGCTTCATTGGTCCTATTAGTGTCGACTACGCCTGGACTTAAGCGCAAACCAAGTATAGACGCCTAGTATTTAATTATTGCACTCATTCCACATACCTTCATAATTTTGCGTGTCTTTTCCCCACGCAAAAAGTTCCACCTCAGCAAAAACCCGTAAGCTCACGCCCTTTGTCCTAGTGTCGGAAAGCGATGTCGTCAAAAAAGAAAAGAAAAAAAAAAGAAAAAACGCTGCTATTGTCAAGTTGTAAATATAAAGTAACGCAAAAATAACGTGCGTTACTTTTTATCGGTAACGGTAACGCGTTCCTTTATTTTTCCAGTAAGGAGTTACGTATTTCGTTACTTTTTCTCGGCAACGCCTACAACACTGATGCTCATACATAATACAAAGACAGTCTGCAAGCACGAATCACAGTAATATCCGTGGTTCGAATGCCGCCTGCCAAGTTTCCTCCTTGAACTCAATCTCGTCGTGACTCGCGTTCGAATCTGTTTGCAGACTGTCTTTGGTATTCTGTATAACCAGTCGGCTTTAGAGTAGTTTCATTTTGTGCGTCAGTCTACAGTGGAGCCTCAGGCAAAACCCTAAAACACGTTTGATTATATTTGTTTGTTTGTGCTTCTCAATGTGCATAGGTTCAGGACAGAAAACCTCTAATGATATATTATTAACATAAAAACTAGTCAGTAACAAGTCCATATCGAAACTAGTTCTTCGTGTGTCCTTCGTGAGTTCCCTCGTTTCCTCACCTTTGATTTCCTTAATTGTTCACATTAGGGCTCGTCTTTAATTAAACATTTTAACACGATTAAACACTAGCCTTTAATCGATAAATCATCAATTAATCGGTGGTTTTGAACTTCAGGCATAATGTGTAGAAAGTGTCAAAACCAGATATTCCTTGTTACTATTTCTTGCCATGTAATCCTTGTCGGCAGCCTCATTTGAAACTTGAAGCTGAAACGCCCAAAAATAAAACAGGGGCAAAGAATTTTAGGAATAGAATATATATTTACATTATTTGTTAAACATGATAATAACTCTGGATTACAAGCATAGATAATGCTAAAGTGTTTCGCTGTGAAATAAAACAGTGCTACACAAATCCGCACTACTAGTAAAGCAAGCATTATTATACTCTCTCCCTCGAAATTTCAAACTAAAGCTCCGCCGATTAATCGGTAAAAAATACTAATCGCGAATAAAACATTGATCGATTAACCGATTAATTAATAATAAGAAAGGGCCCCCAGTCTTAGTTTACATTGTAACTCCGCTTGTCAGCACCTCTGGACTCCATAATAACTGCGAGGTAGGGAGTAAATAAATGAGATATAATTAAACAATTACTTATTTTCATTTTTCTTTCTTTGATTTCAGATAATGAGGGTACTGCTGGCAATCGCCCTGGCAGGTGAGTTCATACGCCCACAGCACACTCTCGTCGCAGCAGAACTCGAACAAGCTTGTAGTGCTCAGGCCTCGTGTTGCTGCTAAAACAAGTTTGACTTCGTCTGTTTTTCGTGATTTTAAACAAATCGAAGAAATTGCTTTGTACCAGGCTTGTGCCCGTTACTTGAAAAATGTAATGGATTACAATTACAAATTACCCAGCCTCAAATGTAATGGATTACCGTTACATGTTACTTTCGCTGAAAAGTACCGAATTACTCGTTACGTTACAAATTACTTTAACGTTACTTTTCCCGTACACTTGTCAAGAAAGGAAAAGAACATATTTTGATGTTTTCAAAAATGGTCCGCAAGACTACGTTTCCATTTCTCGTACGCCCGCATTATGGTAGTGCTCGTAAAAATAGAATATTGTATTTAAGAGAAAGAATGTGGGTGCACTCCCTTCACCTGTAAGGTTGACGGGGCAGCGAAAGTTGAGACCACATTCTTTATTCCGCTAGCTTACGGCCTCCGGAAATGGTCCCTGGAATTCTGCAGATAAAGCTAGCGGTGCGATTGCTCCGTAGCAGCGTCTACCTCCGCTACGAAATGAAAAAGGCAACGCCTACTCGGCGTTGACTTCTTGATCTTTGTTTTTTTATATTTGTATATCGACCAACACATTGTTTAAAAACAAGCCCGCGTTTGCCCACCAGGCGAGGGCACTGCGCGCGCGCAGAAACCAGATTCGACCTAGATAAATCACCTGCGCATGCCCAGTGCCGACAGCAGCGCCACCGCAGCGGCGTGACGTCAGAGAGCGTTTTTCTAGTGGTTCAATGGACCGGTCATACAAAAAAAAAATATCGTGTTTTCTTTTCGGTTATTTCCTTTTTCACGATGCTTTCTATTTTGTTGAACTTGTTATCTTTATGTTGCTGACTTGCCAGCTCACATTGATCCAGTTTGTGTAATATGTTCATTGTTCTAAAAAGTACCGAGTGATTAATGTAATTCCTTACCAATATTAGTAACGAAATTACATTACAAATTACTGCCGCAAAAAAAAAGTAAGGTGGCAGTTACAAAATTACTTGAAAAAGTGACGAATTACTGCTCAAGTCTGTTTTGTACCCGGGAAATATGAGACGTAAACCGCCATATATTAGCGCAACCTTTTCATCGATGCTCAATTTTCTCTAGGATCAAGCACAATATTTTTGGTACACTTGTCGCCGAACCTGGTTCACTGCGGGTTTATTTTTTTTTTTTATGTGCTGTTAAATATTGTTATTTTTAATTAACCTCTGGTTTAAACGTTACAACCAGCGTCACATATATTTTTAATGCTCCGTTATAGCGTAAAAAAAAAAAAAAAAAACACAAAGCTCTATTGAGAAAAAAATATATAAAAGAAAATATATGGTTCGAAATTCCACGAGAAGAATATTGTAACCACGGAAGTGCGCCTTCAAGCAAAAGCCTAACATGCTACTGCCGGCGCAGATTTTGAGCGCGTGTACGCAACGGCATCTTAAATAGTATTCTCCAAAAATATAAAAGACCCATTGGATGCAACAGTGTCAGGCTGCTGGTAAAGATGCAGTGTGGTCAGACCAACATTTCTTAGGATAAGGAAGTAGGTGAACCTTTGTTCCATTCTGTCTCTAAAACTAATCTTTTTGCGCGCTACTTTAGTGCTTCTTTCAGTACAAATAATGGCCTAATGCCTAGCTCGAATATAAACTGCCTGGATTTTTTGACTGTTGCTCCAATTAATGAATCTGAAGTCTTGGAGGCAATTAAAAAATTGAAACCAAAGTTATCTACGGGAATAGATGGAATTCCCAGCTTCATAGTAAAAGGTTGTGCTCCACTCCTTTGTCCAGTTTTGGTTCATATCTTTAACTTATCACTTGCATCTGAAACATTTCCTACCGCTTGGAAGCGCTCTGTTGTTGTTCCATTACATAAATCGGGAGATCGATCCATGGTTAACAACTATAGGCCAGTCTCCCTCCTTTGTAGTTTTTCTAAAGTTTATGAAATTGTTTTGCATACCCGCCTTTACGCATATTTTTGTCGGAAAATTATTCCTGAGCAACATGGTTTCATGAAAGGCCGCTCCACAGAAACAAACCTGTGTTCCTTCCTACATCAGATTGTACCACCTGTCCATAGCGGAGGACAAGCGGATGTAGTCTACTTTGATATGAGCAAAGCTTTTGACAAAGTTAATCACCGATTACTGTTGAGTAAACTCTGTAGTTACGGTCTGTCCCTTAAGTACTGTCGTCTCCTCGATAGTTACTTATCTCATCGGCTTAACTTTGTGCGAGTATCCGGCCGATTATCTGCTCCTTTTTTATCTACTTCTGGGGTTCCTCAAGGCAGTAACCTCGGTCCTCTGCTGTTTTTGGTTTTTGTAAATGATCTAACTTCCTGCATCAAACACACGCGGTTTTTGTTATTTGCTGATGATATTAAGTTGTTTACAGCGGTTAAAACGGTTGACGATTGTAAATGTCTTCAGCGCGATATAGATTCTATTTCGGCGTGGTGTTTTTTAAATGACCTACTCTTAAATGAGTCAAAGACGAAAGTTATGTCCTTTTCTAGGAAGCGTGAAATTCTGAGTTTTCCCTATGTATTAGATTCCACCAATATTACTCGCGTTGAGGTCATTCGTGATCTAGGCGTTTTTATGGATCCTGCAATTAATTTCAACCATCACGTGACCACAATTACGAATGCTTCCTTTCGAGTGCTGGGAGCCATTACACGAGTGACACGCGATTTTTCTAAACCACTTTGTATTTTACGTTTGTTCTCTTCACTGGTGCGTAGTCGTGTTGAATATGCCTCAGTTGTCTGGAACTGTATTGGAGTGACAAATTCAGGTTTAATTGAGAGTGTTCAACGTAGGTTTGTTCGTGTTTTGTTTGATCGTTATTTTCAACCGAATTATTTCTATAGTTATGAGAGGATTTGTGAACTCGTGAAGTTAGACTCGTTGCACAACAGGAGAACAATTCGTGAACTGACATACTTGTATAAGATTGTAAATGGTATAATTGACTCCCCAGAGCTACTCGGCCACATCTATTTGCACGTTCCTCGTCAGTCTTGTAGACTTCATACTTTGTTTTATCCTATAGACTTTTATCATGCTGCACCCATAACACGCCTACAATTGACTTATAACCATTTAGAACAGATTTGTGCGAATGCTAGCCTTGATATATTTGATGAAAAGCGTAAATTTCGACAGTGTGTTGAGGCTATTGTTCTTTCCTAACGTTTTGCTTTTATCCTGTTTAGCGTTGTATTTCTGAAGGAATAAGTGCACCACTAAGGAGGCGTCAAGCTGTTGGTGGGTCACTGAAAATAAGAATAAACATAAACATAAACATAAGGTGCTCCTGGACAAGGTTAGCTTAGCACCGCCACAAGAACTGCCCCGGCGAACGGGTCTTTCGTATTAGTGAGTTTAAGTGTTGCGTATACCACCGAACGCAAGCACTCCGCGTTTCTGTTAGCGTTGCGCGTTTCACACTGCGCGCACGTGGAACCTAAACTGCGGTCTTGCATTGGCGCATGACAACAACGCGCATGCGCAGCGTGGAGCACGCAACACTAACGCAAACACACGGCGCTTGGGTTTGCCCCATACGCAATACTATACAACTCTCTTTTGTGGGAGACTCCACGTTCGGTGCTGCATGGTTCTCCCACGTATGACTCACGACGCCTTCAACATTTCTCCCAATTATAAAGAAGGACGCACACCTCTACACCTCCTACTTTTACTTAGCGGGAAAACATTGGTGTGTGTATGTTTATACAGCCTCTAGAACTTGGTCTTCTTCAACGGGCGACGAGTCTCCCAGCTGTAGATGAGCAATTTAGCCAGTGCAGTACAACCGCCAGCCTGGGGTCTTTAACGTGCATCACGCAGTATAGTGATACACGACCGCACGCCGCTATACGACGCTCATCGATATCGAAACGGGCCCAAGGGTGGGAATCGAAGCCAGAATCCCTCGGTTCTGCAGCGGAGCTTTCGCTCCACGTGCTCCGAGCTGGTGAGCGCTAGTCCACTGGGCCACCGGCCCCCTTACTTAAAGGCTGAACTCCATGGGACGAATATGCTGCGAATAATCGACCAATTTCGTCCGGCAGCTTTTGCTCTGCGGGTGGCATCAGCATAGTGGCTGCCACGTCACGCGCAAAGCGAGCGTGGTGTCGGGCGGCGTTCGTTAGTTATTCGTCGCATAATTCGCTCCATGAAGTTCAGCCATTAGGTATACTCCGTTCACCCTCAAGCTGAGACTAGAAGCTCGGCCTTCAGCGCGAAATCGCCGGCTTCCGCAGTGCTTTCGTTGCGCATGCCTGCGCGCTCACACTTGTGCTAGCAAGGGCAGAAAGCTCGCGCTAAAGGCGGAGCTTCTAGTTTCAACTCAAGAGTGAAAGGAGTATAGTGATGAGCCTTTTATACCGTACCGAATTTTATTTTATTTTATGCTCTGATCTCATGTCCCTTGCTTATATATTTTTTTGTACACAATCCATGCACATAGGTTTATCTTATCACTCTCTACAAGATACTTTTATTCTCCATAATTACATTTTACCAGGTGCGGATTTATGACAGGTCAGGCTTAAAAGAGGGGTTTGCAGAGAGAGATGGCGTCACGAAATCACCCTCAGTCAGTGGTTTTTTCTAGCGACTGGAAGAAGGCGCGCGTATCCCTGCGCATAAATGAGGTTTCAAAAACAACGTGGAAACTTCTAGGCCCATATCGCTTCTGTACTCGTCCTCGAGCCTTATGGAACGTGTTATTTACACTAGCATTATACAACATTAGCACTCTAACAATATTTTCACTCCATTGCAACCTGGATTTCGGCCAGGCCTGTCATGTGCCTGTCATGTACAACTCAAATGGTTATGCCATGGCTTAGCGTACATATATGACTAAGGTCCTCAATGAGACTGTGTTTTCCTCGATTTTCAAAAAAACGTTCAATCTTGTGCCGTGCAAGTTTATTCTTCGCAAAATAAAGGCACTAAACATAGATGATAACGTGCTCGGGTGGCTAGCTGACTACCTAACAGTAGGATCCAAACGGTTAATTAGCGGCGAATCATTTAATTTTATCCCTGTCACTTCTGGCGTGCCACAGAGCTCTGTTATGAGAACACTTTTATTTTTAATAGTTATTAACGACATTGTTGCAAACATTTCGTCTTTATTACGTCTAAGCGCTGATTACAGCGCAATGTATCGTGCAGAAAGTGACCCTAGTGACTCTGTGGCTCTCCAGTAAAACATCGATCGCATAGCGAACTGGTGTTCCACTTATGGCACAGATCTGAATGTTTCAAAATGCTGTTTTGTGCGGCTATCCAAAAAGTGAAACACCGTCGTCGGCGTCTACAACATTAACAACATCGACGTCAATTCCTAGGTGCACGTAATATATTTAGGCGTCTATTTCTCCCACAATCTCTCCTGGAACCACCATATAGAATATATGACTGCTAAGGCAAACAGAACATTAAGCAGCTTCATCAAAGGCAAACTTTAGGAATTGTCATCGGACGGTTAAATACACTCTATACCATCAAACCAGGCCTTGAATATGCTTCCGAACTCTGGGATCCTTGCCAGCAGTACTGAATCAACAGCATAGAAAAGATTTTTAACATATCAGTCAGGCTTGGGTTAAGTTCCTACCGGGTGTGTCAACCTGTGAGTGCTCTGAATTCTGAACTTCATTGGCAACTTTTGCAATCTCGTTGACAATGCTTCCGGCTTAAACTTCTACTCACACACACACACACACACACACACACACACACACACACACACACACACATATATATATATATATATATATATATAAACGAATATGTGCAGATGAATGAACCGTACTTAATCCAATGAATCAAAGAATCAAAGTTTTCAGGAACCCGCCGAAAGCCAAAAATTGGCGGAGCCAGGATATATATATATATAATATATTATGAACAATGCGGTATCAATAAAAAAATACTTACCCTAACGAAAAACCCGGAATTACTTTTCGCTATCTGGATTATGGCACTGGAAATATATCTGAATTCTCACTGGGTTTCAGGTTCTCAGAAATTATTCTTTTGTCTGCAATTTGGATTTCAGATGTTCAGAAACAATTCCAGTTAGATTTTCAGTTCCGTAATCCAGACAGTGAAAAGTTATACTAAAAAAAGGTAAGGCCTTGCTGATCTAAAACTGACATCTTCAAAAACTCATTTTTTTTCCATGCACCACTCGGCACTGGAACGAGTTAACAAAAAATATAATCTCGCAAAAAGAAAACGATGTTATTCACCCCCTGCTCAGTCTCTAACACTCCATATGTATTATAATTTCTATATTTTTTTGTTATTTAGCGGATAAGCATGTACCATAGTATTTCTTTTTTCTTTTTTAAAGATCTGTGTTTGCTGTAGGCACTGCGTGCTTTCTGTTGTGTGTATTGGCGTCATTTACTTGTTTGCTCCTTTTCCAGTATAATGCCTTCACGGGCACTGTGAGGTAACTGAAATAAACAATATAAAATAATTATGACGTTACAGGAAAAGCGTGCCCAGATTTATATTCTTGACTTAATATTGGCCACTGCACCACAAACTAAACATATCTTTCTAAAAAAAAGCTGGTTTATGTCCTATCTTTTTAATAAAAAGGTTAAAAAAGAAGTTTCAATTTTTTTTTCTTTTTATAAAACAAAGTTTAAGTCTTTCAAGGGCTCTGTTTTAACCCCTTGAGAAGCTTAAAAGAGCCCCCCCCCCCCCCCCCCCTCCCGCCCTCCTTTTTTTTTTTTAATCCGCCCCTGGTTTTTACAAGAGTTCATGCTTATGGTGCATCATAGCCTTAGATACTTCTGCGCAATAAAATTTCGATCATCATTATGCTCGTTCGCAGGGTGCCTGCTGGAGCTCGGTTCCTGCCTGATGAGCCCGAGCTACTTCGCCAGTCAGCACAAATCCCGTTGTTTCGTGCCGTATCGGGACAACAGACATGTGAAGATGGGGCAACAGATACCGGCGGGCTTCGCTATGTCCAGCTTCTTGGACAGGCTCGAACTCCTCGAAGAAAAACTGGCAGCTTCTCCAGGCACTCGACCGTTCACACCCATCGACATGGCTGCCTTTCTGCTGCGAAAGTAAGCGCCTTTCCTGACCAGGAAGGAAAAACAAAATGCCGAAATCGCTGCTGTCGCTACGCGGATTCTGGACGAAATGCGCTAGCATTTAGTGCAGGGGTTTTCGTAGATGGTTTTCGCCGTCCCGCAACGACTCTCCGCAACCCGCTACGATAGTCAGAACTGTACAGTCAAGGCCATCGGCGCGCAGGCGCAGTACCGGCTTCTTCGTTACGGAGGGCTTAGTGTATGGGAAAACGCTGTCTACAAAAGCTCCCTACTGACTTGGTGCGCAAAGGCTGGTTCTCACATGCAGCAAAGTGCCGATGTAGCGCTGCTCACGAGTCGTCAGCTACTTACCGTCTGCCATGGACAACAATCTTGAGGGTGCGGTACAAAGCTGGCGAACGCTCCCGTCAGCACGCACTTAGCGCGAGGTCAGCACTATGCTTGGAGCGCTCCGCAGCATGTGTGAACACTGAGCCTAGATTCACGTGGCGTCAATTTCCCCGGTAATTTTGGCGTAGAAGCGCCATTGGTGTATGGGTCACATAACGGCAGGTTACGAAAACGCAATCTGAAGTGGAAATTGAATAGCTGTATAGGTCACGTGACGTGAAGTTTCCCGATGAATTTAGCGGGAAAACGGACGGTGATTGGGTCGCGTAACATCGATTTCTGCGCCAGACTTAGCTGGGAAACTGAATAGACCTGTTTCTAAATTACCCACATATTAACGAGAATGCTGGGAATATAGTTCTATGTGCCACACGCGCTAGCTTTCGCCGTACAAAATATTCAAAGTAGATAACCAAAATAGGCTGTTTACCGATACTCATGCAAGATGCCGCTTGTTTTAGGTTTTTCCTTTATAACAGTTACTGCTGCAGGCGCCAGCACGAGCGGCGCGTAGACCTACATACCCAGCATTCTCGTTGATGCTTGGGTAATTTAGCAATACGTCTTTTGCTATATATATATGCTCCGTTTTATACTTAATATAGACGCTTTGCAGCAGCTGTGCATGAGCGCCGCCATAACTGACCTTCAGTTTTTAGTTCCTCTTATTTAATTTTATTCACTTCATCATTACCATACCAGGCCAGGTTATTGCCATCTTAAATTCTATTGCATCCTTCTACCCAGCATTGGCCTTTCTGGAGGCTTGTCAACACCTGTTTCAGTGGCTCGGTACCTCCATAAGACAAAATAGGGTCAGCAATGGCGGCTGTAATCTGGCGCGTGTGTAAAGCGTCTATAGAACGTTGTCAAAGCTCCTGGCGCGAGAGTGTGGCTTCATCAAAGGTTTCGTTGCGCGAGAATCCCTGCCAATGATCTGCGAGATTAAAGCCGAAGTTCGCACCAGCAGCTTTGACAGCGTTGTACACTTAGTGTGAAACAGAGTATAGGTCTCATCACGTCAATTTTTCAGCTAAATTGAGCGGAGAAGTTGATTTGTGTTTAGGCCACGTGATGTCAATCTTCCTTTTAAATTTTGAGTAGAGGCTCAAATGGTGTATAGACGCTTTGCAGCAGCTGTGCATGGACGCCGCCATAACTGACCTTCAGTTTTTGTTTCCTCCTATTCCGTTTATTTCACTTCATCATTACCATAGAAGGCCAGGTTATTGCCACATTAGATTCAACTGTGTCTTTTTCTAAAGCATCGGCCTTTGTAGAGGATCGTCAACTACCGTTTCAGTTGCTCGGCATCTCGGTAAGACAAGAGAAGGTCACCAATGGCGGCTGTAATTTGGCGCGTGTGTAAAGCGTCTATAGGACGAGATTCTCCCATTAACATAGCCGGAAATACACGTACGAACATAATTGTGGGACTGAGAATTCCCATAAGAATCATTTCATGCCTTAAAATTTTAATATATCTCAATTCTATGAATTAAATATGGAGACACATGTTTTCGTTGTTGTCTATGAGCTTTTCAAAACCCGTTGTACGTATTATCACGATCAATAGGATTTGAAACACCCGATCCGGTTTTTCTTTTCTTTTTTTTTTTTTCTCTGCGTCTGCGGTCTTCACGAGCTTTATTATATCTCAATTTGTCAACGGGTTCGAAGTATGGGACCTGAACTTGGCGCTCCTTTTCTAGTTCGGACTACGGGCTTCTCGAGGACTGGCAGCTAGGCCAAAGAAGCGTGAAGGACTGTTTCAGCTTATATTGACTGCGATTAGACGGTCTCCTACAATATGAAAACTGATTCGTCGAAGTAAAGGAGGCTTCGGCCGGAGGCTCTTTATTTCTATAGAAATAATATAACAAACATTTGTGTATCTCCTCCCCCTAAGCAATGGGGGCCTGTCCAAAGCCAATCCAGTTTGGTCGCCAGAAACTGCCTCATCCAATGGGTCTTTCGTATTGTTGTAGGCTGTACAGAACGTACGACGGCCGCGTGGTTTGTACCGTTCACAGTGACTTCACGGTGTCACGTGACGTGGTCGCGTGGTTGGAGTTACGTGACGTCACGTTGTGGCGTCAGCGACGTTATGCTGATTATGTCACGTAACCACCGCCCGCTGAATTTGGCGGGGGAGGGGGGGGGGGGCGTTTCTCCTCTACGTTTAGCTGAGAAACGTAAAAATGTAGAGTTATAAACTAATTTAATTTCCACTACAAGTTTAACGGCAGAGTGCTTCCCCTCTACATTCAGCAAGATATAAATTGGTGTATACTTACAACTCACGACAAACACATGTTGCACTTCCTTTACATTTCTGCGTTCCTCTTACGTTATATATTTCTGTGGGACAATTTCAATCAAACCCTAGCCTCATATACATTGTGTGCAAAAAAGGCGAGGGTGGTCTATGAGGTAGATGAAAAGATACAAGTATGGCCTTTTCGCCAGATTGTTCTGAATTTAACTTGTATTTACTCACTTCCCCGTTTCACCGGTATGCCAAACAACACAACTGCTATCACGAATCCACAAAGGGACTGAGCTAGTTACGAGAGCACGGTGCTGTCTAAAAATGAAGTTTTCTGTGACCCTCTTGATTAAGAAGAGCGACAAAAAAGGGGAAAAAAAGGACTTCAGTTGTGGCTGCGTATTCTTAAGCACTCTCAGGCCCAGCTGCTATACACCAACTCAACTATCTGACGTCACAGCACTGCGGTGGCGCTGCTGTCGGCACTGCGCATGCGCAGATGCTTCGCTTCACGGAAATCTGGTCTCTGCTCACGTGCAGTGCCAACACCTGATGTGGCCAAACGTCGACTTGTTGGTAAACAGTGTTGGCCTATAGACCAACTCAACTCTCTGACGCCACGCCACTGCTCTCCGCATGCGCGGATGTACACAAATGGGGTTTCTGTGCAGGCTCAGTGCCCCCACATGCTGACGCGAGCTCATTTGTAAACAGTTTGTAACCCGTAAGCGAACAGTTTGTAACCCGTAAGCATGCTTACGGGTTACAAACTGTTCAACTGCACTGTCTGCAGACAGTGCAGTTGAATCCAACGTTATTATAGCTACGAAACTGCTCATAGACACTGCTCGCACGAGCTGTATCCCCCTCCCTCACCACGGCTCGCCTCCCGTCGCTCCACGCGCCAGACGGCTACTATGGTAACTGCAGTGTTTCCTATGGAATATGCACGTTTCGAAGCCGAGCGTCTAGATGGCGTTCCACCGTACTCTATGGAGCACGCAGTTTTAAAAACAAAAATCTAGGTGGCGCTTCAAACGACGGGAGGGGGACGGAAGTGAGTGAGGGGGTTACCCCCCTCCACGGGAGTTCCACAACTCAGGTAATCTAGTAATGTTGGCTGAATCGAAGTGCTCGTTGGACCAGTCACCCGTCCATTTTGAGCCAGATGATCACGCCCCCGCCCATACCCACGAACAAAGAGTGGTGTCATTTGGTGAAATTCAGGCGGTCGATCGGTCTGGCGAGCGCGTAGCTCCCGCAGCCCGGTCAGCTTAATGGTAAACTGAGTATAAGAGTGTTTAGAGGTCCCATATGACCAGTAACCGAAATGTATAAAATGCGCAAAATTAATGCATGTAAACCTCAGATATCCTCGTCTTTCGTTGTTTTCGCTTTCTTAGCTTTCGCTCGGATCTGATTCCTTGAAAACGCTGAGAATCTTGTAAACTGACGGAAAGTCACTGTTCGCATGAGTATGACTTGGTAAACAGCTGGAGCGATGTGTAGGCTAACTTATCGTTTGTTATCGTTCGACAATTTGAAACAACCATGCCAAAGGTTTGTTTTTAGCGAACGCAGCTCCGGCAACAATAGCTTCATCACTTCGTAGGAGTTATAGCCGTGTGCGTTTTACTGCGGTCTCTACAAAGACGAGTAACTGTTTACGCGTTATACACAGGTTCTCATACTACGACTACACCTGGACAAGACTGGGCATCGCCGACATGAGAGATACCAACCACGCCAAAGAACTCATAAATATCATCATGGCCAACCTGCGCGATGATACGATCAACCCGGAGACGCTGCTGGACCAAGACGACATCTGCTTCTTCGTGTTTAGCTTGGCGCACAACGTGAACAGCACTCTCACCTACCAGAAATTCGACACGTACTCCGCAAAGTGAGTGCACATTCGTTCACCTTAAAGGTCAGTTCAGACATGTACGTTCACTGCACTCACTGTGCCTGTAACCCCGGCGAGTGAAGATTGCCGCCACAACCGCAAACCGCCAACAACAGTTCGTTTCACCAAACGCAGCCGAAGCTACGAGCTGATGGAATCAATCAGACAGCGTCATAAGCCCGCTATCCTGATGTTCGTCGTGTTTCTCTACGTGTTCTAACATCGCTGAACTAATCATAGACAGAAAGGGCTCAGTGACTTCCGCTTTTGTCTCTACTTGATATGTACCATTAGCTCGTAGCACCGGCTGTGTCTGGACTGCCATGGTCGGGGCTTAAGCTGAAACGAAGTATAGCATAATCAAAGCCCGTGCCCTAGCATTGCAACGTCACCGCAGCAAGATCGAACGCAGACACAAGTTGGAGGCGACTAGTGCATCGGAGTTCGGCTCGTGTTCAGTAAATGTTTCGAAGGACGCTGGTGCCATCCAAACGTAATGGCGTTGCATGGAGGTAAAGGAAGCTGTTCACAGGCTTTGATTATTCTAGCTTGCATCGACACCACACGGCCGCTGCAGCCTACGCAAGGAGCAGTCGGTCAGTTGTATTGCTTGCAGCCGACCAGTCGCAGACGGGCAAGAGAACGCGGGGATGTCTTGATTGATGATTGATTAGATGCAAGCGACGCATCCGACCTATGGCTGCTTTTTTCGTTGGTTGTAGCGCTTGTACGTGCACGGTTTCTATGGCAACCCGCAGTAAATGGAGTTCCTCATTTATCTGCTTCTTCAGTCAACCGAGCGCACCCACATGTCCGGATGTCTTGACAGTTTATCTCGGGAGCTTAAAAAATAGCGCTGCACATTATGGGCGCAAGCTCGTTGGCTCGTGATTTCTGCGCCAGAGAAGGTGCGCTCTGCCAATGCCCTTCTACGGTGTTTACGGGCGGCCTTTGGTCAGTTACAAATTCACATGAGGGATGATTTTCTGCGAGGGATGGGCGTGACGTCAGCGATCGGCGTAACCAGCGGGGCTCCCTCCCCGACTCAAGCATTCACACGAACATGTTGACTTAAACAGCGCAAATAAGGTAAGGAAGGAAGAGAAATCAGGAAGGAAAGAGCGCTGTTTCTTTTCGCGCTCTTTCCTTCCTGTTGTCTTTTCTTTCCTTAGCTTTTTGCGCTGTTTAAGTCAACATGTCTAACCAACTCGCCCAGCAACACATTTTGGTTCACACGAACGGCGGGGACTCATGCTTCCTGCTAAAAGAAAGATACTCCCTGAATGGGTGGATGCAACACAAAGGACGTGGAGCGAAAACCCAGTTGTATTAGGCGCGGCTTGAGGACGACATTGACAAATATCGAAGACTCCTTCGGGCGCATCGGACGACATGCGCAACAGCGCAAGCCATAACAAGTTAGGCGATCTCGATGCCACCGCCGGCACCTCGCTGAACGAAATTGGTGAAGTTAACAAACAACGGGAATTGAATACCGCCAATAGCAAAAAGACTTCACGCCAAGAAAGGGTACGTTTGTGCAGACCGAGCAAAAGCTCCCTCGTTCGCCTGAGACGCCTCAGTGCGGTTCCACAGAAAAGCCTAATGTTGTTACCACGTGATGCCCATCCCGCGGAGCAAAGGGAAGGGTTCCTTTTCGTGATAATACCTTTATATGAACATACGAATTGTCTGGTAGTTCTATAGAACTTCCAGGCGTTTTGTTTGGGAACTCTGATTGACGCAGTCAGGTGCAACGCTTAGTTACAAGAAAATCTGTACAGAAAGAAACTAAGGGAGAGTAGGAGATGGAAGCGCGCAGGGAGGTTACAGCGCCCAGCTCTGATTGGAAGGATAGTGAATCAACGTAAAGGATAGGTGCCTCCGTCTCTGCACACTGTTCAAACGTAAAAGTAATTGCTTTGTATCGAAATTACGATCAGCGTGTTCTATGTATGTTTAGACAGCCTGAAGTTAGTCAGCCTCAATGTGCGACTTGTCCCTCAGTCGTGGATGAGCAATTTAGCCCGTGCAGTACAACCGCTAGCCCGGGGTCTTTAACGTGAACCACGCAGTAGTGCTACACGACCGCACGCCGGTACGATGCTCATCCAGATCGAAACCGGCAGGGCTGCGATTTGAACCCAGGAGGTCTGAATTCCGCAATGCGATCTTTCGCCCTACGCGCTCCGAGCTGAGGTGCGTTATCCCACCCGGCCAGCAATCCCCCTGACGTTCGAACCCGAGTGTCTGCGCAGGGAGCACCCGACGCACTCGATCGCTCTGATTGGAGGAAGGCAGTTAGTTAAGACAAAGGCAGCTAGCATTTGCGTCTACCCACTATTCCTTCCAATGAAAACTCGGCGCTCTAACATCCCCGCACGCTCTCGTTTCTCTCCATATACGGCGTGTATGTTGGTCTCCTTCTTGCGTTTGTTTACCCCCGATCCGACCTAACGGTGGCGCGAGCTTGGCTGCCTCGTCATCGTCCGTTATCTGCGCGTTCTCGACGTTGCCCTTTGTTCGGCGTGCCCCTCCTTGCGTTCAGACGCGCCAAAGACGCATTTCAGAACACTCGCTCGCTGCATCACATCTAAAACATTCGTGACACGACGTTTCAGCCCAGAGGCACAGGTCCAGGAGACGCCGAGGGAAGAAGGCGTCGTCAGCGTGACGGGTTCACCAGACACCACAGTGGCCATCGGTAGGACGCTGTTCGGCATCGCAGCCGCCCATGACGCGATCCAGGACAAGAGCATCAAAGACGCCATCGGCTCAACGACGGAAAGCACGGCCGGCAACCCCCAAACCGAGAAGGAGGCACTGCTCAAGCCCATCCCAGCCGTCACCGTTGGAGGTGAGACAGCTCGTGTTGTTCACGCTACAATAACGAGACCGTCGGAGTTTCGACGTCACCTACTGATGACGGCCAGGGTGTTTTTACGCAGATTGGACGCGGGTGCTGAGTCGGCGTTCAGCTGTGGCTCGTGCTTTTATTCACTGAGCACGAGTCCCGGCCGAGCGCTGACGCGGTGTTCGCGACCAGTCTCTGCTCTCGTGATAGCCTCCGGTGCAAACGCACGTTTGGCGCTGCCTCACTGGCTCCATCGCGGATCGTACAGTCGGCTGCGGTCAGAATTAAACTGAGGTGCAGCGGGGCATTACCGATGTAAGGTCAACCTGACGTATGACGCGGCGGTCCGTCTGCCTGTCTCTGTGCGAGTCTTTGACACTCTCCTGCCGGTTCGTGTGTGCGTATGTGTGCACGCACACGGCCTTTTCTTGCTTTACATTCCTCCTATTGTGTTCTACTTTGCTCGCAAGGGGACACTAAGCAGCTGAGGAACGAAGTGGAAAGCAGAAGCATAGCGGGATGCTCCAATTTGCTCGGAAGAGCACCACGCGTTTCGCCCAAAACCAAAATCTTTCTTGCTTATTTTTCTTTTTTTTTTACTTTGAAAGAAATTACATGAAAAAAAAAATGGAATGATGCACTTCGTTTCCGTTCAGCCAATCTCTCAACAACCCATCACGTTATTTTTTTCTCTCTCTCTCTCAAACATTTGGCGTCGAAAGGGTACTGGCGGCATCAAAATTTCCCACTTAGGGTAGTACCCCAACTGAGCATTTTCCATTGCTGTAGTAGTTTTGGCGACGGTCCTTTAAAGCTTAGAAGAACAATAGAAAGAAAAAGAAAAAAGAAACAAAGAAGAAAAAAAGAGAGGGAAAAAACGGCGATGACTTGTTCGCGCTAAGTGTCACAGTGTATACGTCTATATAGATTTTGTGTTTTCTGAAGAAGCTTGGTATTCACCTCTTGACACACGAGACGGCTACATGTTGTAAAAATGAGAACACTGCGGCACATACGCTCTTCTGCATACATGTTTCATTTCAGGCAAGGTGGGCAGCGATATTCAAAATTATGTAGGTTTGACCAGTACGGCAGTAGTGTTACATATCTGGAACGAGTCGTCCTTGTATGGAAGCGTCTTGGAGCGCGATGAGCGGACAGCAGGAGAGAGACGGGGTACTGCCATCCAGTAAGACAATTTACAAAAAAGAAAACATCTTTCGGGTTGTATACGGCGAGAAAGTTCGTCTGCCTCTTGCGCAGTGGATACAAAGGCGTTACAGCGCTGAGGTCTGACTAGAAGGATGGCGGGTAGACACTTATCTGCCTTTGTGTCTACCCGCTCCTCCATTCAAAGCCAGGAACGTCGTCGTCTGCTCCGGAGCAGAGGGAACAGTTCAAATTTACCAGCGGTCATAGCTACCAGTGAATGCAATCTAATGCTACTATATTCGGAAGCAACACTTTATGATCGATGCATCTTTCTTTTTTATTTCAATTGATACTGACATTTAGATTTTTAACGCACACACTTGTATTACTTTTTTTTCTGTTCAGATGTCTTAGGAAGCTCCGCTGTCCTGCATTCTCGAGTTCAGCTCCAGAAAAACTTCGGATTGACGGGCGAGTGGTTAGAGTCTGGATGCATGCTGGAGTACAAGCTAACCAGAGCCACCAACACGTCGGCCACCTTGGCTCACATTGCAGGGGCCATCGACGGTAGGTGAACCTTACATTCATCCAGGAGACCCTTAAAGCCAAGGAGGTAGGAAGCTTCTGGAGGCGACATGACGCCACCAGATGTGGAGCCGGAGGGAGATCTCCGGTCTGGAGATCTCCCTTATTTCTACCTCCGGCCTTGGAGCACTGGGAAGACCAAGAAGGAAAGATATCAACAGAGACAAAATTTATTTGAATTCCCTGGGTGGGTTTGGAGTGATTCAGAGGCGCTTCATGCTCACGCCTTTAGTGCGGTAGATGCGATAGCGCGCTTACACGTCCAAAAAGATTCCAACGAAAAAGACGGTTCCTCAAGCTCCTGTAATGGTGTGCCATCTCAAGGCGCATGTCAAAAATGGCAGTGAATCTTTGACACCCTCGATCCGTAGCGAGGCGGTGCCGTTCAGAGGGCTGTCTGTTCTTCCACTGTGGTCCTACAGACCCCTTCACAAATGACGTCCTCTTATGGTCGATCTGAAAATACTGCAAAATGGTGTGCTCAAAAGACACCGCAAGAACGGCAAGCCTATCAGTTGTATACAGTCTCTTGAAAGTGAGTATTATGTTATACTCTGTTTCACCTTGGGTTGTACCGCAGGAAAGGCTACAAGCGCGAGCTCCTTGCTCTAGGGCACATGTTGGCGGCACAAGCTCTCGTGCACCAAGGGCAGCTGCCAACGCTATGAGCTCGTGCTTCTAGCCTTCGCTGCGGTACAACATAAGGTGAAACGGAGTATAGTTACTCACATTTTCCACAAGGCGCAGCCATTTTGAGTATCGTTAGCTTCTGGTATGCGGTAAAACATCGTTTTGATCTGTCCACGCCGCTGGAAGGTGTTAACAAAAAATGCGTGGTTGTCACACATCATTGTTTTACCTTACGTATATTTTCTCGCATATTTCACGTTGAAATGCTTTATTGTTTTTTGTACCGCATACCGGATACTGAACCCGCGTGACTGAAAACGTTGGTGCGTCTTTTTTTTTTTTTTTTGCTTTTGCTTTTGCGCCCGCCACTTTGCAGTATTTTTAGATGGACCGCAAGAGGACGTAATTTTTGAAGGGGTCCATCAGAAAGCGCAAATGTGTAAACGGGCTTTAATATATATATATATATTTTTTTTTTTTTTTAGGTCTTATACTTGGCACGGAGCTGAAGTTGCCGAACTCCCAGCTCCGGAACTGGAACCTGAGCACCATACTGCGCACGTACTACGGGCCTCAAGGTATCCAGTCGAGCGGCAATCGGCAGCTGACCCACTGCCGGCGCCAGGAGCTCTTCAACAACCTGAACAACGCCGAGCTGAAGCAGCAGGTGGTCTACTTCAGCACCGCCCTGGCCTACAAGGGCCTCATCGCGGATAACAGGGAGAGGGAGGCAAAGGAGGCCGTGGACAACATCATGGGACTCCTCAACAACAAAATGGGAGATCTTTCCAGGTGTAAGTCGTCGTTTGTACAAGGGATCCACCGCCTAGAAGACAAGGCCTGTGCATTGCGTCATCTTTTGTAGAGACCCGCCCTAAGCTAGAAACAGGCTGAAGCTTGGAAAGAGCCAAAACGGCAGAAGCGCTCATCTGGAGTAGACCCATGTTAGTTGTGCTAGTTGTTAGACGTAGTGACTCTAGTGAGTCGCTACGAGACGCACCATGGCAGCAACGTTGACGCAAGCTAGGCGGCACTGCGTGGATCCACTATTGGCGACGTGCGCGATCGAAAGTGTCGTTTTGGTCGGCCTGCCCCGATTGGCCGAATGCTTATTATGACGTCAGCAAAGGATCTCTTATCGGCGGAAACAAGAGGAACGTAAGAACTTTAATTTTGACGGTTCTTTAGTGCTGCTTTGAAAGCAAAATGATTTCAAGCTTCCACCATGCTAATTACAAACATCATGGAACTTTTTGTTCCCAAGGTGATGACGTCACGATAGGGTACAATAGGAGGGCGCCACCAAAACATCTCGCCGACGAGGGGAGGAGCAGGCTTTGTGTAAAGAAAATACCTTGAGCATGGGTAGACGCTCTGCACGTGCTCGCCTTGCCGGTATATAGTATTCGAAGAAAATAATCAAAAGAACGCCTCGAGGAACGCACGTGCAAAGTGCTATATCTTCAGATTTTTTGCTTTCGAACATTTAACTGCTGCAGACGCCTGCACGTGACGCGCGTAAACCTGCCTTCCCGGCGTTCTTTTTGGTGTTGGGTAATTCGGGAAAAGGTCTATTGACAGCTTTATTTGAGGGATGTGCGAATAGTAGATTATGAGTTCGAAGCGAATTTAAGTGAAGAGTGCGTTGGAACGAATATCTTGGAATCGAATATCGAATAGTTTTTTTCCGAGCCTTTTATTGCTGCTGCACCATGCCTAAACGAAAACCTGACTGAACTCGTGAAGGTTGTTCCCAAGTTTTTGCTTGTTCATTATGAAGCTAAGTTCATTTTTATTCAACCATATTTACGGACTGTGTCCTCAGAAAGTTCAGTGCGTACACTGGGATGGCAAGTAAACGACGGATTTGACATGATATTAAACCAAAAATGATGCCCATCTATATATATCTAATCAAAATAACGTATTAATCTCCTCGCTATATGCGAATATCCTTTCTTCAATCTCAAATTCTAAAGGGGGAAAAAAAACACAAATGATGAAGATAGGTTGTCAGGGCATCTCTGCCGGAAGAATACTCTTTCATAATAGCCACAGTTTAATTTTGAATTTTTTTACCGCAATGTAGATATCAGCATTCACATGGTTCACGTTTACTTTTAAATACACCACGAGCCCTAGTGCACCATCCCGCTTTGAAAGTGTGTTTATTTGTACTTCTCGGTGTTTTGATCGCGGCCGGTTAGTCCCGTTGAGCGAGCTTCTTACCGAGCGCCGGTGAACTGCGGGGAAGCAACCCCAGCGGAGCTCGCTTCCGCGGGGTGTTGCTTCTCCACAGTGCGCCGGTGCTCGGTTAGAAGCACGCTCAACGAGATTAACCCAGCATCAAACACTTCGAAAAAAAATACGAATATCACAGTTCTTCTCCAAGCGAATATCGAATAGTGTATTATTCTAAACCACAATTTAAAAAAGAAAGAATATTTGCATAATCCTACTGGATTTTCTTGATTGGGCTAAAACTAATATAGGAAAAACGTTTCTCTTTTTTTGCTTTGATGCAGTTGCCAACGATCGTGACATCTGCTACAGGATTACGGACGAAAACGAACGTACGTATACTATAACTATTATTATTATTATTATTATTATTATTATTATTATTATTATTATTATTATTATTAGTATCCAACAAGTTGGTAGAGGTGACAGGAAAAAGACTCATGTACAACTTGATTTTCCCCAAGCCCATTTAGTAAAAGAACATGTACCAAATATGTCCATTTATTAATTTACAAGTAACCAAAAAAGTTATCGGCGAATATATGCAATAGAAGAATATTGTCGATATGTACATGTAAAAAAAAAAAAGTCTTACCAACGCGCTCCCTTCCACATACTTTCGTGTCTTCTGTATTCTTACCAGGATTTTGAGTAATACATCCATACACGTGCTCGGGTTTAAATGAAAACAAGAATGGGCATAAAAAAGAAGGGCGAAAAAAATATTTTAATGGCTTAACGAACAGCAACGCAGCAAGCCCTTAAATTATTTCGAAATGTTCACCTTTAAGCCGGCTGCATACAGATTCGAATGCTAGTCACCGCGACATTTGTGCTTCGAATTCCGCATGGCAGTGAGTTCAAGGAGAAACTCTGCAAGCGGCATTCGAATCACGGTCATTGCTGTGACTCGTGTTTGCAGACTGTCTTGTGTATGATCTATGAGCAGTGTGACCCCGGCTTTAGTCTCCACGCGCATCCGTGATACAGGTTAATAAATGGCCGCGCCACACCAGGTGAACCTTTAACGAACTTCACCTACAGACCGGAATAAATACATTTTGCTGGCAATGTTTTTTTTTTTTTTTTTGGTATGCTAGATTACGAAGTGATTGGGCTGAACTAGACAAAGGCCTAAAGAACTTTTCCTAGTCTAAGTACAAGGAGTGAAACTGGCGTTCTTATCTCTTCCTCCCTCTCAGTTTCTCTCCGTATTGGTACGATGTGGGATGGTTTCGAAACACTCGCCCCTGACACGTTCTCCACAAATTATGGTAGCACAGCAGCAGTTTGTCTTCACTGTCATCGAAGTCACTACCAGACAAGCAGTAGATGTAAAAATTGAGCAGGGAAGTGACTCCTTGCCTTCATACAAACGAAAGGGCACATGAGTTGTGTGCAGGGGAGTCGAAGGCACCGACGGTGCAGCGCAAGTTCGTCTGCTTCTTGACCAGGGATTGCGGTGACATCGGAACGCCGAGCCGTGGTTGGCTCCGATTGGAAGGATGGTGGGTAGATCCGAAGGCAGCTAGCGTCGAGGACTTCCCACTATCCCTCCATCAGAGCCAATCAGAGCTCAGCATTCTGACGTCAGTGTGCGCAAGAAGCAGACGAACTTGCGCGCGCAGCCAAAGCACGGTAGAAGGCATGGAGCGCGTTCTGGAGGTCGGCCGTTCGAAAGACACGTCCTGCCGTTCTCTCTCTGTCAGTGACTATGAGAGTTATGTTCACGCTATCTACACTCCGTTTCACCTCATGTTGTACCGCAGCGAAGGCTAGAAGTGCGACCTCATATCGTTGGGAGCTGCTCTTGACGCACGAGAGCTTGTGCCGCCGAGATGTGCCCTAGAGCAAGGAGCTCGCGCTTGTAGCCTTTCCTGCGGTACATCATAAGGTGAAACAGAGTATAGTACCCGCGCTATGACAGAACCTGCCTCGGATCACCCGTTTGCGCTCGTGCGTCTCCCGATGCAGTACAAGCTTTGGGAAATAAACAACAAATGGAAATAGTAAACAAAAGCACGCAAGCTGATGATTATTAACATTATTTTAAAAAATCGGACTGACTCTAAGGACGGCGGCTATTTATGAAAAGAATATCATTAAACACTAAGAGTTTAAGTATAAAAAAGAGGGTTTCGACAAAAAAAAAAAAAGTCCTAGCTAAAAAAAAGAAAAAAGATCTCCGAAGTCAGAATTTTTTGTTTTGTTTTTTAATCGATTCTGTATTAAAACCTGGTTATATTTTATGACCTCATGTTTTGAAATCAAAAGAAGCAGAATTAATCAAAAAGAAATTTAAGAGCTATATCTTTAACCCAAATGTTGAAAACGAGGTATCTATGTGTACGTGTATTGGCTATTGCTTCTAAACAGCTCCCACCCCAATTTTAACGTATATATCCTCTTCCAGCGCCATGTGAAACGCCCACCGACCTGTACCTGGTGCTCGACACGTCGCAGGATGTCGCCACCAACGAGATCTACAGGAAACTTCAGAGCGAAATCCTTGGGTGAGCCGTTCAAGGCGAAATTCTGACACTCACTGATTTGCCTCAGAATTGGTTAACTCATTTAATACATAAATCCCACGTGGCAACCCCAATTACAATCCACAATAGGGTTGTTTGTTTGTTTGTTTTTCCTATAATATGGAAGTTTGAACCTTGGTCTAAAAGGCTGCAAGGCTCTACAGGTAATACTAAAAATACGACGTGAACTGCTTGAATGCTGCGGCACAGCTTGTTCCAGACATACATGTTACAAGAAGTTTGAGAGTGTGGAATGAATGATGGGGAAAGCTCACGCCAGTAAAGCGAAAAAATAAAACGAACATAATACTGCGTTTTTGTATACTACCTGTTCGACTTGCAAGTAATACTAGCATTTGAAGTAACCGCACTGGGCGCCCGGGAAAATTTAAATGTCGGTTACGGCGTAACTTCCATTTACCGTTTTCTCAATAGCTATTTTGTATTAAGAGATAATAAATAGCGTATAAGCAAAAGTAAAACCTGGGTATTCCGAATACGTGTTTAGTTCAGTAAGCTTAGAAAAACGCCGGAGCTCCACCATACAAAGGTACAATGAAACGTTTTCCTCGACCTCGTTCAACGCTGCCTAAACGTACTATCCATGTTTATATTAGAAAGCTTTATCGTAGCGTTACTGCTGCACCGTTTTAAGTTGCAAAATATTCCCTTTGTCAGTCGAGTTATTTATTACTTTAGCCTCTGTGACATGACGTGAAAGCCACCTGACGCAGTGTGATTTAATGTGACTCTGTCACATGACGCGACATTGCGTTACATTACGCCACGACACAGTGCCACGTGACGCGACTATGCGACGTCACAGTCATGGGACGTCACATGAGTGCGACGTCACACGACGTTACAGTGTTACGTGCCGTTCTGGTGGCACGTGACGCTCGTGTCACGTAACTTCGCGTCATGCGATGCCGTGTCGCACGAGGTGACACTTCGTCAATTATGCACCAGTTCACGTATTGCCGCTAAACTCAGCGGGGAAACGCTTCCCGATAAAATTTGGCTATCGAAATGCTTCAGACGGAGGCAAGCGATTTTATGGTTCGCTGGCCCCAGAAATGCCATTGCATCGAAAAATAGCCGCTCTCATTTCCGAAACCTCACAAGCGAAATTACGCTTCAAGCCCCTTACACCTAAACATGGCGATGCAGCCCGCTGTGACATCCTGATCAGATACACGTATTGTGTAACCGTATTCGGTGCAGTTGTTTGTTGCGCGAAACCCGTGGATGTCCCTTTTCAGGGTCATCACGCGACAGCTGAAGTTCGAGAACGGCGTGAGCACCCTGCGAGTGTACGGGAGCAAGAGAGACGGCACCCTGCTGCAAGAACTCGCCAGGCACAGCGCCGCCGGCGGATGTCCCGCGTGCGCGGCTCTGTTCCTCACCGACATGGAGAGAAGTACGTGTAGGGTCCTTTTTTAATTTCCCTCGGCGTGCTGTCGTCTTTGTCTACTGGGACAACACTGAATAATCATAGCATGTGGATAGCCTCCACTACTTAACGCCATCACACTCGGGCGGCGCCAACTCGGCAACTGCGTCCCTCGACGCTTTGTCTGAACTCGAGGCCGTACGCTGCGATCATGTCCAATCGGTTTCTGCCCTCGTTATCATTGTGATGACGTGGCTTTGATTCTTATTCTTGACTGGGAACGTGTTCTCCGCATGAGAATAGTAGTTCTTCCAGATCGCTGCACATGCGTCCGCGCTCCATTGACACGGCATTTTTCGTCAGGGAGATAAGCGCTGGAGAATTGCATGTAGAGCGTTCCAATGGTCGCCTTCTGCAAGCTTTTGACCACTGGGCAGTGCAACGCGTTCTCAGTGTGCGATTAAAAAGAAGAAAAAAAAAAGGGGGAAAATAGGTACAGATTCGGCTCACTAGTCAGTATGATAATAATGTTTGTGGGCATTCCAAAAACGCTCTCGTTGCGCTCTCGTGGTTATGAAGGTATGATTAAACGGGCATTTGTAGATTCCAAACTGTTTCATAGATTTTCTACATCAGTAAATTACCAATTTTATCTAGAATAATTTACGTGATCTGGAATGCTATCTGGGGCCGCCTTAATTAATGTTTTACTTTATGCGTTTTGAAAGTACGCTTTAGTGACTTAGGGCGATTCAGACATACATCGCAGCGCTAAATCAACACTCGGAAGAGCGCTGATGCAGCTAGTGGCGCACCAACTTGTTTTTGAGTGTGTGTGTGTGGGGGGGGAGGCAAACCAGACCCCCCCCCCCCCCCCAAGTGCCGGGGGCGGTGCTCTAGGTATCCCTGTGGCACCGCCGGCGAGCGCTTGCCCTGCCCAGTGGCGGCTGCTTCAGGGGGAGAGGCAAAACACATGCCTTGCCCCCCCCCCCCCCCACTCAGACAACTGGGGGGGGGGGGGGGGGGCAAGCGCCCCCCTTGCCCTCCCGGTTGGTACGCCCATAAATGCAGCGATGACTTGAGCGTAACAATTAGCCCCTATGCAGCGCCGATAAGTGGAGGGCCGTTCGTATTATGTGCTTACTAGCCTTTGTCAGCTTTTCCCCTCTTTCCTTTTCATATGCAATGTTCGAATTTCCATTTTAATAACCTTTGGTTGTGCTGACGCGGTCCCATTGCAGATGCCGTGGGGGCCGACAGTGAGACGGATGTCTTCAATACACTCAACGAAGCCATTACGAATCACAAAAAAGCCAGGGAAGAAATGCACGGTGTTGCCAGTAAGGTGCGTTGCCTCCGTCAAGCTGTTTTCCAGCGTAAACCTGAAGCATCGGCACTTTCACTTGTCTATGGCGCCTGGAACGCGTCTCCGACTGGTGTTTTTACCACGCCCTCACAAATAGTCCCTCCATTTTCGCCTTATGACGTCATAGATGTGTCATGTTGTCGCCGGCCGCGATCCTGGCGGTGTCACAGCAGTGGCGGTGGATGTGGCAGAAACCTGTTCTGCTCCAGGTCGCTCTCGAGCTTAACAGACCACCGACGTTTCGGCAGCCATGAGTTGGGACCCCACGACGACAGCGACACTCGCGTTCCCTTGCACTTTTTGCAGGGCCTTATGGCGCCCACCGCCAGGATCGCGACATCCGACAGCATGACGGCTAGGCTTCTGTGACGTCATTTGTTGCCAATTTGGAACCACTTTTGATGTATGGGCGGGTTAGGACGCTAAACACACCACTCGAAGCAATGGTGTATCCAAGAATGTTTTGCAGGGGAAGGGGGGGGGGGGGGGGGGAGGAGGAAGAGGAGGGTGCTGGGGGCTGCGGTGGCTCCGTGACTTGAGGTGCCGAGGTGGGGCAGTGGGGAGAGGAAAGAATGAATGCATGTATTATAGAGTCGACAGGATTTCGGCTTGGGGGGGGGGGGGGGGGGGGGGTTGAAGCCTTATAAGCCTCCCCCCTTGCTACGCCACTGACTAGAAGACGCGTACCACGCCGGCACCGTGTTTCCAGTTCTTCGCCGAGCATGCAGACGGTGAATCGCTGAGATTGCTGAGCAAATGACAAAGTCCGGATAATGGCACGGCCCGAAATTTCGGTTCACGCTGACACGACAGTCCAGACGCAGCCGATGCTGCAAGCTGATAGGGCCAAAGAGCAAGCGCCAAAAGCGCACCATCATGGTGTTTGTCATGTTTCTGTGCGTGTTCCATAATCGCTGAACCAACCATAAACAAAAAAAAAAGCCTAGTGACTTGCGCTTTTGACTATGCTTCATTGGTCCCATTACCTCTTAGCGTCGGCTTCACCTGGGCTGAAATGAAGTACCAATGTTGGGAAATGTTTAACCTGCATTAACACTGAAAGCAGAGTAATTCAAGCGTGTTTCGAATGCTCGTATTTTACTACAAGTACATTTCAACAGCGTGCAGTTTACTGAGAGTACGTTTTAATTTCTGGCACTCGGCAAGTAGAATATAGTTGACTTCCCGGTCGATTTCTGAATTCGGTCAGTCATAAAATGGCACTATCAACGGAAGCGCTTAACTGACCTTCACAGGTCCTCGTTTCATGTACCATGCGGTTGAGTTCCCTTGACATTGTTGCAGATTAATTCTCAGCCTATTTTAGTTTGCTGATTTTTCCTTTTATACGGCTTGGAATTTTCAGGTGATCGTCTATTTTAATCTGAGAAAGCCCACGGGTTCAGGATCTCAGGCACAAAATCGCCAGCTGTCAGAAGCCCTCAGTAGATTCAGAGTCACACACTCAGGTAAGTTAGATTCACTTGGCAATGTTGGTTAGGCCTCCAACACAAGCTTTGGAGGCCACGAAGGTGCCTGAATTATGCGGGTCTTGTCAATGGGGAGTTAAGTTAGTGTTGTATTAGTGATATCGATTAGTGATATTGAGAGGGAAACTTTCAACCGTTCTCGTAACTAATGAGAAACACATAACGCTGCAGAATACACGCACGGGAGAAGAATGCTTATAAAAGCAGAACCATGCTATGTTATGCTATAACGGCATATAATGTCGGTTTATCTCGCATAATACACGTCTTTATCACGTTTTGTTTTTCCCCGAAAAAAAAATATTTTACTTATTGGAAGTAAATTTGAAAACAAAACGAGTACATTCGTTATCAATCAAATATGTCAGATTTTCTTCAGAAATATTCCTTCGCCGCGGGGATACCTGTTTTCTACGCTGAAGATTATGGTCACCCTAATCATTATAGGAATATTTTTACGTGCAGCAGATTTAGAAGCAACAAGCGTTAGATGCAGTTTTCTCATGCCCGGCAACAACAAATACAGACGCCGCCTTATACAGTACTTGACAATTCAAGGATATTCATTCGCAAATAATCGCATCTGCAATTACAACAAAAAAAAAAAACACGACATGTATACTGTTTTGTTTTGGACAATATTTCTTGTAATGCATAATAAATGCCAGTTCAATGGATGTATCTCCGAGTAAAAACGATTGGCACAGGTCCTGATTATTCGAGATCGTCGCTAAGACAGACACGGCAAAAGCAAGTGCCAATGCGGCGAACACCCTTCATGGTGTTCGCCTCACTTCACCGTTTCAACACTCTTTTTACACCCTTTGAAATGAAGGGTGTTCAATGCGACGGCATTCTATTTTACAATTGAAAAAGGTGTGTTGGGTCCAAAATAAGTAGCCATGGGGACAGCATTTTTACCTTATTAGGGGTGTAAAATGACTTAGTGTGCGCTTTCCAGTGTCGCGATACTTCATTAGTTTACACCGTAGATAACTAAGGAAAAGAAAAGAATATCACCGCTCAAAAGAGAGTTTGACAAGCACAGCACCTAGAAAAGCACAATACCCTCTTCTTACTTGTCCTGGCATTGTTGGCCTTGTGCTTTTTATATGAAAGAGGTCAGCGGCGTAGACTTTCCATTTTCCCGGGGGGGGGGGGGGGGGGGGGGGGGGGAGGGGGAGGGAAGGAGGGAGGGGCAGAATGAGAAGTTCTCGGGGGAGGGGAGGCGGGGTGCTGAGCGTTACCTTTTTGCCAGAACTGGACATTGAAGCTAACGAAAGCATGCTGGGATTCTATTTCCCATGTATTTTGTCAATAAAGGCAACGTGGACGTTATTTTGTTTACATGTCACTACTAGAAGCTCGTTACATAGCACGTAAACAGCGTCTCGGTAAGGATCATGGCCCGGGCCCAAGAAAGGGGGGGGGGGGGGGGGGGGGGGTGAGAAGCACGGGCCCCGATGCCCCCCCCCCCCCCCCCCGAAGTCTACGCCTATGAAAGAGGTAATTACCGGGTGTTCGAGAAAAAAAAAAAATTTTTTTTTTCTTGCCGTAAAAATAAACAACTCATCGCCGAATCCACAATCCAAAGTTTCGGAACAATATCGCTATATCTATCAAAAACGATTAGCGACCTTTTCTTTCTTTTTTTTTTTTTTTTACATTTTCATTGCGAAAATGGCGGTCACCGAAGATCGCACATACGTATAGACATTTGACACAGGAAACGGGACCCATTTTTTCATTAAAAATTTTCCAACATCGCTTGTAACTTTTGCATCGAACAACAGTACGTCCTGAAACTTTTGCCATCTGGTCCCAACGGCTGGAGCTACTTTGTGGCAGAGACAGGGTGTTCAGCAACGCATAGTTTAGTTTTGTGGCGAGCAAAACGCGGTTGTTTTTTCTTTTACACACCCGGTACGTCTTTCACACATAGAAATAATTGTTCACTTGCATTTTGAGGTTACACTTGCCGCTGCCATCAGTACGCGTATTTCCCCGGTCTATTTCTCCCAGACGTGCCCATATTTGCTGTCGGCTTGAAGGAGACGCTGGACGCGCTGAACGCTGGCTCGGCGGCCCTCACCGTGGTCGATATCTCGCAGCTGACACAGCTGGTACAGCAGGAACCGTTGGATCTCAAGCCCGTCAAAGAAAACAACGAACTCAAGAGCCTCGTAAAGAAGATATGTCAAGGTAAACCAATACATTCAGCCTGTGTATTAGCTTCTGAACGGCAAATATAGTCACCAAGGCCTTACTGTGTTTATATCAATGTAGTAAGAGAGAAACATTTGAATTGCAGTAATACTACAACAAACGCCGTTGGTTGGTCGGAGGGCCGTCCGCGGGTAGTAGACATGTCAGAAAATTATGTGAACACTTCCTAGAAATTTTACAGTAGTTTCTAAGGCATCTAAAGGGGCGGTGCAACGCTTTTTGTACTTTATGCAAATACCGCTTAGAATTAATATCCGATGTTTATAGTAATAAAAACGCGTTAGTTTTTCTCCCCATGCAATAATATACGCAAAAAAAAAAAAATGAAAATTGAGCAGCGCTTGTTTTTTCAACCCAAAGCCAGAACAAGCGGCCACGTGATCTGGAGGAGATTATATGCCACCAATGTTGGTCATCGCCACGCGCTGGGGTTGGCAAGCCACAGGAGACGCGCTGCGTTCCAGACGTTGTTATGGTTCGGCTATTAGCGGCGAGATGTTTCGGTGGCGCCCTCGTTTGGTTACCTTTCTTGACGTCATTACCTTGTGAACAACAAGTTCGATGGTACTTGTAATGGGCATGGTGGAAGCCTGACATCATAGCGCTTTCAAAGCAACACTGCCAACACCGTCAAAATTTAAGTTCTTACATTCCTCATATTTCCGTCGATGAGATATCCTTTGCTGACGTCATAGTCAGCATTCGCCAATTGTGGTGGGCCGACCGCAGCGACGCTTTCGATCGCTCACGTCGCCAATAGACCTTTTTCTATATTACCCAAGCATCAAGGAGAATGCAGCGATTGGTGTTCCACGCGCCGCACGTGCTGGCCTTAGCAGTAGTAACTTTTCTAAAGCAAATACCCAAAACAAATGGCACCTTGCACGCGCGTTCGTCAACGACTTTTTTTCAGTTTTTTACTTCGAATCTTTTATACGGGGAAGGCGTGCGCGTGTGGCGCGTGGAACACCAATCCCTGCATTCTCCTTGATGCTTGGGTAATATAGCAATAGGTCTATTGTCGTCATTGAGACTTTCTGTAAGTTTGTCTCAAATAAACTAATACAAACAAACAAAACAAACAAATATTGCAGCGATTGGACAAGAGCCACTACCTGAATGCTTGTCGAGCTATTGATTATCACGAGCTCAAATCGAGTGCCCACGCAATGCTCGGGTTTAATCTACGAGCCGCATTCAAACATCGTCACAGGGGGAATGTAGCGACACTGCGAGATCCAGGCAACGTTATCATGTTTCGCGAAGGAGAGATGGAAAGAAAACACTCGCTTTTCTCCCTGAAATTACAAGGCAACAAAGACGTTTCTTGGTCAGTGACGTTCAGTGCGAGTATGCTCGGGCCCAATTAGTGCATATAAACTTGTGTAGAAAAAAAATCAGCAGAATATTGTTGCACTGCTTGTTTAATAAGGAAACCTTCACGCAGTTCAAGACGGCACAAAATGCTATCACGTTTCAACGACAATCTGCGCTGCAATTTCGGAGGCCTTTTTGTCATTCTTTAAAGGGATGCTGAACCGAAATCTGGATTCCACAAAACACGGCGGCAGAAGCGTGCAACGGGGTGCTACGAACACCAAAACATCACTCATACAGCAATATCTTAAACGGATAACCGTAATTTTTTTTTTTTTTTTTAAGGAGGCGCATTGGACAGATATGTTCACGTCTTGTTCCTCCGAGAAGAGTCGAGAAGGAGAGGAAACGGCCTGGCGTCTTCTCCGCCTCGCCGCCTTGAGGGGGCGAAGCGAAGAGAGGAGGAAACGAGATATGTTGACGTCACGTGCCTCGTCGGCCTCGTTCAATCTTGGCCTCTTTTTTTCCAAAAATACGGCCGTCCATTCGAGATATCGCTTTACGAGTAGTGTTGCAGGGATTGTAGCGTCCCGCCTACCGCTCCTGCATTGTTTTTTGAAATCCAAATTTCGGTTCACCATCCCTTTAACGCGGTTTAAAGCCCGAGTTTATCATACTGTAAAGCCCCAGATAAATGCCCATCCACTATGGAGAAATAAAAGGTAAAAATACGATGCCGGCACCAATATTTCAGGATTCGCGGTAGAAAACGGAATACTGAAGTTACAATACAAACACTGTTCTTAATTTCCGAGATATTGGCGATAATCCAGAATTAAAAAAAAAAAAAGGCTTTACTCCATGAACCGTCAGTCGTAATTTCTATCTTGGAATTTCCTGTTTCCGGGCAACAGACAAATGCATCACTAAAAATGCAATAGTAGCCCTCGATTTTTTCGTCTCGTTTTAAGATATTCTGTGCTTGAATTGAAAGCTTCTTTAGAAGCTTCAGAGTGGCAGCTCTTGTTTCTCTGAAGTCGCGCTCCCACTGCTCATCCGAAAGGCAGTCCGCAGACGCTGTCTCAGGCCTTCCTCGTACCACAATGGTCATACAACTGTCTGCCGACATCTCCTAAGAGGGCCGCAGACAATTCTGCCATCACGTCTGCAGCGAATACCGCGTTCTATTGTATGACGTGCAAGCAATGATTGTGGCTGAACTTCCGTATACCTTCTTCGACAACGTCCTACTACCTTCGACGATACCTTTATAATTTGTTGGAAACCTTTCCTGCTGTTGAATCTAAACGTATGTCCCTATGGCCTCCACCGGGTAAAGGATCCTTGAATTAGTTGATGTGCTGGAATTAGTGCATAATACGTAGCAACTGATTTGCTGTCTAACTGTATGCACCAATTCTACGGTCCTTTCTCGCTAAATTTCGCGGGAAAAATAAAAAAAAACTACTTAAGATAACATGGCGCCGTAAATTATTGTCAAGGTTATAGCTTGAAACCTGTACACGACTTATTCGTTAAGAAGAGCCGCGGAGACAAATTAATGATTATCGCGCGTCCCTTGGCAGTTCCGGCGGCTCTGCAGTACAAGAACTCCATGTCGAGGGATTCGCGCCTGCGATCAGAGTCTCAAGCCACCTTCGAAGGCTTCGTCACACCCCGGACTGTGCAGTACTGGTCCTATGACACGGAATTCTACTCGGCCAGCAGTTACCTTCAAATTAAAGTGAGCCTAATTTTTTTTTCTTTTGTGTGCGTACATGTACAGTGCTAACCAAACTCACATGGAACGTCCAAACTCTGTCAATTATCTGATGGGAGCGCTATCCTAGCGGCAGCCAAGTCCAAGCAGAGAAGGACGCTCGCTCAAGCCCGAAATCGCTGTTACATGCATCTTCGAAAACCACTCTGCATCTCACGACAACGAAGGCTGCCATTTTAATAGGCAGTGATAAAGCCTATTAAAAAGCAGACGTTTCAATGATCGAGGTATAACAGAAGTGGTTTAATCTGTGATGCGCATGTAGCCGTATTTGTGTCCGCTGTAAGGGACAGAATTAGTTTACTAATCTTTCCATCGTGATGTGAGGAATAAGTGGGAAAAGCATCGAGCTATTATCTAGTGTAAAGTTAGTCACAATCCTTAAGGGGAAATGGTGATGTTAACATCATGGATATCTTGGTTACAAATGTTACATCTCGGCCATTTTTTATTTTTAGGACGTTTTCGTTTTTTTCTTTTTTTAACTGCATTTTGTGTATCTTTATTTGAACTAAAATTTTGACGTAAACTAATAAATCTGAACTCCATTTCGGAGCCTATAGTCCGAACATACAAAATCCTCTGATTCCGTTCTTCCCAGTTTACCGCCGGTAACGGATCACCCGTCCGGGTTTGCGACTTGACCGGACGTGTCATCGATGGCAACTTGGCGGGCCGCATGTGCTACGAGACCAGCAATCAAAGTAGGTTATTTGTCGTTTATTTTACTCATATTTGTTTGCAGTTTGCGTATAAAATTTCAGGCACGTTACGAAGATTGTGTTGTGCGTGTTTTTATACAGCCGGATGTTAGTCAGCCCCAACAGCCAGTGCAGTACAACCGCTAGCCTGGGGTCTTTAACGTGCTCATGCAGTAGCGATACACGAGCGCGCGTCGGCACGATGCTCATCCAGAGAAAAACGGGCAGGGGTGGGGATTGAACCAAGGATCCCCGGGTTCTGCAGCACGAGATTTCGTTCCACGTGCTTCGAGCTGCGGTGCGTTACCACAGTCGGCCACCGAACCCCAGTTTACGAAAGACCTCGGGCTAAGTTGGACACTCGGCGAGAAAGTAGACTTTCCTGTAGAAGGTCCAGCTTAGACCACCTGCACGAGCATGTAGGCAGTTATGGAAACTAAAGAGAAACAAGGACACGACCAAACACGTTAAGTTTTCCAGCTCTCATGTGTTGTAAAGCGAACGCTCGCATTCATAACTCACGTTCCTGCTGTCACGCAAAGACGACGGCACTGCATGCGTGGTTGTGGAACTAGCACGCGAAGATGGTTCTCTGTTAGAAAAACGGGATACTGCGCTAGCGCTCGTTTACTAACATTTGTTCGTTGTCAAGTGTCTCCAACGCTAAACTCAAATGTGTGGCAAATTGGAAGAATGATCCGCACCCGCCGTCCTTTCCATGTTTTCTACCTTTCCCGGAACAAATGCCGAACCCTGACAACCTTTCTTTCTCGCAGTGAAGGCCGTTTCCTTCAACTACACCAGGCCGTGCAAGAGTAAGTGGTTTCCTTCCCTCAAACATTGTCCGGGCCTCCTGCCTTCCCCTAGTGAATTTTATTTTAATGGTTCGGCCACGTAGAGAAGTATTTTAGATAATACGCATCAAGTTCTCGTCTACGCATCATTTGTCGCACCGGTACGAGAAAGAAAATAACAAATTGGTGAAATTCCGTTTTCGTGTTCGTTTTCGTAGGCAGTAATTTCGTCTCTTGTCCGAGTGAAGAAGTATACTCCGTACCACAGCCAGCGCTATCGACGAACTCACTGTTTACAAAAAATCCGCGTTCGCCCACACCGGCGACGGTATACACTAAAGCGTTTGCCGTGACGGACTATGTCGAGACCGGTTATAACGAAATCTGTTATAACGAAATAGCGGCTACTGCGAAGTGATCACGATTTCCCATTCCCTTTTACACTTGGTTAACTGGAGCCTGTTATAACGAAATAGCGGATATAGCGAAGTGATTTCCGATTCCCTTTAACTTCGTTATAACCGGTTTCGACAGTACACTTCTTTGTGTCTTCTATCTCCGACAAAACCAACCGTACGCACAGTGAATGGGGCGTGGACCTGCGCTTTTTCTGCGCGTGATTAGTTTAGCCGATGAGAGCAAACGCGCAAGGACCAGAGTCGTGACGAAGCACTTTTGCCGCTGCCCGTTTGGCTTTATCGAATCGCAGCTGTGGCTGCCGTCGGATGTGAAACTGAGCATAGAACTGGCGGCGAATGAGGAGAATGCGCTGGAACCAACGTTACTAAACCACTCAGTTGGGAAACTGCTATAGAGACTGCTCTTAAAAAGTGGCCCCGATCTGTCCTCGAGAACCGAGCTAATGGCGAACACAACGCCGCCATTTCTCCCGCAGCGGCCACTTGAGGAACTGCACGTGACTTCTATTTTGGGCTTTAATCGGCCATTTTGGCGCCGAAATAGATACGGTGGAAGAGGTTAGAGGGGCGCCACCCCGGTCCCCCCACCGAACGCGCCGCGTCTTACTACCGAAGTTAAAATGCACCTAGGTCGGGACGCGCTACCTGAAAGCACCGCTGAGGCATGGTTGTATAAAAACAATATTAATTGTGCTACAAAACCTTGCAAACTAAAGATTTTAAAAACATCACGCGCCCTTCATTTTGTACTAAACTCCAATAAATTTCATACAAAAAGAGTATTTCCGTTTGTTTCAACGCAAAAACATGCTTTCTAAAAGCTCAAGGTGACCACAGTACAGACAAATGACGAAGAGTGGCGCTGTTGTCGTATTTAGCTCGGTCTCGGTGGATGCCAGTGGCCCAAGTTTCGACGGCGAGTTTCCCAACTGAGGGTTCTATTGACGTTGGCTAGAACTGTACAGCGAAGGAGCGGACGATGAAATAAAAGACAAGCGGGACTCGGTCCCGGTTCATTCCCACGGGAGCCGCGCGCGCTGCCGACTCAGCCACGCACGCGGTACCATCGGCTAGACACCTGCCACAGTGCTGCTCTCGTTTTTTTCCAAATCCAGGGGGTCCTAACAGCTGCTCCGCTCTGACATTCGCGGTCGTTGGCAAAGATGATGCGCCCGGTCAGCAGCAGAGCATGACGGACGTCGAGTCCTGCACTGGTAAGACCGTTTTGCGACGCATGGTGTATTATGAACACCCGAGTTCCTTTCTCCAAGAGCTGCGCTTTGGGTACATCGTTAGAAAGAACAGTATTGTTCTTATTTGTATGAGGTAAAAATGCGCGATGTTCTTTTCTAAATAAATGCTTTTGTTTTCAAAGCAACCCCCAAATAGTATAGTGTCACGGATATCAAAAGATTTGGGCAAAGAATGGCAATTCGTAGCACCTTTTTTTTTTCTTCTTTTTTTCTCCAAACTATGCTAGAATGTTGCTACCCCCAATTTTCTTTTTTGTATTGGATGGCGCACAATTTCTGGAAGAGATTAAGTTATTTAGTTATGGCTGGCTGCTTACACCGAACTTTTTTTTTTCTATCCTTAGGTATGTGCCGAAACCCTCAGCAAATTCCATTCACAATAACCCACGAAGGTAAGTCCGTTAAAGAACTTAAAAAATTTAGGGTTGTGCGAATATTTTTAATTTTCAAATACTAGTTTTGGGTAATACGCTATTCGATATTTGTTTCGAGATGAATTGCGATATTCGCATTTTTCAAAGTGTTGATCGCGGCGGGTAAGCCCCGTTGAGCACGCTTCTTACCGAGCATGGGTGCACTGCGGAGAAGCAACACCGCGGAAGCGAACTCCGCGTATGGTGCTTCTCCCCAGTACACCGGTGTTCGGTAAGAAGCGCACTCCACGGGGTAACCAACCGCGAATAATTAACACTTTTAAAAAGGTGAAAATCGCAATCGTGTTACGGAGAAAAGCACACTTTCGAAGCGGGATAGGGCACGCGCGCGCCTAATATACTAAGAAAAAAAAAAAGAAAAGAAAAAACACGACCCGAAGTTTTGTGCCTTAATATTTTAATTGCAATGTTCAAAAAAATCATTCGTGATTTTTTAGATCGAGTTATTTGCATACAGCAACCTTAATAAACTCACTCAGTCATGTATAGCTGTGCAGCTCTGTAGGTTTAGTTCTATGTCAACTCCGTCGTTTAATTGCCATCCCAAGGCACCGGACTTTCCCAGGCCACAGTCCGCAAATATATAGTTTGATTCAAATTAACATAGAAATGAACAAGTAGAACCTTGGGGAACACGTTCACGAATTCAGCTAGGATTTCGTTCAAGCATGGTACAACAGTAGTGAAAGTATTAGAGAAACTATTCGACATTAGGTTCCTGTGATCCTCTCGTCATAATATCACACAAAGCCCTAACATTCTCTTGAACTGCTGATGCATACGGCTGTACGAAGTGTATTATACTGTGTACCGTATGTACAAACTGCAGGAGGACAGATACCTTCGTCAGGCATTTTTTTGCCTTTAGTCTCTGTTTCCCTTTCGGTTGATCCGAAAGGAATAAACTTCAAAACCTTCGGCGAAAACCACTATTTGCTTTGAACTCAAAATCCACTGGAGGCACTCATTTGATCGAATGACGTTTTGGCGAAAGCCCACGTTGCACCGAACGACACTTTAGCGAATAGTGTCATTTGGCGTTTTCGGGTGGGCAAAGTGGGTTCACATTTTTGTAATGAGCCGCCGCAGACTGCCGCCGGCGAAGCGCAGCGCAGTGCGGCGGGGGGAGGGGGGGGGGGGGGGGGGGGGATTAACGCGCACCCCCTTTATTTGCTGAAACGTCGATTCGCTCGATTGTCGCTGTTCGCTAAAACGTCATTCACTCATATGATATGGACCCGACTTTTATTACGTTCTACGAACCATAACTTTGGACATAAAAAGAAAATGATATAAAAGATACGAAATTCATAAATAATGCAATATCCATCTGATCAAGGCATATCACATGAACCGGAATGTGCCCAAAATAAGCAAACGCAGACACGCGGAAGTCTCTGGGAGACGCCAACGAAACAATAGGGATTTGGGGACCATTCTGTAATGTCCCAGTCCAACCAGAGCGACAAACAACCAACGCTGACAAGCAGTCTCTCTAGCTTCCTTCACGAACACCGGGCATGCCTGCCAGCCAAAGGTGCCATCGCGCGCCTTGTCCCTTTCGTTTGTTATTTCTATTGTCCCTGTCTGTTTGCGCTTTTAAACCTTATACCTACCATGGACCAACTAGCCCAAACCAAAGTTTTAATGAGTCAGTTTGGAACGTTTTTCTTTTTGGCTTCCTACTTTTTTTTTTGGGGGGGGGGGGGGGGGGGGGGGGAGGGGAGGGGAGGAAGCTATTTTTTTGCTTCCGTCCTAGGGCAGACCTTGAAGCGTGCTCATCACGTGGGTCCTGACAGTCACTCGCACACTCTGCAGGCTTGTCGTCAAGGCCTTCAGTGTTGACAGTTCCCAACCTCCCATAAAACTAGAAAGGGGTGGAGCGAAGGTCGTACTGTTCGCGTGGTTGTAATGTCCTCACTGAAAACGGACGCGTGAGCCGCAACATTCATGTTTTCTGAGAAGCGTGTGCACACTTTTATTGTGAAAGCATTAACTGTCCCATGGAGCGAGTCGCCGTCATACCGCGCCAAACGGCAGATAAATTCCCGAAGCCGCGATATGAGGCATCCCAGCTTTGAAACCACACAGAAAGCCATGCAAAATGACAGTGATATGAAGCTGCCACCCGTCAGTTTCAATTAGCGCCACCCCATGGCGCTGCGTGTCCGCGAGGCAGCGGTTCCACCGCTCCACGCCCAAGGTCAGCGAGTACGCCGCAGACGAACTAAGGGAGCGGAGGAACGGCATGCATGCTTTCGGATTCACAACTCATACGAAGTGCTTAGGTGTACCTCGAGCCTTTTTTTTTTTTTTTTTTTTTTTTTTAACCCTGACAGATTTTGCGTTTTTGTTTGGACAACCATTAAATCGGCACATTCCCGCACTAGTCAAGGAACAGTTCAATGTTCGAATCCGTAGCGGTAATCCAATTCAGTGACATTCGCGTGGTTCAACTCTTCTCGGTCCCCAGCAGTTTTAAATTAGAGCTATTTTAAATTATTTCGAAAGAGCCAAATATTTTTTGATATGTGAAATGGCTCATAATGCTCAAGTGTTTACTTGTTTACTATTAGTTTTAAATAATTTTTTATATGTACAGTGCAATCCACTATAACGATACCACATATAACGATGAACCGCTTATAACGATCAGCTTATAGAAAAACATGCGTTTTTTTTTTTTGTTTTTTTTTTTGCGCGGGGTGTCCATTCCAGGTACAACGATAATCGGTTATAACAATTGCATTTTCAGGTTTTCTCATTATCGTTATAAATTGCACTGCAGTAACAATATTTTTTTTATTACTGAAGTTCCATATTCGGCTGTTTATAAGCATGTTTAAAAGTTTTTCCCGTTTTCTCAAAAGAATTTTTTTTCGTCACAACGCTGTTTTACTAACAGTACCTTTAAACATGATATTTAGAACCAATTTCTTTTTTCTCTTTAGGGGTGGATATTTAATAAATGAGGACGTGCAATACTGATATTTCTAGAAAATGTTAACTGCAATATTTTCTAGCTGGCAAAGACTTTCAATGACTCATTCCTAATGACGAGCAAAATTAAAATTCCTCATCTTTATACACAATTATGCTAAAGTTATGAGTGGTTCTGTTCCACACTATCCTTGTAGAACATGCAAACATATTTGGGCCATAGAGTTTTATGGGGAATTGTCAAAAAGTTTGGCACATTTCCAATGAAGTTAAGATTTTCTCAAAAACTATGATGGGTATGAAAACGATGAGCGTATGTTTGTTCTTGGCACCTAAATATTAAACATGCAGAAATTTAATACTAATTAGACGAGAAATGAAATGTTCACTACCGGGGTCTCGCCTTACTTTCAATCTGCTCCAAGCTTTCTCAAGACTTACAGAATGAGAACTGCAGGGCGCGTCTTTCAAACACTCGGCCGCCAGCACATGCTCCTTGCCTTCAGTCATGCTTTGGACGCGTGCGTGCGCTCAAGGTGCACGAGACGTCGAAGCATTGTCGAAGGCAGGAAGCTTGTGCTTGAAGCGGAACAACTGAGGCTTCTTCCTTCTGTACTCACTTTGTCAATGCCAATAGCAGAAAGCATCTATCTGAATTGCATTTTGTACTCTTCCAGGGATGTATGGTGCTGGAGTTCTTTCTGCGGTGTTCTCGCCCCTCATGCTGCTGCTGACTGCACTTGCCCTGTCGAGGAATGCACTCCACAGCTAGCGCGTCACACTGACGACGAAGATCACGAGGAAACTCAAGTTGCGGGTCAGAAGCAAACAACACACATTGAGTGCAGTATGGGGCACAACGTGTGCACTGCCAAAGCAGAAGCCAAAACAATCAACCCAAAGTAGCAATGATAACAAATGTACGAAAGAAGGGACAGAAAATGCATTTCACAAATAAATAAAGAGCAAAACGAATTTTAGTGATTGCATAACGGTTTGTACAATAAAAAGTGTCAAGTGGGGGAACATGCACAAGCAGCATAAACAAAGAAGAATGTGCTGCCTTTTTTTTCACCATTTATTTCCTCATGAGCATGTTCATCTTTCATATCAGAAAAATAAACCGATATACTATGTTTCTTTCACACCTGCGTTGAGTATTTTAGAACAGCTATGTGGTATAGGCTTTGTTAGCTGCAATCGAAAGTCCACACGAGCACTGAGTACAAAAAACAGTCAAAATGCTGTCTACATGTACAAAAATGAAAGCTAAAAATACCCTTTCTTTACATCACATATCCTGTACACTGTACAATAAACCGATCAAGAGCAAAACACAACAAGTATATTATTCCTTTGTATAAACCAGCCGACGTATTTACACAAAGCGCCATTAAACACACTCGAAAAGCAGTTTTTGACACCCTAACAACTATCAACTTTATAACAACATATAAAGCTCCTTTGTACAAAAACGCTGAATGAGCGCATGAGCTTTCACCACCCCGCAGTGAATCGATACAGTAAAGCATGCCACTTGATGATAACTATGCTAGCCTGCTTGCTCCCAACTTGGAAACAGCTTATTGCACGGAAGAATTTTACTTTCTTTCAGCCGTAATCCTCCACAATCTAGAAGTTACGCAACAAAGTAACAAAACCTGCCCTCTACGTTTTCTTTGCGTGCAGAAGTGTAAAAATGACTCGTTGGCGATTAGTTAACCAGCCATCGAAACATACTCCATTGCATTCCTTAACTACACTGCAAAAAGCCTACAGCCAAACACAAAAACTATAAAAATAAGTTAACCCCTAGAAAAGAAAATCTAATTAGTTGACAGTGCAAAACACAAAATGGAAGAAGACCATGACAGCTCTGAAGTTGTTACAGAGAAAGGAAGAAAACAAATCAGTGTGATATGGCATTTGTTGGCAGCATAAAACAGCGTTCCAATACACAACTCAACTAACTGATGCGTACTGCTACCTTAGTGTGCAGCTCTAGTTCATTAAATAAGTGTGAACCACCCTTCCATCCCGATTAAAACCTCCAAAGTATAGAACTATCTCTCGTTTCTCTCCCACACCCATATAACCAAGTGGAACGCATATATATTACAGCGGGTGGAGCTCTGAAAGCCATTTGATTTGATGAAACAAACAAAACACAAGCTAATCCGTCGTTGACACGCCGACACACCTCGTATCTACACATAGCACAGCATGGTGCCACTACATCTAAGTAGGTTTCTTTAAGGCCTGCGCAAAATGAGGGAACATGATGCTGTGGCAGATATCACAAATGTCAATTATACAGGGTGAATGATGCACTGGCCCACTGTACAAGGATGACTGCTGCTGTTTCAGCTAAACTTCGACCTTTTCGGCGAGGACAGTAGGTGGCTCTGAAAGGGAGAAGGGGTACTGTCAACGAGAGGACCATACCAGGTCCCTTCTTTCAGTAGCAAGCTTGAGAGGGAAACGCTAGCCACAGAATAGAACAAACGAATAAAAAGACTTTGTAAGCAAATTGTCAGGAAGCTAGTTTCTACCGAAGAGAATCGCTAACAAACTCGTCAGAGTCATCACTTGATTATCGAACATTCAATCAGAAGTCCACAGCGTGCGCCATCTGCTTTCCCGTTTTGCCAACTACCCTTAAAATACCGAACAAGCACCCATGTCACAATAAGCGCTCACCAGCTACTTTTGGAACATCCGAAATATAAGCGAAGGACACATCAAGCACCAACCTCCGCAAACTTCCGAGCCCACCGAGCTATGAAGTGCTCCTCCGCGTCGGCTGCTTCTCCGAGAAGCCAGCGCAAAGTGGTGAAGCTTTACACGCGTGCGTCAGTGCAAAGCAATGAAGCTTGACGCGAGAGTAAAGCAAACTTGACAGGGGTGGCGCAATTGCTTTAAAATATTCGTCAGGCACTTGTACTATTACTCCTCTACTGTTCTGTCGGATAAAACAAGGGCCTATAATGTGGCCCTTCTGCTTTCCTGCACTCAAACCTACCAAACGTCCAACCCCACTGTTTCGTGATTTTTTTTTGCATGGGCATTTGCTCGGTACTTTGCGGTACCTTTTTTCCGCATTTTCTGCCTCCCTCTTCCTCCAAGAGTTCCCATCTTCTCTCAAAGCAAAGCCTGCAGGGGCATGTCCTCCTCTCCAAATCCCCTTTTTCCTCATTCTCCACACTGACGGTTTGAGGGAGGAGGAAGCTAAGACGATCTTCTGCCTTACAGAAGGTAAGGTTGCTCACCTTTAAGGAGCCAAGCCCAGTTTAAGTCGAGAACAAACAAAAACACTCCTCCGACCCCAAAAATAATCGCATATTCAGTTCAGCTCAGAAGCCAACGCGTTCAGACAGGCAAAATGTAACTGTAATCGAGACAGTTTCTGCTACAGGCCAGGGAATCACCGAGTGTCAGTCCCCAGTGTTGGGAAGTACATCAAGTGTACATTGTACTTCAAGAACTACTTCAATTAGGTTTAGAAAACTTGTAATCTACTTAAAATATTTTTCTCTCATACTTTTCAAGGGAAGTACAACTCTTGACTTCAAATTACCATACTTGTACAGATATCACGCAAGTATTTTCTCGAAATAATGCACTCCAAAACGTATTTCGCCTTATATCCAGAACTGAGTTCATCCACGAGGCGCGCGAGTCTGGAGAAAGCCATCCCTCCGGCTTAGTGCGGGAGATCGGGTGGGAAAAGAAAGGTGGGGTGGGTGGGGGAGGGAATTATTAGCTATTGGGCCATGTGAAGGGGGAATAGAAAACATAAAAAGCATTTTTTATCACTTTTGTGTTTGTACAACGCACGCCGAACAACACGCCGCAGAAATGCAGAGCGCCAAGCGGGAATGCGGGCACTGGCCAATTCAAGCCAAGCAAAGTCAGGCCAGAGCCGTGTATAGAAAACGTTCGGTTATGGTGCTTGGAATGAGTCTCCGACTGGCGTGTTTATCGAGCGGTCCCCCGATTTCCACCTGGTGACGTCACACAAGTGTCATACTGTCGCCGGTCGCGACCCTGGCGGTGTTCCAGCAGTAGTGATGTATGCGGCAGACGCCTGTTCTGCCGCAGGTCACTCTTTGGTGTGACAGTCCACGGAAGCTTCAGAAACCAGGAGTTTGGACGCAGTGATGTTAGCGAAACTCGCGTTTGCTCGTGCTTTTCTCCAGCATTTCTACGGCCAACTGCCAGGATCGCAACCTCCGACAGCATGACACTCCGGCTTCTGTGACGTCATTTGTTGCCACTTTGGGACCCCTTTTGATGCATGGGCAGCATAGGACGCTACACACACCAGTCGGGGACTCGCTCCAGGCATCATAGTTTGGTCAATGGGAGGAGCGGGCAAAGCCAGGGCATGCACCAGACGCAGATAGAGGGCTCGGCACGCTCTCTTGGTCAACCAGAAGCCAAAAAGAATCCCCCAGCGGTGGTAGCGAGAAACAGTTTTAATAAGAGCACGAGGGTCAAACGTAGCCACTCTTCATGGTTGAAAATATGGTGCACATGATGTTTCAATTATGATCATGCAAGAAGATGTAAGAAACAAATGTGCCATTGGAACTCTGTTTTGCTTCGAGTCAGGCCAATCGAGTCAACACAAGCCAAGCCAAGACCACCGACTGTGTTTACGCAATCGTGCAACGGCAGGTGTTTGTTTATGCGTTGGGACCAGAACAAGAATAAGTGTGATGGTGTATCGGGTCCAGCAGTCTTTCTTTCTGCCTGCGCATTTTTTAGTTTCTGCTTCAGAGTGGTCTGGTGTTTGTGCATTGGTGCTTCTGCTTCGTGCCTTGCTTTGCTTGTGAGCTGTCCAGGAGCTCACACCAAAGGAAAAGGAACTACCAGACAAGGGGCACCCTGCAACTGCATATCCGTGAAGTTGCCAAATGGATTGCAAACAGAAGGACCTGAGCAGTGAGGACGAGTGCAGTCAAAACATAAACTGATATTTCTTCGATTTACATTGCCTTTTCACTTCTGCTATGCCCCCGGTGCCGTAAATTTACACGGCTTCCAGCACGCGTCATAATAGCAGTAATTTTTTTTTTTTTTGAGGGCATTAAAACTCACCCACGTGTTATATTCATGGTCGCGTTATATTCATGCAAATGCGGTACATTCCCCAGATTTCGTCTCAATGAAAATAAGCTCTTTGGAGGACCACACACTCAAGTCCTTGACTTTCCCACTATTATACACAACTTCCGAGGTCGAGTATAAGAGTTCACCAACCTCTAACAGAAAAATGGTGTATCATTGCCTGAAAACGCGCTATCGTCTTTTGAGATATCATTTAGTCCGTTCTCCGAGTGAAGTAATGGTGGCTATAAGACCAATACAAATACGTGCCTTATAAGTTGTTTGTGTTAAATAGTTTGTCAGTGAGAGTAAAACAACTACCGTGTTTGCACGAATATAATGTGACCACAAATATAATGCGAGGGCAGGTTTTGATGTCCTCAAAAAGCAAAAAAAATATTATTACTATGATAACGCAACCCGAGGCCAAGTAAATTTACGGTACTGGGGGGCATAGCAGAAGTGAAAAGGCAATGGAAATACAAGAAATATCAGTTTATGTTTTGACTGCACTCATTTTCACTCCTCACTTCCTACCGTTCGAATCAAATTGGCAACTTCCAGACACGTAGCAGCATCCAGCCGCTTTTTCTTCGCTGTGAGCCCCAGGGCAGCCCACAAGCAAAGCGAGGCATGAAGCAGAAGCACCAACATACAAACACCAGACAACTCTGGAGCAGAAACTAAAAAATGCGCAGGCAGAAAAAAAGACTGCTGGACTTCATTACACTCGTTCTAGTTCTGGTCCCTACTCAAGGGACATAAACAAACACCTCTCCACATTGCGTAAACACGGTGGGTAGTCTTGGCTTGGCTTGAGTTACCTTGACTTGGCCTGCCTCGACTTAGCTTGAATTGGCCAGTACCCGCATTTTCCAGCATGGCATGGTGCCCTGCATTTGTGCTTTTCCGCGTGCGGTGTACAAATACAAGAGCGATGAAAATGCTTTTTATGTTTCCTATTCCCCCTTTCAGGTGGCCCAGTAGCTAATAAATTCCTTCCCACACCCCCACTTCTTTTCCCACCCGATCTCCTGCCCTAAGCCGAAAGGATGGATTTCTCCAGACTCGTGTGCCTGGTGGCTGAACACGATTCCAAATATAATGCGACGTGCGTTTTGGAGCACTAAATTTGAGAAAAAGAAACATCTTATATTCGTGCAAATACGGTACTACTCTGTGCACTGATCTCTATTGTAGTAGGCTGGATCACGGACCGCGGCCTCGGCAGCTGGGGCCGAGTGTCGCCACTGGCGGCCATTGATTGACACCAGCCAATGCATGGGATTCTATGGGAAGAACGAGAAGAAGTGCCGTTTTCCCCTGTTTCTAAGCCGTTTTCGGCACTGAAACTTTTTGGATGCTTTTCGATAAGCCCGTCAAATAGCTTGCGTACAAACATTAAAACTGACAGCCCTCGCGATTCTTATAAATAAATATTTTGTGGTCGAGAGTGACTCCGCAGTAGTGCAGTTCAATGATGCGAGTTACCTAGAGTTACCGCAGAGTCGGTGGCGGTTTCGTTAAGTTGGGTTTAGCAGACAACAAGCTCGAAGGCTTTGCTACGCGGAATTCGCTCACTCTCGGAAAGTCGTTGTCGAGATGGAACTTCTTTGTCATTCATCAATGTCTGGACTTCCCCGAGGACGGTCTTATTGACGGCAAGTTCCTCTGTTTACTTCACTACGAGAGCAAGCTTGCCAGCTCAGCCGTAGGTGCTTCGGTACGTTTGATTTTTTTATTTGGCGACCCTCAAAACACCCGACATAAGGATCGCAGCACACCATAAAATACTCGCCTCCGAGCACAGCGTACATGCTTCAATATTCTTGCTTTCGTGCGTTTCTCCCATAGACCTGCGTGTATCGCCTGGTGTAAAGTAATGGCCGCCGGTGGCGACATTGACGGGCTCCTGATCCGCGATCCAGCCTAATAAAATAGAGATCAGTGACTGTGTGGCCACTTGACTTTACCCAATATTCGCCGCTATTTTAAAAAAAAAAGCAACTGGTGCACCCCTGACTACCCCTGGCACAAATGTATCAATTAAAAAAAACAAAAAAACAACCGCATCTCCACGTGGTGAATGATGTTGATTGGGGCGAAGCTCTGGTGGTACTTGTCTGCATAGATGCTGAGCCGCAGCATGCCGAGCCTTTCGTTCGTTTTCATCCACGTCACGCTGCGGTCAAATGCTCAAATGCGTATATAACCACGCTCCATACCACACATTCTCTTTCTGACATGGATGAAAACGAACGAAAGGCTCGGCATTCTGCGGCTCACCGTCTACGCAGACAAGCACCACCAGAGCTTCGCCCCAATCAACATAATTCACCACGTGGAGATGCGATTGTTTTTTTTGTTTTGTTTTTTGCCCTACACAAGCACATGAGCACGAGCACCCGACGCCGGACATTGGACGGACATACGGACATGGCTAGCCCCTGAGGAGCTTCGCCCCTAAAAAAAAACACTGTATAGGGGAATGAGTGTTCAAAAGTACTTGTACTTTACTTTGAAAGTACATTGCATTTATAGTACTTCAAGTACATCATGCCCGGTGAACTTACTACTTTACTTGAGGTACATAACCTCTTGTTTACTTTGCGCTTTACTTCAAGTACTTGTCCGATGCACTTTACCCAAAAACAAACAAATTGACTTGATATGATCCGATTTGATGTCTGGAAGAAATTGGCTTGAACCGACTGCACAGCTCTGACCCAAGTTATATGTTCTCATTGAGAGAAAAAAAGTCTATGAAACAGTAACGGTGAGGGTTACTCACCTTTTGCCACTTCTCCACAAGGCGATTGTACTCTTGAAGATAGAAGGTGAACACCTCATCACAGTCACGACATGCTTCGTGTTCGGGAGGGTTGTACGTCTCGCAGTTCTGCTTCACGAGCAACATGTCTGCGTGAAAGTCTGCGAGGTCTCTGTATTGGCCACTCTGCAACGAGATACTTGCGCATGAAGCACACTGCATGAACACTACACAAGCATAAATGCTCATCTGCTCCACACATAATTTCTCTTTATTCATCTAGCAGTGCACTTGAGCTTTTCCAATGCCATCATGCTCCTAACAATGCCATTTTCTCCAAAATCTCTTTGTTTGTGCAGCATTGTGATCTATAAATATTGTGATTGACAAGCGCTTATGATGTATGCAAGAACTATATTGTTATCTATAAGAGCCACCTCGGACATAAAGATCCCCAGTTGGTGGTTTAGGATTCTGGCTGAGGTGCACGCAATTTAACGGAGGCTTATTTGCAGACAAGCCGAAGCTTTGGTTTCGTGTCAGAAGATACCCAGGTGGTTGAAATCAAACCCCAGATGCCCTCTTTTGGCTTGGCACGTAAAACCCCTAGATTCGACTTTGATATTTTTATCTATAGTAAGTACTATAAATTCGGGTCCATGAGACTTGCGAGCACAGATGCCTATCAACTGCATGCAAAGCTGAATGTCAATCACCCGTGTCTCAATAACTCCTTGCCTCTAACAGGTGACTGCAATACCAAAGAGAAAAGCACACTTACCTCCAACTTTTTCTTGATGGTAGCGAAGTCCATGGGCTGTCCAATGATCTCGTAATACCCGGGCGCATCTTCGGGATCAACTGCAAAAAGAAACAAATAATATCAGCACGACAGATCAATTCATGGTAGTTTGCAGGCAGTCAACTGCGTCACCCCACTGAATTATGCGCCCACGAAAATGTTCCACTTTGGTCACAGCTAGAGAAGCAAGACTTGCAGCAGGCTAATGCCTATAAATGCTGAAGAAGTACTGCTAAAAGCCCCTACCCTACTGCAACCTAGTTTGGAAGTGGTGCAACCTGTAGGCCTAATTGGTCACTATTTTCCTGGCCAAACCAAAGGCAACCCCCAGTTCTAAAAATCAATTTTGGTCACCACACTATGCCTGGCAAGGAAAACATATACTGCATGACACAGCTAGTACAAACACAACGGTGCTGTTTTGCATATTATCCAGACGTGGGAGTGACAAACGTAAAATGCAAAGAAACCTTCTTGATAGAACCTTTCCGAAATTGCGGCTGGCAATCCTAAGACGCCATGTTCGACTACGCTAAAGACTACAAACAGGCAACCCTGTTTAGACGGTGCGCCACCACGACTATGTCAGTCGTCGCCACAGCGAGTGCGAGTAATGCCGCCATTGACGATCTCCTGCCGAGCTGAGGCTTGGCAGCAATTAGAGATGACTCCAGAATAGGTGAAGTTAAAGAGTACTAGGCCTCCCTGAAGACAAGTGAGTGTAAACGGTGACATAGCGACAGATTTGTCATTGAAAACTACCTTTCGTAATGGAAGCGCTTGCTCTTGTCGCGTTTAAAGGCAATAAAGGTTTAAAGACAAAAAACGGACAAAAGTGACGTCATCGGCAGGATCAGATGATCCTTGCTCGCCACTAAGCTGGCTCGGGGATGTTGACGATGCCATCACGACGCTCAGGACAGATAACAGGCGGCATAGAGGATCACCGCATGCCGTGCGGCATTCGCAGCACGTGGTTTTTAAAATAAATGCGGTTTACATTTACTTCTGCCCAAGATAAGTGCGATAACCGAATTCACGGGCAAAAAGCTACAGAAGTTTGTTCCCAACTCAGCTTTCTTGAAAAGTGCTCCCCCTTCCCTTTAACGGGCATTTCAAACAAATCAACGGGGTGAAAAAGAAAAAGGGCGAAAACCATTCTCATCGTTTGGGCATTTCCGGCAGGCCGCACAGCCAGGACTGCCCAAACTTGGAGGCTTATTTCCTGCTCTCCCCTCCCCCTAAAAGAATGTGCTGGAGCGTACATACCTGGCTCGAGAAACCAGTGAGCAGGCGGCAGCATCCCTTTGGGCCTGCCCGCTCCCCGGAACCGGCAGACGCGGTCCAACAGCCCCGAAGCAAGCCTCGCCCATCCGGACACGTGTGCCGACACCAGGGCCGCTTCCTCCGCGACGGCACTCACTCGCCGCTTCCGCCTCGCCGGCTGCGAGGTCGTCCCCCGCGATGTGCTCGGCTGCGACAGGGACGCCGGCGCCGTGGAAGCAGACGACGTCACCGCAAGTTCTACGACATTAGAGTCTGCGACCCCTGCAGCCTCTCCGACCACGACGGCCACTTCTGTGAGGTCAGCCACAGAGCTGGCTGCCGAGTCCACCTCACCGCCACTAGGGAGGAACTTGGAGGCGCTCTCGGAGTCCTCGTCCTCTGCCAGGCCATTTAAGAGCGGTTCTGGAGCAGGGAGAAGCGTGGCGGACGAGCTGACGGCCACAGAGTTCCCCGACGGATCTTCGGGGATTGCCGGGCAGTCTTCTGAGGACTCCGCGGGTTCCACAAGTTCTTCCTCGGCCGCGATCACGATCTCGGAGGTCACGATCGGCTCGTGGCCGACGAGGATCACCTCGCACGCGGAAGACGATGCAGCGGTGGACGTCCCGACTCCGAACGCTTCCGCGTCGTCGACGCTCTGGGAAATGCTGGATTCCAGTTCCAGCGCATTGGGCGGATCGTCCGGCTGGACATGGACACTTCCCAAATCTCTCGGCTGGGCCGGCGCGCCGCGGAGGCAGACGCTAGCCGACGAATCTGCGAGGGCGGGATGCGAAGCACTCGACGAGGAAGAAGAAGAGCTTTCCGAGGATCCTTCGGCGCTGGTGACTTCCTGAGGTGCCATCAGCGAAGGTGCGTCGGACGGCACGAAGGACGAAGAGGCGGCGGTTCTAGGCGCAGAAGACGAGCAGGAAGGCAACGAGAGGAGGTGGTACGTCGACGAGGACGGTCCACTCACTCGTTGCGCCCCAAACACCGTGCTCGACACCGAGTCAACCATGACTGACGTGAGGCCCTCCCCGCTTTCTGAAACGAGAAAAGCCAAGATGGGCGGATAATTAGGTTGGACATTACAGAATGTCATCGTTGGTACGCTGTTCAAACTGAAGTGCAGGCCTTCGCTCACTCAAAGGTAAAAGCACCATTATAAAAATAAGGGCCAATATTGAGTCTTTCAACAAACCCAGTAGGCATCTCTCCCTCTCTCAAGTATTGGACTTCACTTGAAGTGCCTTTGATGTAGTCTAATAAATTGAACTAACCTGGACTCATCTCAGATATCCCTTACAGTAATATTTCAAGTCATTGCCCACCCCCTGCTGCCTGAAATTCATAAAAGAAAGTGGGGCAGGCCATGTCTCGCTGGGTAAGCACAAAAAGTTTAGAAAATGAAAAAAAAAAAAAGCCCATTTCTTTGTACATACCTAGCGAGGCTGCACAAGAGATACATTAAACTCAAAACTCGAATTAGATCTATTGTTCTATACAAGAAATGTGCATGAAAGAATGTTTTACTATCGCAAAGTCCGTTGCTCACATACGCGCGATGAACACTGCCGAACGGCATACAGCACGAACGTTTGTTCCTTGAAAGCACGTTTCTAATGCCGCCATTTCTCTTCATTAGTAAAAAAAGAAAGTCAACAAGAAAATAAAAAAACAACCTGTTGCAAAGAGCGAGCAAGCGAAAGAATCACTGAAGAGCGATGCTGAGGAAGTGGTAAAGTCGGTTATCACGTTAGCAAATACTTTGGCGTTGGGCTAAGTTGGGAGCCTTGTCAACCTCAAGGAGCAGGCTCTTGCGCAACTTTCTTGTTTGGTGCACAGTGTAGAGACCGGTTAGAACGAAGTCAACGGAAATCAGAAATCACTTAGTTATGTCCGCTTCTTCGTTATATCTGAACTCATAAAAGTAACACACACACAAAAAAAAAAGATAACATGGGCCGTCACGGGCTCATGTTTTTCGTGCCTGCAAAAAGCGGTCGAGGTTTCCCTGCATCCACTCTCTGCTAGATCAGAAGCACTTCTTGCCAACTGCGAAAAGTTCCTATCGAGAAGAGATCCTGCGAGCTGCGTACGGACCGTGCCGACAGCTGTGATGGCCGCCACGGAGGACGTCGGCGATGGACGGCATTCTTTAAGTTTGTGCGCACTTCATCGAGGACGGCACGCTTTTGTTTCAAGGAGATCGCCTTTGTGTTCCCCATTGAGGTGCCAGCAGTGCAAAGACTCTCTATCGTTGGGCGGTGATGATTACCAAATCGGTGCTTGAGCAAAGTTAAGACTTTTGTGCAAGAGCAACCACACCGACCAGCGATGCCGACACGGAACACGAAGCAAACAAGGAAGCGCGCACGGCACCAAGTTCATGCTCAAGCTCGTCTTTCGTTGGTATAGAGAGCCTAGATTTAAGACAGGGGGCAACTGCTCGATTGCAAATGTGTCCGCCTCTCCGCCTTTAAATCGCAAATGCTCTCAATGTGTCAATGGTTGGAGTTGCTCCCTCTTTTAAATCTAGGCTCTCTCCGTCATCTCCGCTGATACGTTGTCGCTGGCGTTCCGAATACCCCTCTCGGCATGCCACAATGCCTTTTCTACATGCGATGTGGAAAAGGCGCTTTCGCAAATCACGGAGTCAGCGTTTGGGTAATTGTAGGTGTGGGCAATCACTCTGCGTTTTTTGAGAAACTGATATTCAGCCAAAAAGTTAGGTGGGCGATGATTCGGAATATTACGGTATATCTGTTTCTCAGGACGGCAGTAAAGCAGGGTAGTTTCGTTGGAATAAAATTGTTTAGTTCAATATCATTTCATTCTTCACACAGCGCATGCCATGAATACACGCACAACAGGAGTGTGAAATGCAAAAGCTGGGCAGATATCGCAATAAGCTGCCCCAAATCACCACAAATTCTAACAATGGATTGGAACTCAGCTAGCTGGGTCATGCTTGTGGATAGAACGACAACTGTGTTAGTGCCCAATTCACTGCGCTGCACGAGAAAGCAAAAATGTTCCACAGGGACCATCACTTCGGATATATAAAGATGAAGAAGTTTCCCATTTAGAAATTTCAAACCAGAGAGTAACGGCTTCATAGTAGAGCAAGAAAAAGATCTTCGATATCATTGCAGCTATTAGTCCAGCATTTACTATTTCTCTCATTGCTTTTCTTTCTATATACTGTTACAATGGTGTCCGACCGGCAGCAAATGACAAAGACATATTCACTCAATGAGATATAAATATTTTAAGAAGCCAGGCCGTGCGCACAGAGCCTGGCGCACCATGGTCAGACATGCCACTGCCCTAGCGCCACCGTCTCCTTCATCACAACATGTTCAGCTGGTTCTATCCATAGTCACAAAATCACTGAGGTGCACTTTACTGCAACAACATGCATCGTACGACCACATAAGGGGCAAAAAGACTTTCGGTATGGAAAACAACAGCATACGAGGCAGCACTCTAGTGGATGCCATATTAGCCAGCCCACTTACCAGAGCCACAGATGAGAAGTTGATAGACCTGCTCGCCATCACCCAAAGACTCCACGGCGTCGTCCAGCACAGCCGCAGGCGAGCTCTCATTCTCGGACTGGCTCGGCTGGTCGGAGGCGGCGTTTCTCCGATCGTCTGTGTCGGGGGAATCGTCCACGCTGGGTGCCGCCACCGCCCTGGATGACTCGGCAGCCGCAACGACATCCACGCACGCTTCCGAGACCACCGGCGGCACCGCAACAGCTGCCCCGCCGCTGCTACTGCTGCTCGTGCCCACATCGCTGAAGACGCGCACCTCCAGAGGCATCTCGTGGGAATCCACCTCCACTGCACCTGAAAACGTGAACCAGGCAACAACCACTCTCATAAGCTCAACCCCTTGCCTACCAATAACGAGTGTCACTTGTGCCACCCCCTACAGACCCTAAAGGTCAACCACGAGTGGCGCTTCTGTTTCGGTTTGGGCATGTGTTTAGCACGCTCTTCGACAAGCGGCAAAACCTCCCCTGTTGCTCCTTTTACGTTGGGATGTTTGCTTGTTTGTTTTGCTGTTTGACAAAGAGAAAACGCTCCATTTAGCCAAGAAAAAAAAACAGCAGAAGCATCTGCTCTAAAACAACGTGGCCTTGCTGCGGAGGTACACTTTGGCCAACGAAGAGATACGAGAACCTTTATGAGTTATTAATGCTCACGCACCTGGAACCAAGAATGCCTTCCCGACTTTGGGGGATTGGACGATAGTTTTTTGGGCAGCGACAGGAGTGATGAAACCGATGTGAAGCCAACAAGCATTCCATCAACTTTGGCGTCTGCACGCCAGTGGGACTCGGACCAAAGTCTTGATTTAGAACAAAGTACCACACCTCAAAGTTGAGGAAATGTTTTTGTCTTATATTATATATTTATATTCCACGATGTGGCATCGTGCTGTCAAGTCACCTGGTGACCGTCACATGACCATGCGATGCGACGCTACTGTGTCATGTGAAGTCATTGTGTCACGTGATGTCACGGGGGTCACGTTTCAGCTGACATCACAATGTCATGTGTCACCATCGAGGATACATCTGTGGACACGGAAACTTCCAGAGTTGACACTATCGATAGTATGCATTTCCAATGCAAACTTTAGTAGGCTCGAATCTTCAGCTCTTTGCAATAGGGCAACACAAGACCCAAGAAGCATCAATTTAACAGGTTCAACTGCATGAAAAACAGTTATACAAGCTGTATAACAGTTTGTGACCGTGACCGTAGGTTAAGTGACCGTAGGTTTACATTCGCCATTTTGGTATCCGTATCACGCGAATCTCTCGCATCTAAGGACTCGTGTCATCATCGTGACAGAAAAACAAAGGAAATTCCACTAGGAGGCTTTATTGAAACGAATGGCCATCACGCTCACGGGAAAAGATAACAACGAAGTAGCAGTGCGTGGCCTCCCAATTCCAGCGACCCGACGAGCTCGCGAAGTGTTTGGAAGACGACCCTCCCATAAGCGATGATCAGGCACTCGTACAAGTGCAAGACACGTGGCGCCTAAATTGCTTTAGACAAAAGCAAGGATTACCTCTGTGGAGAGCGAACAACCATCGTCGGGCTCCGACAACGGCGACTACTGCGTGGTATCCATTTTTGTGTTGGCATGCATTTCATAAAATCTGTTCTATGAGGTAAGGTATCTGTTCGACCTTCATTATTTTACCTGTGCGGCAGAATCGGCAGCAATTTACTTTTTGAATATCTGGGAGCTAAATCTGCCTACTTGGTAGATTTGGCTGCACGTTAGAATTGTACAAACACAGTACTTCTATGTATAACGTAAACGGCAAGGGCTACATTATCTGCCATTTTAGGCAACTAAACTTGGATTTTAAGAAAGCTTTGGATGTTCAAGGCATGTCCGATGTGCGGATTATTCGCTATTTGCTCGAATATTCATACATTGCCTGAATATTCGGCCATAATCGAATATTCAGAAATTCCATAAAATGCAATTCTCGAATCGAATATGAATCGAATAAGAAAAATATTCTATTCATTTCAAAATCTCGAATATTCACACACCCCTACTTTTTATTATCTATGTTTTTCTTACTATATTTTATTTATTATTTTATTTTATTTTCATTCAAAACATGCCTCTCTTGCCGGCACATTTTCATGGAAATAAAATCACATATTCTTCTAGAGTAGCTGTGCTTCGCAGATCAGTAGTATCCATGCCACAAAACTGACCCAGGTTTAGGCCTGCTGAGGTGTCCTTTGTATGTTACACGGGACAATCTTTATACATAGCCTGAATGCGATGTAACGCTCCCAGCATACATTCTAGACGCTCGTCCACGACCCTCGGTCATGACAATTTTCTCATGAAAACAATTTATAAAACAGAGGTTGTAAGAGGTTAGGGCAAGACAACCTACAAACCCAATTACCACGCGACAGCTCACCTAAAAATTCCGTTTCCTCCGTACTGGACACCGACAGGGGTCGCCGGTCGAGGTGCAGCACGCCGTCCGCAAGGACGCCCGGAAGGTCCACGTTCGAGCAGGTGATCTCGGCAACGTCCTCGGTCCTCACCAGCACCGCCTCCGCCGTGCTCACCTCCCCGTCCACGAGCAGCTCGCTCACCAGCGGACCCGCCTCATTGTCGTCTGGATCGTCATCCCCAAAGTCCCGGCACGACACCGCTGAAGTAACCTCGTTGCCGGCGACTGACGACGAGCCGCCGTTCTCCGCTGACGTCACCTCCTCCTGCCGACCAGGCTCCATCAAAATCGCCGAGCTAACCTCCCCACCGTCCTGCTCCGACGACTCCACGGCGCTGCTTCCGTTGACGATGTCGCTCGCCTCGGCGCTCGTAACGTCCACCGAACTCTCCTCGACCCCGAAACCCGACTCCCGGCCTTCGGGAGTCGGCGACGAGACAACTGCAATCTCGAACTCAGCCGAAGTCACGTTGGAACCGTCTCCATTCTCGGGCGGCCGCGAGTTTGTTGCAGACGGTCCGCTTTCCCCCGTTTGGTCCGGAGAGTTCTGCTCTTGGACAGATGGCGCACTCGTCGAAAGGGGGCGCTGCTCGTTGGTGGAAGGAGCCGCCACGGACGGCGTCGCTACGTTGAGAAGGACCGAGGAAGCAGAGACCGAAGTGGAGCTGCTCACGTCGGACGTGCGCTTGAACTTGCCGCAGTCCCGCCGACCGTGCTCGTTGGACGACGAGCTGATGATGGCCGACTGTTCTTCGTCCGGGTTGCGGAAGAAGCACATCGACGACGAGCTTGAGATGGACTCCTGGAGCGGTCCGACGGAGTCGTCCTCGTCCGCCCCCGACACGTTGTTGCCCTCCTGCGAGTTCTCGTTAGAGTTCTCAACCGAATTCGCGTCCGAGTTTTCGTTAGAGTTGTTGTTAGAGGCGGTGTCGGAGGCCGCATTGGAGGCGACGTTGGAGACTACGTTTGAGACCACGTTCGAAACCACATTTGAGATGGCGTTGGACAAGGCATTTGAAGTGGCACTTGAGATTGCGATTGAGACTTCATTGAGGACTTCGAGCGGGATCTCATTGGAGATTCCGTTTGTCATCGCAACTGAACCCGCGGCGGCGACGTTGTCGTTGGCACTGCCAGCGACAGATGCCAGTTCTGCTGCAGGCGCAGGTAAAAGTTGCTCCCCTTCGCCTATCCTCCTTTCCTGGGTCGACCTTGGAAATTGCTTCGGGGTTTCGCGAGTAGAATGAGATCGCGGAGTGGATGAACCGATGCTGCCGTTCAGGGTGGCTCGCAGGCTAAAGATTCCGCTTGGACCAGCTACACCTTCGATGGGCAGCCTTTCATTGGACGGCTTCCGGCGACTAGCTGCGGGTTCTGTGGTTACGGTAGGCATGGCTTCAAAACTTGAGTCTTTGTCGGGAGATAGGACTATGGAACTTGGAGGCGATGATGTCTGTAAAAAGAAATGTAAATGCTCTCTTAATTGGAAAGATGTATTCGTAAAAGTTGGTCAAAACGTCTTTTCTTATGAGCTGATTGATCTAGATAGTCTCGCATACTCTGAACAAAAGGCATCATCTAAAAGTTACCAACAATTTCACTTTTCATTTTTTTCGAAACAAGCATAAAGCAGGAACATTAGGCACAGAAATGTGGTGTCACTTCACAGTCACTAAACACAGAGCTCTAACATCTACTGCTTAACTTGAAAAAATACCAAGTTTTCTGACTTCAATTTACTTGCTTCGAACCATTAGTAATATGAGTAACATCGGGAGTAAATATTTTGGAAACATGACTTAGCAAAAACGCTGTCAAAAGCATGAATGATAACTCAAGTAGCTGAAAGTAGGAATTAGGAAGAAAACTCCTGGAAGCCTCAGAAAGAAAGCTGTTTTGCTGGGAAGCTTGACTTCTCCCAGCTAGGTCTCTTAGTGAAAAGTAGGCTGAGCCCTGAAGCTAGGTTCCTCTCAAGTTCCCCTTATCAGCTTTGACTGCATCCATTCTCTGACTAAAGACATGAAGAATGCCAAACCACAAGCTTTTCCTAAGTGACTCAGTTTGAAGCTCAAGCTACACCTTTCTCCCAACACAGGTGCCTCGTACTAAAGCATACAAAAAGTGGTCAAAGCAAGCACATTACCGTGCCCCGCAGCCTTTCAATGTCCTCCGCAGGCACGTCAGCACCATTGCTTGTTACGACAGCACTTCGTTCATTGGCTGCAGGAACAAAAAGTATTTTATTAGTAAGGCCCATTGGGTTTATGGACAACAGGCATATGGACATAAGCTTACAGGGATCTGGGTCGTCATCTCCTCGCTTCTGGGATCTGTCGTCGTCCTTGGAAGACGGTGTCGCCGAAGGTGAGGAGCCGCCCGTAGTTCGCAAACGGTCTCCCGTATCCTTGGTACAGCTGGCCGTATCTTGACTACTCTCGTTTCTAACCGTGGGCGGCACATCTTGACGCGACGTACCTGGAACCAGCACCAAAGTGATAATGCAGTAAGCATTTAGTGATCCTTCTGAATAATAAACTGCATTAAAACTAGGCAAATATGAACTCAGGGTATTTATATGTGAGAGGAGAATAGCAAAAACAAATGGTCACAAACTCTTGGTTACTATAGTTACACTGCTGCAAAACTAAACCATCATATAAAAAGGTCGAGCAATGTACATTACCACCTCTCATTTGTCAATGAGCAATATCATCTCGAGCAAGTAACAGAATGCCTCAAAGGTCCACTTGCCAATACATTCCAAAAGAATGCGGGAACAAAAATGCATTTATGAACGGAGAGGTAACAAATTTCTGGAAAAACATATGGTGTGAATTCACAACTTTATGAACTGAGAAATAACAAGCGCTCACAATTGTCCCTGACTTAAATCAAGAATGATTTGAAAGCTCCCACTTTTTGCACCACTATTTTTCGGCAACTGCTCTCCTCAAGACTTTACTTGACCGGGGCTCACCTTGTTGAGATTCAACTGCGACCACGCCTGATGTCTCAGCCTGCTCCAAAGGTGCAGGCTCCTCAATGCTTGCAGGTTCAGGTTCTGATGGGGATGTTGAAACCACCTGCATTTGCACAAAAAGGTGATGAAAACTGAGGATACCAGACCTTCTCAGTTGGCAAAAAGACTAGTACTAAGAGCTGCATAATAAACTTGGTATGTTCAACATACCAAGTAGTGAGTAAGAAGGCATAACCGAAAACAAAATTTAACCCTTTCGGACATCACCTAATGCATGTTGTCAATAGCTTTATTTGAAAGGACCATGAAGACGATTTGGAATTCTGTTGAATGATTGAAATAGATGTGAGCTGTTTTACAGCTAATGTTGCTCAAGTTTTAGACCAAAGTTGCGCCTGTGCGCCGCAGAAATTAAGTTAGCAGATTTAGCAATAATCACGATAGGAACGATCACAGTGACGCCCGAGACTGGGAAAGAAAAACAGCCTTTGAGTCATGTGGAACGAGAATTACATATTTTTGTCAGAAAGAATTACCACAATAGATATGAAATACTTTTTCATTCCAGGGGCACGTGGACTGAAAAAACTGAAAAACCAAGTGCCTTCCACTCGCGAATAGTGGGCAGGGACGGACTTGAAAAGCAGTTAGTGTGGCAACCACATAAGGTTGTTTTTTTTCTGACGAAAAAAACAGATATGGCGCATCATTATGTTTTGTTAGTTTTGTTGCGCAATGCCCGGTTGAACGAGTGAAGGGAGCTGCAGAAACTGTTACAGGCCGACGCGCTGCAGTTTCCGACACTCCTCCGGATCCGTGTCGAAAAGCTTCTGTCAGACCTCGTCTAGCACGCCCCGATCTTTCCTGCACATCCATCCAGCTTTTCATACACACAGTTGCGTTTCAACGTATTTGGCAGTGTTGCGTCGACAAACAGCCGCCAGTCACCGGTCATCCGTGCTTCGTACGAAGCGTGGCAACCGATTCAATAAGTAGCTTAGTAAGCGGCGTACGAAGCAAGTATGTCCTGTTTACTTGCAGTGGCAACGCGGAACAACTGGTACAATGCTCTCAAACCACAAAGCGCCGCTTCATAAAACTGCGCAAAAAGATTGAGCATATTGCCAGGTCCTTAGAGAGTCGAAAAACCCTTTCCTAAAAAAGTTCAAAAACGTTTTCATGGTCCCTTAAATTTATGTTCCTTCGTTTCTCTTTGAGAATTTCCTACGAGGATATTATTAAGCAACAAAGGGATGACTCGAAGTATTTGTGTCCAAAAATGAAAATGATACAACAACAAAAAAAAAGTCTAAACGTTGCTAGCCTCACAAAACTCAGATAAAAAAGAAAACCTACCTCAAGCTGGAGCCCAGGCTGATCAGACATCTCCACCTCTTGGCACACAATCTGGTCTTGGAGCATGCACGGTGCTTCCTCCACAACATTCTCCGCTTCACACGGAACAATGTCTTCAGAATCGACTGCAAACAGAAAGCGAGCCATCATGCAACAGCCAGAAAACACTCTCAACAGGCATCTTTCGCAGGTTTCAGGGTTAATAATTCTGCATCTACTACTAGCAGTCACCCCACCTTCATCAACTTCATGGCACAATGTAAACACTCACATGGCGCATAAAGGTAAACGGAAGTCCTGCAGTTCAGTACATAAAAAACATCCTGCTTTTTCACTAGCTGCCGAATCATCATGAACACACATGCTCACAAAGACATCATGATGAAAGCTCTCTACGCTCATATTAAATTTGTAGTATTGTCACGAGTAAAAACAGAAAATGAAGTGAGAAACCAAAAATAAATGTTGAATTAAGCAAACTTGTGCCTGAAACTAAAACAAACATTCTGCATTGGCAATGGAAGGACAACTGCCTCACAGCAGAGCGTTACTTTATACACGCGGTATGTTCAGGAATGTTCGGAACCATAACACACGATGGTGACCGAGAGTAAGCAGGAACTACCTAGAAGACCAGAGATTTAGAAAAGAACGAACAAGGCAAAGTGGGGTTAGAACCCCATTCCTTCGGGCAGCAGTCACATGCATTGACAACTCTGCCACGCACACGGCCGTATGTATCCTAGAATATAAATGCAACAAGAGCCAAACGATTAACCAGCGGACATTCACTGGCCTCATTCAGTAGATACCAAACCAAACAGAATCTACCAATAGATAAGAAAGAGCTGAAAGCGATCATGGCCTCGGACAACATAAGCTAACAAAAACGTAGCCTCAAGCCATTCATTCACGAAGAGAGACCAATGTCAAGCTTAGAGAATGTCGAACACAAACACCATCGCAGGAAATGGCCCCACGTTAATAAGATGGTCGAAGGGACTCACTGAGTGCCCCTTCGTCTAGCAGGAGGGCGTTGTCATCCAGGGGCACGCTGTCAATGGCCACCTCCACCTCAGCGTGGGGAACGTCGTCTGCCAGGCTGTCGGGCAGAATGCCCGCCGCGTGGATCAGGTCAGCGAGGAGGTTGCTCTGCTCCTGGTCCGGAGACGACTGCAAACCGCACGACGGGCGCACTTCATTGTTTCTTTTCTCTTCCATGATCAATGTGCACAGGTCAGGATTCCAAGATAAAATAAAACTAATGTTTTCAGCCTCTGTTGACATTTGAATTACATGAAAACTTTCAGAGAACAAAAAAATAGCAGCCACGTTTAACATAAAGGCCCGAAACAGACTGACGCCTAACAAAAGAAACCTCACAGTTTTGTTCGAGCTTCAATGGATCACCCAGGAAATTTCCTACCGGCTCCTCATTTCAAACTGTCCTGCTCAGCTTAGCGAGCGACACTCAACCGTGGAAATGTCTCGAGCGGCATTCTGTCCGAGAAGACGCGGATGTTCCCACCGGAGAACTCACCCTCACTGGCTGACAGGAAGCCCTGGGGACGGTGTTTCTGTTCACTCTCAGCAGGGGATTGCACTGTTGAGACATGGAAGGAGACGTCTTCACGACTGTCACTGTGCTCGTACCAGCCATGCCTTTCAGCCGGTCTTGCCGCTGCAGGTAGCTTAGCGACTCCTGAAAGAAAAATGGGGGGGGGAGACAAAAAATTAAATTTAGTTAATCTTGATTGCAAACATAGTAGTTGTCGAGACAAGATGTCTCCAAATATTTTGGGCTGGGAGAACGTCCGGCCACCTTCAGAAACAAACATAGAACTCCTCCCTCTTCTCGAGGTTACCGCAAGATAAAAGCCCCCAAGCCTTACGAGCTTTCTGAAAAAAAAAAGCCTTACAAGCTTTCTGCTAGCCTGCTCGCAGATGCACTCAGTAGCGGGTCGGCAAGCCCCAGCTTAGTGAAATAAAAAAATCTCAGACGTGACTGACAAAAAAAGAGAAAATAAAAGATCAGTCAGTAAAACACCATTAAAGGAGTGAAGTTACAGAATGTAAACGAAAGAAAACAGGCGGAGGTGGGTTGGCAAGCCACAACACAGTCGGAGATTGCGCAATCTCTTCCCCTGCGCAATAGTTCTGCCGCGAGAGGGTGCCACCAAGCAACAAAATAAGTTTCGGTTGAGAGAGCGACCAGTGAAAACGGGTAGAAATAAATAGCAAAAGGAACACTGGAAAACTGATGAACCGGAAAATCAAGCCGGAAATAACACGAGCTGCTAGATCCATCACGGCAACGACGGTAACCACTGTAACAGATATTACCGATTTTTGAGGTCAGCCGTAGATCCATATTCGAATTCATAGCACCTTTGTTACTGTAGTTAGTGACTGTAGTTAGTGATTGTAGTCCGTGGCGTTTGTGCTCATGAAGATTCACATCAATTGGAAATTGTGGACCTTTATCAAATAGATCTCAGCGATGGTCACGTTTGTGCCATAACCACTTTGCCAACTCTGGAGTCCAGACATCATGGCAAGCAAAAAATAGATTGTGATACCGCTTACAAATAACTTTCCAGTGCTTCATTAAAAAAAAAAAAAGGAACTTAGGTTGGTTTATTGGACTTTCCAAACTTGAAACCATGTTGCACAGTCCAAAAACAGACTGGGAACACAACCGCAAGTTGAGACTAATCAGCAAGTTCTGCGTTATTCGAATTGTTCGAATATTTGAAAAACTCGAATACTTTGAACAGTAAAAGTGTGAAGCGAATCGAATCGAATAGTAAGTGCTATTCGCGAAGTTTTCGAATATTCACACACCCCTACCCAAAAGTCAAAAGGAAATCCTTGGCTGCCATTCGAAACAAGCGGGGGTTCCTCGAGATTGAAACTAGAGCCACTAAATGAGCAACGCAAACTCGGAGTGTCGGCACTCTATTCCCCATTTTTCCTGCGGGGGTCGCCATTTTGTTGCCTACAGCAGAGGGGGCGAAATGGGCGATCGTCACGATTCTAAAATGCAACTTTCTGGGCTCTCGACACGGTATCAAAACGCTCGAGTGATACTGCCCTGCCGTGGTTTGCTTTGATATTCCTGAATGTTGGAACACCATTTCTTATGATTTCAGATAAAGATTCATTCACATAACTGCCAAAAATTAGTTTAATCGTCAAGACGGCCGAGGTGTCGCTACTCCAAAGCGTAGCTCAGTTAGTAGCTCTAACTAATTCGTCCGAGAACCCCCGCTTTATACGAAATGAGACACAAAGCAGACTACCGACCGTGGGTTTGCCGGCGTGCATCGTGCCCAGGGAGGAACCTAACCCCGAGGCGTGGCCGGCCTGACTCTGGGGCCACACCTGCGCCTTATGCACCACAATCACGTTGGGCTTGGCCCCCTGGTGGGAGGAGGAGCCCAGCCCGGATGGCCTCGTGCCCCCGGGGCCCAGGCGGGGACTGATGCCGGACAGCTGCGAGCCCACGCTACGGCCGAACGTCCGGACGACGCCCGACTGGGACGTCGCAATCACATTCACCACACGGGCCTGGGTGCCTGCGGGGAGTCGGGAATACCCGAGTCATCGATGGATCAGTCGAGATTGATTGACTGGTGTACGAGAATTTGAGGTGCTAGGAGGAATGCAAGTAGCAATGAGAGACGACCAATATTTCATTCATTTACTCGCTAGTCCTCCATTTTAAGGTCATCCTTGGAGTACAATATGTAAGGAGGGTCAATACACATTATAATTCTGGTGTGACAAAAAAGAAACACTAAATAAGAAAACAGAAACCATTTAATATCCTTTTCAACTCCTTTTCATAAACATAGTTTTCGATTCTGCATCGACTTTGAAGCTACGGCGTCTTTGCAGAAGCCGGCTAAATAGGCCTTGTGAACGCATTACAAAGAGCTTGCAAGAAAAAGGTTGGTAGGGAACTTATAAAAGTTCTAGGATTGAGTAGTGTTTTACAGTAATCCCTCGTTATATCAAAGTCAACTGGACAGCAAAAAAGTTTGATACAAGTGGTATTTCGATAAAAGCAGGAAAGCCAAAAAAACAGCAACAGCAGCCTTGAAGGTGGATGGGAACACTGCGGAACACTCTGACCGCATATTTAATCAAACAAACCTTGCTTATGAACAACTCCCGACAGCTTTACTGAGTAAAAAAATAATTAAGTGAAGTTTGCCAATAATTTCATCCGGCATTTCGGTCGAGACCACGTTGAACTTCAATAAAAGCGATAACTTGAAAAAAGTGATTTGGTTATAACGAGGGATTACTGTATTTACATCCGAAGTGACTGCAGGGTGCACACTAAACAGCAATGTGCATTACATGTAGGGCCGTAGACTTTGCGGCCTACAAAGCACTGATTTCTGGAAATTTTTGATCCCGCTAGGATTTTTTAGAGCACAGCTCTTAGGCACCTGTTTCCAGGTTGAGCGGCGTCAGCGTAACCGCACGCATTGCGTCACAGTTTCTCCACTAAATTTAGCTTGGAAACTGAATTGGTGTTGAGGTCACATGACGTCAATTTCCCCACTAAATTTAGCGGCGGAACTTAACCCGCTAAATTTAGGCACGAAATTTTCGCTAAATTTCTTACTAAATTTAGATGGAAAATTTTCACTGAATTTCCCAATTTAGCGGGGAAAATTTCCCACTAAATTTAGCAAAAAAAGTTCCCCGCTATATTTCACAAAAGAATTTTCGTTAAATTTAGCGAAAATTTCCCTCTAAATGGCAGGGGAGGGTACGGAGGGGAAGGAGGGGCATACCCTCCCCTCCTTAAGAGCTGCGCTCTATGCACTACAGAGAATTGTAAACATCTTTCATTTTTTGCCAAACAGTCCCCCCTTACAACAGAATGTTTAGTTCCTTATAAGCTTTTTTTTCACCGATAGTCACCGTTTTTAGTGTTCGTCCAAACCAGATCACCAAAATATAGCAATATCCTAAAACTAAATACCGAAAGCCAAAAAGCATCTGCCAACCTCCCTCTAAAGACACCGGAAAATCTACGACCTAATGCTATGCAGGTAGATGGGTGCCACAGATTCCGTCCTGCTCCACCAGGCAAGGTTCACTTTCATCCAATACAAAACAAATTCAGTGACCACCTTACCTGTCATGGAGACGGTGGACACCCGAGGTGCCGCACTGGGGCCCCCGGCAGAGGTGGCTGTCACCATGGTGCCGCCGGGCTTTGAACCCAGCTTGCTGCTTGAGATGGGCAGCTGGCTTTGAGCAATAATTTTCACAGCTGTAAAGTAAGAGAATGACGTGCAACTGTCTTAGTGGGGTGGCATCGGCAAACTCGCGATCGACAAACTGACGAGCGACATACTGGAAAATAGCAATGGGGAAAGGGAAGATACTGGAAATCAACAGCTTTGCTGTAGGTATGTACACTGCACGACGCCGTTAACACTAACAAGCAATTGCCATTTATATCTGTATTTCACTCAGTACCAAAGGGCTGTCATCATGGCCAAATGCGATGCCTCCAATACCCTTTCAAGGTAGAATGAAAGAAAAGCGCCAATGTCGTGTTCGTGCTAGCAATGTCGCACGCTCCCATATTCCTGCCAACTACGCCTATAACAAGGCTCTACTGTAGGGTGTTTCCGCAGTTCAAGCAGCTTTTTAGCCTGCCTGTGCTATACACTAACACCCAGCTATCAGTCAACCTTGGACTGTGCATTATTGTTAACAAAGTATGTAAGCCTCTGCACCACTTATATGTAATGCCGCAGAAGGGGACAGGGACTCCATGGGGGTCATTCGAGGCCAGCAGGAATTCCTCAAGATCAACAAGTGTAACAACTCCTGTTCCGTCATACTTCTTTCACCATAACTTAGCAAACAGCGAATGCTACGGACTGCTCTAGCCACTTAGATAGAGGCAAGACAGATCACAGTAGGGATGTGCAAATAGTGATTTTTCTATTCGAAGCTAATCATTCTTTTGTACGAAAATTTTGGAATCAAATCAAATAATTTCAAACCGAAGTGAATAGACTGTGGTAATCAATACAGTCATGGTAAAGGAGACCATTGACCAAAAAAAAAAATGAAATGCAAGGTCGGAAGGGTAGTTCACCAGCTCACCTCCACAATTACTCTTATTTCAATACAGTTATGCCTCATTAATATAGACACTTCCATTGCCCACAAAAAAGACTAAAGAGGAAACTTAAGACTGTTTACACGTAAGAATGTAAAAGCATTTCTACATGCGGCGCATTCCTAGAAGCAGCGCGCCACGTCTTCCTCTCTCACGCAGCGCTCTGACGGTGACAACACACTCTCCCACTGTGAAGGCGCGGCGAACCCCCTGGCCCCATGCCTTCCGTGATGATGCATCTCACTGCTGTGCTTTCCTTTGCGTTTTATGTCTGAGGCGCATCCGCTTTGACCTCGAATAGCCTCGTCGGCTTCCGTGACGAAGCATCTGCGTTGCTGTGCTTTCGGCGAATGGGAATTTAACTGCCGTTTCGCTGGCCAATGGGAATTCAACTGCCATTTCGCTGCTACAGACAGTTACAAACCACGCCCACTTCGCTCCATGGAACCAGTTAATGCTTTCACATTAAAATCGTCCATAATGTGAACTGTCTATAATAGTAAATCAAGGTCAAGATCACAAATAATGAACAAAAAGCGTTGCTGCAAAAGACACGGTTTATTTAGGGAAAAAATGCTGAGACTCGTTTGCACAGACACTTTGGCGTTAGCTATTAAAAACGCAATCCGAAATCGATTCGAGGGAGTAGGCTTGTTGCCGCTATTTTTATTGCTACTTACGTTCCAACCTTGGTTGGTGAATTCATTTCAAGTATGTACCACATAGTGGTTTTGTTTGTTATTTTTTAGTCTGAATTAAGGCATGCTTTGCAGAACGTGAAACTTCGAAACACTTTGAAAATATTAGAAGTTTCCGAACAGCCTTATTCAATTTGAACTTTGAATCGAATATGGAATTATTTGCTTCGATATTCAAAAGTTTTAGATTATTCGTGCAACCCCACATCATGACCCTTACCAAAGGTATGGGGGCAAGAGCGTAACCCAAGCAGTAGAAGAGGGGAAGGAGGAATTCCTCTCTTACCCGGATCCTCTTTTGCGTGTCTCAGAGGTTGTCTTAGTCCACCCTGGAGATTAGCACTCCTGGAGATTACATGTCGGGATTTCACGGTGTATATATATGTGTGTGTTTTCCGAGAATAAACTTCATTTGCAAGTAGCGCTCTGTGTTGTTCGTTTCTTTTACCTGTCCATTGTTTTTAGTGCTTTTACCCTCAAAAACAAGATTAGCACTCAAAATTCATGCAGAAGTGGCTTTCCTCTCTTTCCACCCATGGCTTCGACAGCACCAAGCACAACTGGTGAGAAAGTCGCACAACTACCTCAGACGCGCCGATTGCCTCACTGCGACGGTAGCCTTCTCCATTTGTCAAGTTGCGGCGAGACAGAACATTGCAAACAACACGTTTCGATGGCTCTTTCTCACGGTTCCTATCTGTGACGTCACAAAGAGGATTATCAACTGCCAGCGACAATTTCGGTGGCGCGTGTGAAAAGCAGGTGGAAGCTCGCAGTCGTCGCGTCCTTAAACCAACACCGCCAAAGCTAACAGTCTGAGAATCCTCTTGCCTCAACTAATAAAAGCGTAATTCATTGTACTCGAGACGTCATAATGGGCGTTTGGTCGATTGTGGAAGGCGGACCAGGGTAACACTCTTGGTTGCATGCGTCGCCTACAGAGCGTGTTCGAAGGAAGGATTCTTCCCGCATGCGTCCCAGAGTCGCGAGAGAAACCCATCGGACTCACTGCCTTCGGGCCGGTACTGCATCATGGCCCCCTTGGGCACCGAGATGGTGGCCTTCCCGTAGCTGGAGCCTCCTCCACCAGGAGAGGGGAGCTGGGGCCCCCCCAGGGGGGAAGAAACACCCCGGGGCAGGCGCAGGGGCATCCGGGGGTTCACCGTCACCGCCCGTGGGCGCACTGCCCTCGCGATGCCCTGTTCGCTTCCGGAGACGGACGGGGACGGAACTGCAAAGAGTATGGCTCATTGGCTACCATTTTTTTGGCATTTATTGAGAGGTACATCTGTAAAAGAGCCCGCTACCCAAGTCGGGAAATTTCAGCAAGAAACAATTTCGCGTTGGTAAGGCTGGTTCGGAGATTTGCGTTTGCGTGTGACCGTCCGCGTGAAGACACCTTGAATTCCGATACGACGCGCTGCACGAAACTCGGCTGGCACGGCGACCACCTTGTCAAAAAAGCGGTCATGAGTGGTCGATCACGGTCGAACGTAAGCATCCGAATCGGCCCTAAGTATGCTTGCAGCAAAAAGTCGTTAGTTCGTACCTTGTTAATTTTTTGATTTTGGACAAATCAAACCAATCGCCACGGTACGACCGCACTGCATCCAACTCCACGAATAAACGAGCCCTTTAATTTACTGACAAATTGGCTCCACCACAAATAATTCGTAACTGCATGCCACCACCCGTGCACCCAGTAAACTACCAATGGCGGCTATCCCAACCGAGCAATATCGCACAAGCAGCGCGCAGTTCTTACTGCTTATTTTTTTTCTCAGCCAGCTATATTCTGTCATTTTCAACTCTCTTTTCTCTTTGATTGCAAGCATGTCTGCATGGCAAACTTGGCATCCAAGTTCAAGTTCTGCTCAAATTATATTAATGCTACATCCCAGGTTCAGATTTGCGTTTGAGTGCTCCGACCGACTGCGCCAAGACCACTTGCGACGACGTACGACGACACGTTAGTGCCACCTGTCGAGCAGGAATGCTTTTCACGTGCATACATTTTGTGCATCATTCTTTCGTTGCAAGTTTAATACCTTTCTGACAATGTCATAAAAAGACACTTTCTCATAGACAGTACATAGAGTTGTACTCGCAATCATTGCAAAAGGTTCAGTTTACTTGCGCCCAGATCGAAGGGGTTCTAAGGCGACCTGATAAATGACGTCGGCAGCCAAGTATGTTCATTAGTCGTAAGCTGTCCCACGTGGTGTTAGTGTTAGTGCCAGGGTCAAACGCAAACGTGCAACCCAGCCTTTCGGCTATGCAGTGCACTATTACACCGTCCCGCGACGTAATACCACTCCAGCTCGAGGAAAGCATCGCTCCAACATGCCCGGGGAGAAAGTGCGAATTCTCCCCGGGTAGCACAAAGAAACCGATAACAGGTACGAGCCATACGAAGGTTTAAGCGCCTGAAGCGGTAAAAACGACGAAAGAAGCAGAGTCCAGCCTCACCGGGAGTGGTGACCACGGAGGTGACGCTTGTAGTGAGCGCAGCATACTCCCTCGTGCCGGCACCAGGCAGCACGGCCTTGCCCTGGTGCATGGCAGACGTGGATCCTGGGGCCGACACCGTCTTCACCACCGGCACCGTTAGGGGCGGCTGCAGCATTCCCGAGGAGGACGTACCGCCCGTCGACACCAGTATCACCTGGGTGCAATAAAGAAATCGTGAAGTATTTTAACGCGGAATGCGTTTTAGGGCTGGTTTCTAAAGGCTGGTTTTCACACTAGCATTTCTTTAAGACCAAGTTCTCGCTATCTCTTAGGGTGAGCACTCTCACGCTGGCACCACCTATGAGCTGACCCTGGAACTGACATTCACTAGAGTGAAGGTTTTCTGGAATTTGCGAGATTAAATGTATGCACTATCTACCAAAAATGGTAATTCGTAACATTGGTCAAAGTTTTCCGAGCCAAGAAAGAGAGTGATGCACGAAAAAAGTTGGGAATATATGGAAATCATAAGTGTTCTATGACCACTTGATAGTTTGTTCTCTCGTTGCAAAAAGTTCTAAAAGGTTTTAAGGCACTCGGTTGTAAGTAGTCACAAGTGTGTAAACCAGCATGAAGTCTAGGGTGTCACAAAAGTTTGTAACAAAAACTTTCAGCCTTTCCACTCCGGTGAAGAAGGAACACCAGCGAAGCTGTACTATGGTCAGATGACCTCAAGGACGACTTCTTGGACGACCTCAAGGACGCCGCCTAAGGACGATGTCTAGGATGACCTCAAGGACGACTTCTAAGATGACCTCGAGGACGACATCTAGAGGACGACCTCAGGGACGACATGTAGACAACCTCAGGAACGGCGCCAAGGACGACCTCAGGGACAACGTCTAGGACGACCTCAAGGACAACTTCTAGGACGATTTTGAAGACAACATCTAGGACGACCTCAAGGACGACTTCCGGGACGACCTCGAGGACAACCTCTCGGACGACATCAAGGACGACGTCTAGGACAACCTCAAGGACAACTTCTAGGACGACCTCGAGGACAATCTCTCGGACAACCTCAAGGATGACGTTTAGGAAGACCTCAAGGACGACTTCTAGGACAACCTCAAGGATGACATCTAGGACGATGCCTAGAAAAATTCAGCCTTTCCACTCTGGTGAAAACCAGAGTGGAAAGGCTGGAAAGGTTGTCCGCCATCTTAAAGCAAAGCCGACAAGCCGATTGTCTGGTTGCCGCCGTCGTTTATAGATGGCGCTAGCTGTCCAGAGTTTTGTGTTGACATTTCTTTGCGGGGGACACGATCCAGGGAAAACTAGCCCTTAACACCTTCAGTCTAAAAAACATAACATGGCCAAGTTTCTACACAAAAATCTTCTCATCCTTGACGGGAGTCAAACCAATAAACTCTCGCTCAGTAGTCTAATGTCTGCTCAGTTCTAGTCCATGGTGCTGAATGTTCCGCATCGCCTACCAGAGGTAGGCAATGCAAAACATTCAGCACTATGAATGCAGAACAATCGGCACTATGGATGCAAAACATTCCGCACTATGGACGCAGAACTATGGATGCAGAACTATGGATGCAGAATGTTCGGCACATTCAGCCCTATTCACTACACTCACGTCACCTACCAGATAGGACACGAGCGTGTGTGTTAAAACTACATTGTCAAAAGGACGCCCCATCCGGCGCAAAGGGGACCCGACAGACAAAAGTGATGCGTCAGCTATCGGCTAGTCTCGCGTCCTCGGCAACTGAACATGCGTCCCCCGCCAAATGCCGATGCGTGCCCCACATTGGCCCGCGATAGGCGACGTGTTAAACTCTGGCTCACCTTGGGAGCAGACGGAGGGGTTACGGTGGTCTTCTGGGGTGCCAGGGTGACTCGAACTGGCGCAGGCCCCATCGGCAAGTTCACCACCTTGGTGGCGACTCCCGGGACGATCCCGGAAGAGCCGAGTCCCGTGCCGGTTCTGGCAATGCCGTTGCTTGCCCGTTGGGGCGGGGGGGCGGCGGGGGACGTGGCGGCAGCCGCAGACGAGGAGGAGTCCAGACTCAAAGAGCGCTTGCGCTTGCGCTGCATGTGCTCGTCCTCTCCGGTTGGATCACCAGCTGCATCATTGCGTAAAGGCAGGTTCAGACACTCCCAACTGCTTATGAACGTGTACCTTAACCTTTTGGGGTCATGCGAGTTTTCCACTTGTAGGCCCCTCTAGTCAGAACTAATTTAAAAAAGATCAAATCCATGAGTGACTTCAAAATTTATCTCTTTAATATACTACGATCAATATATTAACTTTGATATAACTATGCAATGTCATGAATGTTTTTATTTGAATGACTGAACTATACTAGCGTATTTGCTTACCATATGATACTTTTCAAAGCAAATGCCGAGGTGCAAGTCAGGGTGTCGAGTGCAGGTTTTAAGTAGAAAACATTTTAGTGTCTTTGCCTTTTGACTTCCCTGTGACTGCAGACTACACAGTCTCCAGCCTCCACAATACGTAAAATGGAGACAGAGTAAAGGCTGCCATCTTGAACACCCAAAGGCATGCACAAAATGCCTGCCCGCGCATATAGCAAAAAAAAAAAAAAAAAAAGGTGTCCCGCCTTTTACGGCATTTGTTGGATAGTTTACATACCCAATCAGAGGTGGAAAGTTGAAATTTTCGAGAGGTACCCGACGCTTGCCCGCAAAGGCGAAATGAGCCTGTCGGAGGAGCCCCAGCACTTGTCCAGAATGGTGATATTTATTTGTCGGGACATACCCAACATGTGACCCCAAAGGGTTGAAACCTCTTAAAATCTCTCGCCACGAAAAAACACAATTACACTTCCTATTGAGTAGCCATGGAACACTTATTTTTCTTATATTTCCTTTTTTTAACGCATTGTTATTTTTCGGGGGGGGCATAGAAACCCTTTGACAAGGTTATTAACGATCATTTCTCAAAGGATAGTGTTAACCCCGTAGACGATTTAGGTAAAATATAACTGGCTTTATTGTCGGTCACCCCAAGAGATTCCAAGAGCTGTCGTAAGCCAACGCAAGTGTGTGAACGAACCTTAAAGGTGCACTAAAAACGTTTCTGAGATTGTCTGTTCTCGATGATAACTTAATTTATGGGCACCAAGCATCCTAGAAACCCAAAAATTATGCTAGTGCGACGTCTATTTCCCTACTAAAAATGTGATCAAAGTTAGTGCCACACCCCTTTCTGAGCAGAAAAATCTGGAGCGCAGATTCTAGCGGAGGCACCGGCGGTGCCTCCGCTGCCGGCATCTTTGCTTGCGATTGGCTGACACGCGCCTGTAATCACGTCACCGGCGCCTCCGCTGAATTTTGTGCTCCAGATTTTCCCGCTCAGAAAGGGGAGTGGCACAAACTTCTATCCCATTTGTAGAAAGGAAATAGACATCACACAAACATAATTTTTCGATTTCTGGGATGCTAATATCCCGTAGAATGAGGTATCACCAACGACAGACGATCTCAGAAATGTCTTTAGTGCACCTTTAAAGGGATTGTCTGGTCAAATTTTGTGTTCAAATAAACAATCATTTGTACCCTAACTTTTTGTTTGTTAATTGAATATCATTGTTATTGCCTCGGAACACATCGCCCATACAATACAGTCTAAGCTCGTTATAACAGACCTTAACTTTGACCATGATTTTGGTCTGTTGTAAAAGGAGTATGTTGTATGCAGATATGAAGTTGAGTCAATGGTATGTAGAGGAAAACCAACCAAACTTCACAAATCGGTATGTAATATCCAAATGCATGTTGTAACCAGGTCTGTTATAATGAGCTTAGACTGTATCTGAATTTTATATGGCCTTCTGCATGAGCAATTGAATTTTAAACTGTTCCAATCGCATCCTAGGGTAAACGGTGCTTTCGTTGGCAACATTGAAGCCCCGACATCACATAACGCAAAGCGAGCATAGCAAGCATTTTATGTCTCGTCGTTTGCCTGCGAGTGAATGCTGCAGCTATTTCATTTTTGTTGTTGTGCTCGACTCTTTTCATAAATGGGTGAGATTTTGGTTGCGCAGTTGGAAGTCAGAACCACCGGGGAGCATCTGCGATCCACAAGAAATGCAGCGACGAGCAAAATGCATCGTCGCCGTGCGTAGGAAGCACTGGGTCACCATCAAGATCGAGATTCCGCTTATGGAGCAATCCTTTCACGGAAGAGAGTTACGAGCTGAGCTTTAAGCCGAGAGAAGGCTCCTAAGCCAAGGTGCGATGCTGTGCCAACAATATTCGACTACGTCTACCCACTCCTCGCCCAAATCGGATCAATCAGTTTGATTATGCAGCGAAACTGGAACCAACAGCTAAGCCATCTTGAAATGATGCCAAAAGTCATATTTAGCAAGCGTGCAGCCCGATTCTGCTTGACCCGCGTGTGACAATGGAGCGTGGCTACGATCCACCAAGATCGTCCAAGTCAAGTGGCAATCTTGAAATGTTACATGCATTTTGAACATTTTGAATGATTCGCTGCTTGTCTTCGACCCACGGGCATCGCCTCTGAGGGAACGACCTGCAGCCGCATCACTGATACAGTGGACCCCCCGATATGTGGACCCAGAAGCCGCTCCTAATCCCAGATGCCGCTTCAGAGGCAAAATCCGCGTGCTTCACTTTGCAAGCGCTCCTTGACCGTCGCAGTTCTGTATGCGCGAAACGGCATATGTTTGCTCAAAGCTCACGGCTGCTTTCGAGTAATATCTTGCTAAAAGGCGCTACATCTTTGCACACGCTTGGAACTGCATTACAAGAAACATATTTCAGTAGGGTACAGCATAGGAAACCGCATAATTCGAAACAAAATACAAGACATCCCTCAACCAACGCTTGTTATCCTGAACATCCGACAATCCTTCGCGTTATGCGACGTCACGCAGCAGCTACAGATGTCAGCCATTGACTCTGGTGAAATTCAGGATGCGGTTTTGTGCACACGCTCATGAAGGTTTAATTAATATTGAGACATCATATATCAAAATAAAAATGATGTTTACCAATATGAAGGCTCCCTCGATGTAACGAGCGCAAAAACATACTTCCAGTTTCGACCGGATAATCTCTTTGAAGTTCAGTGCTTGCACCACCGACTTGGCCTGCAGTGATCAGCTGTTTTTTGCACAATCCAGCCTAAGCTCGGTATGAAGGTAATGGTACCCAGATCAAATTTAGTTTGGTGTCGTCACTGGGAAGCATCTTGGAAGCCCGGGAGTTACAGCCGACATTCCGCCAAGACAGCTAGCAAAATGTTGTCTGCTGTTTTGATGCTCCAGAGACTCATTTTGGAGTTCATCGTTGCGGCTTTGGCCACCTATGTGTTTTGCTCGTTGCCGCCGGTTTTGTAAATTAATGTGGGCATGAAACTTTACATGGCATCTCTTCACTTTATGGAGGATGTAGCCTGTTCACCACGGTGTGCACGCAAACAAACGCTACGATCAGCAAACGAGCCAGACTTGGACAATGAGCACTTTCTTTCTCTACCAATGAATTAATCGTGCCCAACGAACACACGACATTGAGTAAAAATTTGAGACAAGTACCGATGCACTTAAGGACAGTCTGCATAGCAGCTAAGCCCATTACCACTTCTTAGCAACTTTATCTGTAGCAAAAGCTCTCTACTAAATATATCGCTGAACTTTACATCAACGTTTTGTGACAAAGCTGGCATAAACTCTGCAGTAGCGCAAATTTTATATGACTTCCCCGTAACGTGTTGTCAACTATATTCCATGTCAGCCTTTCTGCATAATGCTGGCGGGCCTAGCACGTTTCTTCGGTACTCAAAGAGAAAGGAGGCAAGAAATAAACAAAGGAAGACATCTCCCACTCCTCTTTCCTTTTCTCTAACTAGAGCAGCATCTCCAGTGTCGCTAGGTGGAAAGGGTGACCCCTCTCACCCTTTTCTGGGTGCAGTGCAAAGCTGCAGTGCCACAGAAACAATGCTAGCCTCGCAAATGCTGTGCAGGAAAGTTGGTTCAGTGTGAAGGCTGGTTCAGACATTGACGTTGGTTGCATTTACAGCAAGGAAAATGACAGCACCGAGCCAACCTTGACTTACGATTGGTTGCTTGCCCCATTGTGTAAGGCAAACAGCTTCCCTGGAGACTTTGTCCTTACTGCCGTTTCAGTTGCTACGAGTGTTAGCAACGCAACTGCCTGAACCAGGCGTGACGGTGCACTATCGAGAGACAAGGCTAGAAACACGTTTCAGGAGTGAAACAAAATGGAAACGACGAAGCACGAAAACGAAACCGGAAGTGAGAACGCGGACACGCTCGTCGCGCAGGGTGCTCCCTTCGCAGTGCCGGAAGACCTAAAAGGAGCTCCCACCTCCGACATGGGCCAACATCCCTCCCGGGAGTAAGAGCACGCCCTCACCCGGGGTGGCGGCTGGGGTCGCCGTGGGGCTGGGGCACTTGACGCCGGGGGGGCCGCACCCAGACCCTCCAAGGCCCAGGACCCTAGCAACGCCTGTGGAAGCCACCGACGTCGGCGTTGGAATCCGGGTTGGAGTGGACGGGCTGCCTGGTGGCACGGGGGACACGGCAGAGGAGGAACCATTCCCAGCTGAGGAAAAACAAGAGGGGTGGCCGCTTGGACTGTGTCGCACGTCTAAAGGGTGCGCCCAGTCAAACACATGTTAAATGCGGTTTGATTGCGGTGAAGAGGATCAAAATAATTTGGCCGAGTCACCTGGATTTTGATCCAGAATATCAAATAAGAGGTCCCAAAACCGAATCTAAAAATTCAGTAAAAACAACAGCTTCGTTTTGTCACTGAATAGCCGCCGCAAATGGCTATACTCAGCGTCAAGGTAGCTACGCTACATTGCCAGGGCTAGCATAGTTTCTGCGACGCTCCAATGCTGTCAGAGCTACTTGCTAGGGTGTATGGCTTCATTTGGCATCCCCTATGCATGACAGAGTGCCCTTGAAATAGCGCGGGGTTGCAGCACAGGGACACTACGCTAACCTTGACAATGTTACAAAAGAAAGTTTACGCCAAGAAAAGTTGCAGAGCACTTTCAGTGATTCCTCCTCTCCCACACTGCTGGCAGCACATCGAAGGTAAAAAAATAAAAAAAACGAAGCAAGGGAAGAGGCTCGCAGCAATTCGTGACGTTACCAAACGTTCTGGGGGGATTTCAAAAACTGCGAACCATCTAGAGGCAATCCAGCTTTTCTATCTGCAGCACAATATGGAAGGAGAATCCCGTGATCGGCAGTAGTGCACCGTCTAAAGCATATCTCTTATTTTTGAAGGCCGGCATACGCCCCATTTTCTGCACATGAATGCGAGTGATAAAGCATCAGAACCAACTTTGTTCCACTCAGGTGACTCACGGGAATCCTTGTTGACTCCTGTGGCACTGGGTGGCGGCATGGCGGCGTTCTTGGCGGCCTGTATGTTGGCGGCGCTGTTGGCGAGTGCGCTGAAGGCCGTCTGGGGCACCAGACGGGGCATCAGGGGGATGAGGCGACGGCCCTCAATGGCCCACTCCGCACCCGTGTTGGGACCCAGGATGCTGAAAACATGAGGGCCACATCAATGTGGGAACAGCAGGAAAAAAAAAAAACAATGACAACAGGGCCAACGTTGTATTGGGTGAGCGCCGTTCGTTGCATGAGCCTCGAAAAAATGCAGCTGCTGATTGCTGATATATTTTCCTTCTCTAGTCAGCGGGAATTCCAGTTCAACTGCACTTAGCTCTGCCATTCATGAAAGCTCGTTCAAGCTCCCGCTGAGCCGAAGATTGTCTATGTAGAGCAAGTGCTCCAAAAAGCGTCTTTTGTGGACTGGAACGCAAGGAGGGTCACGGCAATCAACGGGCAACACACAGAGAACGCTCAATGATGAGGCATCCAAGCATACGCCTTATTGGTTGAGATCGGAAAATTCTGTGGGAGCATCTGGGGCATAAGCAAACGCACGAGGTGCACAAAGAGCAGACAAACTTGCATGCTGTATACCAAACTTAAGCACCGGTAATGTAAGCCAGGCTTAGAGGGATGGTGAACCGAAATTTGGATTTAAAAAAAAACAATGCGAGAGATGTAGGCGGGACGCTACAATTCCTACAACACTACTCGTAAGGCGATATCTCAAATGGACGGCCGTATTTTCGGAAAAAGAGGTCGAGATTGAACGTGGCCGACGAGGCGCGTGACGTGAAGATACCTAGTTTCTTCCTCTCTTCGCTTCGCTCCCTCAAGGCTGCGAGGCGGAGAAGACGCGAGGCCGTTCCCTCTCCTTCTCGGAGAAGCATGACGTGAACATTTCTGTCAAATGCACTTCCTTTTCTAGAAAAATATGGTCATCCATTCGAGATATTGCTGTACGAGTGATGTTTTGGTGTTTGTAGCATCCCATTGCATGCTTCTGCCGCATGTTTTGTGGAATCCAGATTTCGGTTCAGCATCCCTTTAACACCAGGGTACGAAACTTTTGAACTTTTCCTTTCCATGCCTGGCTGCACGGAAAAAGAGAGATTAGCTCCGAGTGCTCAACACAGGCTTACCGATCCGCAATGGTGTTCAACCTCTCGTCATTGACAGCTCTGCGAATCTCCGCCCGATGCCGCTCCAGCGATATGCTGCAAAGCCCGTCAATCATACTCTTTGATTAAAGGCGTCCTTTTCAACATTTCAAAAGATGGTGCATGTAGCACCATCTTTCTTTACTCTCGTTGAAGCAAAGGAGAAGAGAGACAGGGTGCTTACCAGAGAATGCCACTGAGCTCCTGGAGCATCTTTTTCTTGTCCTTCGTCAGCTCCCCTTGGGCTCGAAAGGCCGACACCACCGAGGCATATGCCTCCAGTTCTACGCATTAAATGCAAAAGCGGGAGCTTTAAGAAAACGGCTACACTTTTACTTTCTTACAAACATTAGAGCAGCTTCCAATTGAAAGCAACAAATTACACTATGTTTCAAAGGGCCACAAAAAAGAAGCTGTTAACCCTTTCATGGTCACTGACGTACCTGTACGTCAGCGCGGGAGCGTCCCGCATGGTTGCTGACGTACCGGTACGTCCGCGACTGCTCATTCAAAAATTCGCGCCTCTGCTTGAACGGGCGCGTTCGCGGGGACGTGCTGCCATCTGGTGGGTTTGTAGGGAACTACGACTGTATAACTCCGGTCGTGTTTGTTTTGGCGCGGTTTTTTAAATTGCGAAACTAGACGCTCTGAGCAAGTGATACTTTTGAGATGGTCGCCCGTGCCGGCTGCTCGGGGGTAGTGTAGTGGAGATTGGAACGATGGCTCTTGGGGTTCAGACTTTGAACCCTTCTCGGACTGAGTCGGATGACAGCTCGACATCCCATGAACAACTGGAAACCAGCTCGGTTTGGAGTCCGAAGTCTGACCAACAGCCGCACCGTCTGCTAGAGTGTCTCAGAAGCGGGCGCATCCAAGTTTTAGTCGTTTTTGTTTCGTTCAGCCTCCAGCTAGTGTGCCGCAGATGTTTTGAAGCGTGTGTACTATTTATTTTAAATCTTACATTTTTTTATGCGACAATAAACTAGTGTATACTCTTCGCTATCGCATCGAGCAAAAAAACCCGACCACGGGCGCGCATCTTTGGACAAAAAATGTGACCATGAAAGGGTTAATGGGCCATGCCAAGCGCAAAGGAAATTCTACCTTTAAACATCTTGACTAAAACTAGTCAGGAAACCTCAGCCGACGGAAGCCATATTTGAAAACGAGCATCTTCGTACCTTCCCCACAAAACAATCTGCAATGCTAGGGTCAGCCCTCTTCCTCGCTCGGTCATTTCTGCAAGCTGAGTCCACCAAGGCTGTAGTGCTGAACTTTCAGCATCACCTACCAGAGGCCCATGTGGGCCACAGATAGAACACGTTCGGCTGGGACTCGTCATCTAACCGCTTAAACACGAAATGCGGCCGACCGCCGATGCAGTGCTCACGTTCAACCTGGGCGTCATGCTCACCTCTGGTAGGTGACGTAGGAAATTCAGCACCATGACCTTCTTATCTAAGAGGTGTGGAATCAGTCTGCCCTGTCTTTTCCCCATTGGGATAGAGAAAATGAAAGGAGCCTATCATGTTCTTTGGATTTGCTTGCCTACTTCCTATCGTTTTCCTTTCTCTTTAGCAATTATGTGTTTTCCTACATGCATCCCACTGCCTTTTCCTGCTTTCGTGTTTATAACGAGTTTCACAAGACCAGGATTCACGTCCCTCATACTTTCGACACTGACAATGAGTTAAGAAAGAAAATGCTCCTTTCTCGGCATTCCTCGGCAGTCTTCGAGACAAAATGCGAAGACCCTGGGGCTTGACTAGCTAAGAACAGAGAACTTGACCATGAGTCAACAAGATAATGAAACTTGTGGAGCAAACAAAAAGGACTCCCGACATCTGACTCACCCAGTTTCCTGAGCATTCTCTGGCATTCATCCCGTGTGTAGTCCAGAAGCATTGGCCACATGGCTGATGGTCCTGCAGAAGAAAACTAACATTCACTGCAACACCAAAGTGCAAAATAAAGGTAGTACCATATTTTTTGGACTATACATGTCTAAAAGTTGAAATATTATGCTGCCCGGATTACCTACAGGTGGGGGCTACATAAGGATTTGTTTTTACACAATTGTTCATTATGACCAGATGTGACGGATTTTGCGAACGGTAGATGATTTTTCAATGATTCAAGCTTCCTTGTGTGCCGTTGAATCGGGCATATTTTAAGGAATACTGCGTATGATCATTATTTTTTTTTCATGTGGAATATCTAAGGAAAACTCATTTCTCTGCCAAAACTTGCCCCCGCAAACTCTGCACTCGGTGCGGGCTATAATTCAGAAAACATTGTACTTCACCAAAGCAATGATGCGCTTCACTCATTACACCTTTATGTGGGGCAAGCATACAAATTGTTAAAGTACGCTGGGCTAATGCTTCCTCTGAGCCAGATACTGAAAGGCACATATGTGTGTGGGGGTGGCTTTGAAGGCAGGTTAAACACAGCTTGCAAGTGACCCAAAATCTGTTTCCTGTAAACAAAGGATGACGAGTGGGGAAAGCATAGGCAGTAGAAAGAGAGGGACTTTTTTTTTTTTTTTTTTTTTCAATTAATAAGTGAGATTGAGAGGGGCTCAAGCGTGTTAATACATTAACTGGAAAGGCAAACATGAGTCATGGAAACAAATGGCAGTTCGGGTAAGTCAGCTAAACTTGGTGTCACTTGAAGAGACAAACGAGTGTTGCGTATAGCTCATAGGCTACACAAAGTAGTTCCTACAAGGTTTGGTTGCCAGAGAAGCAAGCAACCAAACAACTTGAAATTTGCACATGCGAATAAAATAACAAATAACTGATCTTTGATGTATACACAAGTATCTTAAAGGGGCCCTCCGGAGCTTTCTGAGATTGTCTGTTTATGTTGTTATATTCCATAGTAGGTGCAAGTTAATATGTATACTAAGTTTTAGATTACAAAACCGTTTATTGAGCAGATGGCAGTAGAAATATATCGGGACTATTTTCTCTTGGAAGACAATCCCCCATTCCCTGGCCATCGCTAAAACTTGACCAATGGAAATGCTGCATCACACGGTGAATGCAAATGTTATTATTGCAACACTTTTTAAGCTTGTTGTAAATTAGAGTTTGAGAAAAACGTAAACTGATTGTGGTGCGGGAAACATAGTCCGCAATTATCGCTCCAAAACCAGCGAACTATGTTTTCTCCCCGCAAGCTTGTTGCTAGGGGGTGATGCGTCAGCGCGTCGGCTTGTCTGCTTCCCGGGGCGTCTGCAGGCGTGCGTTTGCGGGACACGTGTTCCTTCTTCCCGTGGATCCCGACTCCGAAGTCAGCTTTGCAATCCTTCCATGTAAACAAGTCAAACTTTTCCTTGTCATCTGTGGAATGCGACTGCGTACTGCAGTAGCAGCGCGACGATGCGGTGCGACGAACGACGACTGCTGAGCACAAAGTCCGGGCTCCTTGACGACGGTCCGCGCGTGTTCTAGAGATTCCTCCGCGGGTCGGCGGTCGGCCGCGTTGGTGACGCGCAGTGACGCCGGAATCCTTCGTTTGCTATTGGCTGACGCGTAAAGAGATGCCCCTCCCGTTTCCCGCGGTCATCTCAGAAAGGGGCACGTGCCGGGGACTTTGATAGCAATTTTAATAAAGAAATCCGCCGCGCATGACCGCAATTTTATGATATTTACGATCCTTAGGGCCTGTGGATTGAGTTACCGCCATAAATAGACCATCGCAGAACGCTCTGGAGAGCCCCTTTAATTCACTACATAAATGAGGAAGCTGGTATAGTCAGTGACAGGTTAAGAATAAAGTGGAAGCTCCTCTCCCCACTTTAGCAGAGCGAATGCTAGAGAAGAGGCGACCTCCTCTCCCACGTTTGCTCTGCTGAAGTGGAGAGGGGAGCTTCCACTTTACTCTTAACCTGTCACTGGCTATAACATTCCGCAAGGAGGCAACTTCCCCGTTATGGTTCTTGAGGTGAAGAAGAGTAACTATAATGGCCCAACTCCACTGTCCTGATCTGCATGTCAGCTTTTGGAAGCAGACATTTTAGGAGCAGTCAGTTTCTGTTCTAGTGTTAGACAAAATTCGTTAATCCAAAAACCAACAGAAATATTCATGCTAAAAATGTATGTTACCGACCCGTCTGCAACTTCATGCAAAGCCCTCAGCGCACACATAAAATGGTGCCACCTGCTCGCTACCCCTACACTGCCGCCGCACAAAGTTTGAGCTAGCGCTTGTATTACTGGCCCACATCGTGATTCCCCACCTAGAGTTTGACCAGCCAATCTAGAAGTTTGTGAGTAGAACCATTAGACAATCTTGAAATGCAGTTTTTGTTTTACGGGTTTATATCTCGAGCTATGTGGTCGGAGTGTATTTAAATACAAAATTTTTAGCCAGAAGCTTCATGCTTGCTGGTATACCAAAGAAATAAAAGTGGTATAAAAGGGGTATTTTCCACCTCGTCTACCACTGTGGATGCCTACGAAAGCTTGTAGGGGATACACCTAGATATTGAAAGGACCTCGACCGTGCCTGCTATCCCGGAGAAGCACTACATGCACTTGTATTCGACTTTCTGTGTGCCATAGTAGCTGGCACTGCTCCAGTATCCCGGGTTTTTCAGGCAGAAGGTAGGGCACACAATGAAACACTAATATACACTCCGCAGTAACTGCACGATGAAACATAGATAAGCTTATTCTTAATATTATTTAACTGCACAATGAAACATAAATAATTTTATTTTGAATATTATTTAGTAGTGAAAGATAGTATGTTGATTCCCGGTAATGTTTAATCTTTCTTCGGTAGGATTCAACCAAGGTCTAGACAAAAGGTTTGAAGCCTCGTAGAGCCATGTTACACGCTCGCCAACAATTCTAATAGTGCACCATGAGGACCGTGTAATTGAGACCTAACTAAACCTACTTAAAAACGAGTGCAAGCTTTGCTATACCAACTCCCCAGAGTCCCTCCCAACTTCACAGGGAGTAGCTCCCAAAATAAGGAATGGTCTTAGAAATGGGCATACTAGCAGACAGATCCTGTTCAAGCGAAGACGGTCAGAGCACGAATGATCCTTGTTTTCATTCTCACTGGCCTAAATATGAAGCATATGCTGGCATTAGAACACTGTTTCCTCGGAAGAAAGCGCAATCACAACGCAATCTGGAATACATTAAGGCACGAAAGACCCGCCGCGCGACACAGTCGCGAGCGCCTTTAACGTCGTGATCGAAAGAGTATCAACAACAAAAAAAGGTCAGTTACTCTCTCCGTGCTAGGCAGAAGGCAAAAGCGTCAACAACTCGCGAGGTGCATGTTTCGAAGCCAGCTGAGAAAAGCAAAATGTGTAACGAAAAATCTGGACGGCTTACGTTTCCATTTGATGGTAACTAGCGCTACACCAAAACGAAATCGTGGCCAAAAAAACAAAATTCAGACCGAGCGGTTTTTTTGTGACTGAAATTTTTGCGCTCCTGGCGATTCCGCGGACGAAACGTCACGGCGTAAAAAACAAACGTCTTAAACTGGAAACAAATCGGTGACCAAGGTATTTCGCCTACAGGAGAAGGATCCTGTAAGCAAGATAAACCTGTAGGTTGATGTTCGAAGTGATGCACGGACCGAGCGTCGAGTAGCAAACGAATGTTCCGCGCATTTTTTCGACTCACCAAATTCGTGCAAAACAACAAGGGTCGATCTTATAATCCTGTTACAATGCGGAGACTTCGGTTAGGGAAACTGAACTACTTAAGCGTCAGCCGTACACTGCAGCAATATCCAAAAGAACATCGAGCTAAAGCGATATTCAAACGTAGGGGCAAACATTGTAAACCAACTTTAGAGGCTCGAAAAACTGTTGCGACTTCACTAGCAGATTTCTGGCAGGCTACGGGCCCCTAAAGAACGCCACACGGACAGAAAGTTTGTACGATCAATATATCTTATAAAAATAGCGTGTACTCACCGATTTCAGGTCGAACAACCCCCGAAACTCAAGCGCACTTTCTCTCCATTTCAATCGCCAGCTACTTTGACGTGCGCCATGTTTGACATGCATAGAAGGAAGTCGCCAGGCAAAGGTAGTCGAGCAGTAAGAGTGTCCTAAATAACTGAGGCTGAAGCTAATATTGTCTCCTCTCAGATAAACAACTGCGTTATCAATATTGTTTTTCGGTGTGGGAATCTTTTATACTGTGCATAAATAGCTATCGGTTTGTTTTGCGGCTTATCGGTTAGTTACGCCATGCCCCATTTCCGTTTTGTGATGTTGATTGTGGAGGTGGCGAATGTCGGTAGGCGAGTGTTTAAATTATTTCCCGCCGATTTAAAAGCGGCAGAAAATGCTTCTTAAAAAGATAATAACACAGTTATTCCGTCTGTATCACAGAGGCAGTGATAATAGCATCCTTTCAGGCGTGACAGTAATGCTGTGAAAAGCACGATCACGATCTTACCATCTTGCCTCTTAGTTCGATGATGGCTTCTTCCACAAAAATGGTTTTAAAAAAGATTGGAATACGATTCAAGGGTCCTGCATTGATCGTGATTTACGAAACGCCCAGTGGGAAGCTGCACCAAAGGACGATGCCGATTCGTGACATGTCCAAGAACTCAAACGTCCGAAACGTCGCCGAATCCCTTCGCGACCGGCACGCTGCGATCTTCGGGAGTGCGTCGCTGGTGCAAGTGGAAAAAATGCTGCGTCTCGCTCAGGAGAGCATGAAGGGTAAATCTCTGGACGAGTGCTTAGAAATCGTCGCGAAAGAGTTCACCCTCAACCCCGAAGAAGATCTCAACAAAGTGGACGACGACACGCTTCAGAGGAAAAAGGACCTCATGAACCTCACCTTCGAAAAGAACTGCAAGAAACCCGGAGATCCCGACTTCAAGTACGACGTCGAAGAGGATTTTGACTTGGAAGGTGCCATTGAGACGTCTGGATGGGATTCAGAAAAGGACGACGACTTTGGGTTCTGAGTCCTACACCCGTTCTCGTCATATGTCGCAGACATCTGATGTAAGGTTGTGGTGCTGCCGGCACGTGAAAAGGCACAAAACCCAAAGCGTGAAAGGTAAGACGTGCAAAAAAGAAGAGGAAAGGAAGCAGGCGACGTTTCGGGCGCATCGTTCGCTTCCTTTGCGCGTCTTATCTTTCACGCTTTTAGTTTTGTGCCTATTTGATGTAAGGTGTGCTTGGATCGATCAATCGGACGAACCCAAGCCCTACGCGCCTCCTATTGCTCCTAGTTGACCTGAAACCTTCTCACGGTAACTGAATTCTTTCATATACCAAGGTTGGGAGTTTTGAGCATTTTGATTCTGCCAGTGGCTCCCTTACCAAAGTAGGGACATTGTGTGGATGTCTTGGGCCTTTGAAAGCATGCCAATCTTTGCATAAGCACCTCTGCTCCGCTCCCCCCACCCCAGTTCGGAAGAAGCTAATAACTTCTACTGGCCATACGGGTCTATGGCATTGTGCGGTGTCCGCAAAATGTTTTATCAGATGTAGTTTTTCAACTGCACAACTGGCCGTTCGTGGATCCGAATGTTGTCCATTTCAGTCAACAAGAATGGGAGAAACTGGCCTTGCCAAGCCTTGACTCTCATCCTTAAACTGTTTGGTATATCCTTTGTGGTCACTCTAGTCGGTTACAAGTCAAGAAGATAGTAGAAGCTCCTCCCACAAGCGTGATGCGCCCGGTTCAAATTCATCTGTAGTAGAGAGAATAGTTCACTGGAAACGACCCTTGTTCCGCATCAATGAATAGATATTGGCTACAGAATGATGCCAACTTGTCTACAACCCCCACTCTTAAAGAAAGCGACCTTTGTATTCATTGGAGAAGGAACCGAGCTCCTGAAAGTGGGCTTTGTATCCATCGGAGGGGGAACCTAACCCCCCAAAGTCGTATTTGTTTCCATCGAAGGGGGGAAACTCTAACCTTCCTCTCGTGGCCTCCACAACGCTAAGTCAAAGTCGAAAGATAAGGCAAATATTTACAGGAAGGCAAAACCCTCTCCCGCATTGGTCACAACGTCACAAAAACGATGGGACGCTATTGGATGCGGTGGTGGCAGAGGGATGTATGAATCCCTTTGAGGGCCATTTGCCGCTACCTTCTTGACCTGTAACTTACTATAGCTAGAGTAACTGTATAGGCTCTGCTTGCAGAGCCCCGCAAGCGGAGCATATACAGTTACTCTAACTATAGCCACCTCTTGCTGGTCGAATTTTGAGCTTATGTTTCTTGTATTAACACTGCCTGACCACCAGTGGTGTGGCTGCTAACTCTCTTCTCATATAGATGCAGTAGATAAATCCTTGGAGCTATGGTGATAATTATGTACCTGTAACTAATCTAGTTATTTATTTATTTATGTATTTAAAGTGCCTCGCAGCAGCTGTTGCATTTTGATTTTCGTGTTAATACATCTTAAACCATTCTGTCGCTGTGAAAAATCAGTTAAGATTATATTTCTGAGAAGGTATTTTCATTTCTCATTGTGGGTAAACGCAAAGGATATCTGTGGGACACCTTGCACTAATTTAGAGAATTCTGCTCATTTGAAATGGTTTGAAAGACAATCTATGGCTGGTGTAGTAAGGCAAAGGATTAGCGTTGTGCGAATATTCGAAATTTCGAATATATGTTTCGAATAATAGACTATTCAATATTCACTTCGAAAAGAACTGCACTATTCGCGTTTTTCGAAGTGTTGATTGCGGTGGGTTAGCCCCTTTGAGTGCGCTTCTCTTTGAGAACTGGTGCCGAGAGGAGAAGCAATACCCACGGATGCGAGCTCCGTGGGTATTGCTTCTCTGCATTACATCAGTGCTCGGTAAGAAGCGCACTCAACGGGGTAACCCACCGAGATAAACACTTGGAAAAGTATGAATATCGCAATTGCGTGCTTGGAAGAAAAGCATACATTCAAAGCGGGATGGTGCATACGTGCCGGCTGTATTTGGGAATAAATGAAAACTTAGTAAAAGTGCATATCTATATTGTAGTAAAAGTTCCAAAATTAAACTGACAGTTATGCAGGAGTATAATACTATGGTAGGCCGAGATGCCCTTTCAACCTGCATTCAACATGCGCAATTATTTCTTTTTTAACTCGAGGTTAAAGAAGGAATATTTTATATAGCAAGATTTGTAAATTCACTCAATTGGGTATAGCTGGCCATCTCTTTGGGATTCATTTTTTGTCTAATTCCTCGTTTAATTGCCATCCCAAAACATGAGACCTTATGAAGACACAGTTCAAAAATATGGATAAACTTAGCTTATCAATGAACAAGTGGAACAACCTTCACAAGTTTAGCTGGGTTTTCGTCTAAGCATTATGCAATGGTAGTGAAATGCGTGGAAAAACTATTTGATATTCAAATCGAAAATATTCAGCCAAAACCAGTATTCGCTTCGAACTCAAAATCCACTATTCGCACAAGACTACAAAGGATACATTATTTAATGAGGAGATGCAGTTCATAGGACACACAGTTATGTAAGAAGTTTTATTTCACAGCAGAAATTTGTACACTTGTGAAACAAATTAGATGCATAAAAGAAACTCGCAAACAACTCAATCAAACTAATAAATATGCTAGCTTCATTCATCATGCACAAACGAAGCAATTCTTTTTTGTTTCTCTCTCGAAGGCACTCTGGTTGGCATAGTATGTCTGTGCACTACGCATGGGAATCGCCGTCTCCCCACAGCAACTTTCTGGGAAAAAGTGATGACAAAGAGCTAGAAGTTATGCCATTGTATTTACAGTTTTCTCATGGCAGCTTTTTTCTACTTAAGGTAAACTTCATTTCTTATACTCTGTTAAGCAAGCAATGCATACCCTACTTGCACTTTTAAAAGCATGGTTTCCTTTTCCTTTAAAGACCAGTGGTTTCCAAGCATTTTGAGTGGAGTGTCACTTGTATTCTTGGTTCTCTGAATATATTCTAGATTGTATTTTAAAAAGCTTAGAATTAAATACAGCAAGGGCTACTTCTCGTAGAGTTTGCCCATACTTCGGTAAAAACAAAAAATATCTTGAAAGCAGCTAGCTTGTTAAGCATAACAAATTTGATTCCCCTGCTGTGTTGCATTTTTATCTTCAGTTGTGATACTGGGATTTTCCTCGCATCAAGTGATTATGCACTTGACCAATTAAATCTACACTTAGGGAAACATATATTTTGTAGCCTGTGCAACCCAGTTTGCACTAATGAATATAGTAGAAAATAATTAAACACTCGAGCATCCCTGGAGGTGCATGCTCCAGAGTTTGAAAACCACTGCTCTATAGCCTAGAGTGGTCACTGCTTGCAACTCTGTAGTCTTATAAATAAAAGTTCTAGCATTTATATCTCTGCAGAAACATCCTAGATGCTACATACACTCGGACACAAAAAATGATTTGGTCATATTTACATATGAACATTGTTTCAGCTAACTCTTTAACAATGAGGCCGATTGATGCTTAATTAATAAACACAAAACTGGGATGAAAAGAGGGAAAAACATCTTTGTACTGAATAACAATTTGCAAACACTGACAAGCCGAATGCAAACAAAGTGTTTATGGGAGGACCTTAGTCTTAATGTATAAAATGTGGCACATCATGTTCAGAAAAAAAAAAAAGATGGTAGCAGACGAATATTAGTCATTTAGTACAAATGCCTACCTTTAAAATCCCGAGCAAGCATCCACTCATAATTTGAAGATAATCATGTAAAATTGGTGAATGGGCACTCTTTAGGTCTACAATATGTAAAGATATCTCTTTTCTGTATTTTCTGAATGTTACAAAATTGAGGAGTAGGCGCTTAAAATAGAATGGGCGGATGCTCGGTATTTTCCGGTTATCTCCAGAGGCTGTTAGCTCTGTTAAAATAGTATTTGCTGCTTTTGTACCCTAAAAATATTCAACTGTTTGCTGCCAGTAGGGGACATGGGTATCACGAAAAGCAGGTTTCATAAGTATGTCAAGGATTTTCACGCATGTTTTGGTAGGTGTCTTAGCCTTTGCACATATTTGTAAATAATGAACTATGCTATCAATCTTAATTTACAATACATTTACACATAACTGCAGATAACTAATGAGACTATGTAGCTAGTAATTTATGCCAATAAATTTATTATGCCATACATACAAATTGCTCTGAATGGACTAGAAAGTAGGACCAGAAAAAGTTGTAGTTTGCACAAATTCTATTCAGCTTCATTGCTCATCTCACCAACAGGGTGTGACCCTTCATGTTAAATGTTAGTCATACTTCCATTCATTAGACTAGAAGTTAAAGGCAAACTGCGATGGAAAAGAAAGTAGCTGGTTAACCTGTGGGTACTGGCAATTTCAAGCATTTTCAAAACTTCAAAATAATGAGACAAAAATCGGTACTACGGCAGTTACAAGCAATTGGTGACTCGTGAGAGTAAGACCCTTCTGAGTTATACTCTCACATTTTTGCTATGATAAGCCATGCTAGATGCCAGTTGTCATGTCACTTCTTTGATTTCAATTGGCTCATTGTGCTAAACCTCCCTTCATTTCTTCCTTTCTTGGATGAGCTCTTATCTGTATGTTATTCAAATACGGTCATGAGTCCAGCTTGCGTTTTGTTTTAGGCAGCAAGCTTTAAAGAAGATAATGATACCTAAGTGCTGCATGTCCAATAACAAGGTAAATTGCAGAATGTTTTGGTGGTATATACTATCCTCTCTAATAAAAATATACTTGACCAGAATACAATTTGGTGACAGCTTTCCTTCAAGTGTAGATACTATTTGTCTCCTACATCGTAGTTTGAAAACCCATCATCTAGGATACCAAATGGGCATTGCGTCATAGTAGTAAAGCACTTGTAAAATAAATGGTGGCCCGTGCAACCCTCTTTAAAAAAAATGAAGTATAGTGAATCTATCTTTGGCAGAGAGCGATTTGTCCTTGTCCCTATTCTTAATATGTTTTTTAGGTGTCTTTAGTTATCTTTAAAGATACCAAATGTTTAGTTTAAAATGAATTAAGAATATTCCTGAAGGTTTGTAAGTACCGCAAACAGTAGTTAAGAACTTCCATCCCCTGTCTCCCTATTACTCAGAAAACCATGTCATAATGAATTATCTTTACTGCAGAGAAGAGGCATGAGTTTCATTTAATAGCACAAATATTTAGTTAGCTTCCCCAAACTTGGGAATTTTATGGTTATCACAATATAGACTGACGTCGTGCAACAAACCGAGTTTTAATCATTGACATTAGACGAGGAACTCTAAAACCAATCTACTTTTAGTTACGTGACCTTACCACTTTCAAGCCTCATGTCAACTATTTTTGTCTTCTGCAATTTGCCCGAAGAAAGACATCTTGTAGCTCTGTGTTATATCTCAATTTGGGTTTACATACAAAATATGTTCCCTTTGCTCGTTCAATTATGACTGCTCTTACATTTTAGCTTTCATGATCAAGGCCTTCCCTTGATGTGGCAAACCTTGCTCAAGACAATGCCTTTGTCTATAAATAATATATATTATATTTTTCTTTGTCTCATAAGTTCTGTGCAATGCTATGAAGGGCAAAAGGAGAAAGCAGAGGTCCAAAAAGTAGTTGCGTTTGCACCAGGGGTTTTCCCAGGAATTGAAATTAGGGGGGGGGGAAGGGCTTGAGAATAGAGGAGTCGTTGCCTTAAAAAAAAACGGGGGGGGGGGGGGGGGGTGTAGGGAAATCGCTGGTTTGCACGAGCACTAGGACAGACAAAGCAGTTTCCGAAGTCGTGCTCACATCCACGCCTCCTGCAATTCTCCAGAGAACTCCCGAGATGACCTACAGAGGTAATGTAGAAAATAAAATATGCTGGCTAAAAAAATTTGCAGTTTGTTTTAAGGACGATAAACAATATTTTAAATACGCAGGCTCAGAAAGTTACAGCGAAGAAGGCTGCAGTGGACCATTTGCTATATGATATGAATTGTGACTTTTTCCCCGTGGAAAAGAAGCCAAATAAACGTCGACAACTGGACTATTGCACTCTCATCAAAAACAATATTTTGCCGTAGTTCATGTAAGGCAACTGTAGTGACTTGCATGCTGCACTGAAGGATGTAAACCGCTCTTAAATTCTACACGGTAGGGCGCACTTGTACCGATGTTCCATGTGGCTGTAGAAGCTGAAAGATGGTTGCGTCATGTTTCACGTCGTCTTAACAGCACACCTAGGGCCGACAGCTGTGTGCTGTTCGGCTCTCCTTTTCACCGGTTTTGAGGAAAAAAAAAACACTTTCAAAGGACTCTAGTCACTTCATGGCTCGCAGGATTTGGCCGATCTTGGTGGCTTCAGTAGTGGTAGTCCGCGTCCGTTTCCGCGTAGTCATACTCGTCGTCATCGAGGTTTCCACCTCGCCCTCGGCAGCGGAAGGGCTCTCCCAGCTTGTCCAAGTGGGGCGACAGGTCATCGTCGTCTGGATCGTAGTCGCCGTACATCCTGAAAGGGCACGGTTGCAGAATCAATAATCTCTCGATTCATCGAGCCCTGTATATGTACGGCTTCTGTATGGGAACTTCTGTATCATCTGCAACATTTAAAAAAGCAAAATGGGTAAAGCCTATTATTTTCGACTGAGTAAAGAATATGGTGTCTTCCTATTATTTTCGACTGAGTAAAGAATATGGTGTCTTCCTATTATTTTCGATTGAGTAAAGAATGTAACATCAGCTTAATCGACGGTGGTGCATCCAAGACTTCTTTCTAGAAAAAGATTTTAGATACCTTAACAATAGTCATAATCGAACTAACAAATTGTACGCATCACTTGAGATTAATACACGTCGGTGTTTTTAGTTTTGTGTGTTGGCTGCTTTAGTTTAATGATATAACCAGCTTTGGGAGTGAGGAAACGGCATTGTGAACATTATACAGCGTGGGCGAAATGGATGGAACGCACTTTAAACTGATCGCAAAAATCGGTTTCTTAACTTATCGCGCTGGGATTTCCCACACAGGTGCCTGAAGTCGGTGGAAGCTTTCGTTAAAATTGAGGAAAGGTTGACTGACCTGAGTAATTCAAGAAGAATCAAAACCTGTTTTCCCCATACTTTGCATGTACACTAAAAAAATATGTTTACTGTGGCGCTTATTTGGGCCAAATAAAGTGAAAAAAAGGTAAGTCCATTTTTTTTTAAATTGTAGTAAACGGCAGAATAGCCCACAACGATTTTCCGATGCCTTTGAAATGAAAGGCTTAGGGATAATTTTTCCACAGACGAAGCAAGTGTTTATTTTTTTTTTCTTTTGACTTTAGAGGTTTTATGTATTTATACTCTCGATTAATGAATGCACCAGCTTCGAGCACCTCTGTAGAAAATCCCAGCGCGATAAGTTAAGAAACCGATTTATGCGGTCAGTTTAAGATGTGTTCAATCCATTTCGTCCATGCTGTACTTTTATCGCCGATGCATAATACGTCCCTCTCGAATACGTGAAAAGCTAATGACATAAAATAGGCTGAGTTGTGAAGTAGCCTGGTAGCTTCCCTCTGTACTTTCAATCAAATAATTAGGTCAACCAACTTGTTGCAATTTTTTTCAATATGGCCATGCTTATTTGATATCTGTGAGACTGGTTTTCAGCTCTTATGTGAAGTAACTACTTTAGGAAAGAAGTACATATATTCGTACAAAGCCAGACTACAGCCATTTCATTGTTAATTGGATGCTAGAGCAATAAAGTGAGTCCGTGCTTTGGGGCTCCTTGATGTGCCACTTTCCTTCATTGCACCGGTGACATGGGGAGAAGCGCCCTTTTCAGGGGGAGGCGGGAGCACATGCGCCGACTGGAGAGTGCACATGCACATGGTTACGTTATCTAGCAGTTTGAACTTTGGATGTTAAAGAAGGAACTCTGCGGCTAGTATATAAGCACATTCAGAGTTCAGCCGAAGCGAGTGATGTTTTACTCGAGAGACTACTAACCTTAATTAAGAGCTGCCCTAAATATGTCCATAGATTTTCTTAGACATAGGCTAGACGCTCGGCCGACATTAGCTTTCGGGCAGGTCGTGGGATCCAATTGAAGTAGACAGCAAGTAGAGTAATTCTCGGGGCGGCGATCCACTCCTATGGAAAAAAGTAGCCGCATTCTTGCGTTTGGCTTCTATATAACCCCAAAGATTTCACTTTATTCGAGCATAATTGCTAGTGTTTTTTTCTTTTTTCTTTTTTTTTACATTTTAACGTTAGAGGAGAGGAACTGAGACAGCTGCGGCTTTTCTGTGCACAGTTGACAGAAAGTGAAACATAGCGTACCAGAGTTTGACCATTTTTGAGAACATATTACTTTGAGAGGTGCCAAGTCTCCTCGTGTACTTGCGTAAAACATCATTTATGGAAATCTGTGATCGAATAGCAATGGTTTATAGTCCTCATTCTTTATATTTTGTTTAGAAGTGAATGTAGAATCGTACCAAATAGTAGTGAAAATACATCAGTAACTCACAGATCATGATTTTCAAGGTTTCCTTCTTCAGCGACTAGAAGCTCGTATTCCTCGGCGGCAAACCTGTCCCAGTCAGAAATCTCTAGCCCGTCACCGTCATGGTCCTAAAAAGAGGCAGAAAACAAAATGAGATAAGTGAGGCTATAGGACGAAAAGTGCAACTCGTGATAGATGTGAGATTTTTTCCCCTTTTATTCACTCAACTTTTACATAGTACTGATAAAAATTAAGTTCTTTTATTTAATTTATATTGTAACTATGGTTACCACGAATCATACCAGTATAGGCAGCAATGACGTGTCATGACAAACTAAACTGTGCTCACTTATACTAGTAATAAATGTTGGTTCTCTGGTGGGCTTTGCAGTAACACAAAACAGTTGAGCGTTGCAGTCAGATTTCAGCGAATCTGTGATACTCCATCTGTATTCAGTTTCCTATAAAATATACAGTAAAGCCAATTTACAAAAAAGATCAACTGCTATCTAAGAACTGTTTGTTCTACTATGATTGAATTTAAATATGACTAACATTTGTGCAGAGCATGCCTTAAAAATATTTGTATGGTTGTTTCCATATTTTTCATATGACAAATGCCCCCGCAGCATTTCATATTCCCCACAGCGTGACAGGAATTGTCTATTTCGTTACATTTTCTAGTTCAATCGACTAACTTTTCTTCGTTAGAATAAACTCCAAGGACTAAACTGATTGTTTTACTGGATGGCAGAATGTTAAAACTAAATAAATGAATAAATATACGGCTACAGTGATATGTTATATGGACACCTACGCTCCTCCATAAATCGTCCATAATGTGAGTAGTCCATAATGACGAGATAAAAATGCATGTATTTTCTCAGTTTGTCCCCGAAAATGGTGTCTATATAGCGGGGTATCCTTATTAATGGGGTCCATGTAAACGAGACATGACTGTATGTGCAATTTCTGTTGTTTGTTATTGTGACTGTTGTGAATAAAAAGGGCTGTTACGATAACGTATAGCCATTCTAGGAGACGTGCAACCAACGCTAAAAAACGTATTGAAGATTAAACTAAATGGTGTGAAACTGTATCATCACAAATTCACCAGCCATCTGATTGTTTAAATCACCAACACCGTTTATTTTCGTTCAGGGTCCTTGGGGCACTGGGGGTGGCAATAAAACAATGTAATTGTAATTGTCGGTCTTCTGTGTTTTTTTTTTTTTAGTCCTCTAACGCACTTGTTCTAAAATCTATTTTCTTTTCAGTAATCTATGAAAACTACGGGCTCAAACTTTGCAGTTCAGAAGGAGAATTCCTCCACGCATGTGGTTGTGCAGCGAGTACACCCAAGAAAAGTAAGAATGTGTACTCGCAATTTTGGGACAAATGCAAATGAAATATATGCTCGTGTTTAATGTTTAGGGACTTAACTTAAACACCGATACACAATGAAAAAAAAAAAAAAACTTGGAGGACGCTTAAACTTTGCCTTTAAGAGTGCAACGCGATCGCATTATCGGGCGCCATTCGCATCGTCTTCTCATTCGCTTCTCATGTTCTTCCTGCCAGTGAGCAGAACGTGTGGCGGACATGGCTTAGTCAATAGTGTGTCTTTTAAGAATTAATTACTTTATGAAGTGAAATCATTTGAGATATGCGACGACCTTTGATTTGCATTCCATGTAATGCTTTTTAGTCCCTTTCATTCCACGCGTGACGTCACGTGAGCGTTGTGGGTTGTTTGAAGTTCCCGCGCGAGGTCATATGGCTGTGACGTCATGACCCTATCGACCAATCAGGATTTTCCCGTTACGCCACCGACATCTGCTTTTCTGCGACACAAGTTCCTTAACGCTATTCTGTTAAAACCTGAGCCCTTACCCTTTGAGATGCAAACGGATCACGCTGTTCATGATCCAGATACTTTTCCAGGTTAAAGAAAGTGTCGAAAAAGATGGGCGTCATCTTGCACCTCTTCAGGTCCGCCAGGGATACCTTGTCCTTCTTTCGCGGCTGGATCATGTCCAACATCTGGAGTGCATATTGGAAGGTAAGCACTTGGGGTCATGGGGATACTTTGTCGAGACATCACAATGTCTTCTCTTGATGTTCATACATCAAGATGTGTGCCTTGAAACGGTATTTATACATTTGCTTCTGACGTTATAAGCAGTTAGATGCTCAGCAAGAGCTCCAAAATTAATGATTCTACCAAATGGTTGCCCTAATTAGTAAATTAATTAGTTTCGGCATTTTGGAATTAGGAAAAATAATTTAGTAACAGAACATATAAAAATCGAAAATCACTTCACTAACTTTGTTGTACAGAAAATTATGTCTGGCATATTTTTACAGCAGTCATAGCGATTGCTGAACAAGCAGCATGAAAGAGTGTTTTTTTTTGTTTTTTTTTTTTTGTATGCATATGGTAGCGTATTGTGGACAAGCGGCACTGCGGCATCAATTCTGCCAGGGTTACTTCGCCACAGTGCAATTATGTTGGAGGCGAAACCCTTTCCCCTAAGTTGCATTGAAAAATAATGCCTGCCCCCCTACTTTCCTGCAATGCACACAAGAGGCCCATCATTGCGATCTACAGTTTACGCGTCCAGGGATTGACGAGGCGAAAAAAAAAACGGTTTGGCTGGAAAACGCCTTCTGTTTAGAGGCGATAGGCAAACAAAACGTCATGCTCAATATCCCTGTGCAGATTGCGTTTACAAACAACCATTTCTTGGGCCTCGCCACCCACTGGATGCATTGCTTAGAACGGTGATTGATCCGCCGTGGGCTCTGCCGAAAAGTAGATGAGCGGGCATTTTAGAATGTACAAGGTGTGACTAAAACATTCCGGGACTAGTTTTGTAGTGTTAAAAGAAAGGGTAGCAATGGTGATGCGTACACAGCTGTTGAAGGTAGGGACCTTCATGCGTCATTTTCCTAAAGGACATCATTCTATGAGAATTCGTAGCTGTGTCACATGGGTTTTTGTGACCATGTGTACGAGCACAAAGCCGATTTCAGCATGGACTGCAACCAAAGCGAACATCAGTCCTACATCAAACTTGGCAAATCGGAAAGAGATACATTTGGCTGAGTCGGCAGACTTAATAGCGAAAAAGAAGTGAGTCGTGCGAGGTGTTTTGAGGGGTGCTTGGATTTCAGGAATGGCAGAACATCACTGGAAACTCACAAAGAGAGGTAGTGCGACCTTCCCAGACTTCCTTCTTCTTCCACTAAAGTTCTGTCATTCTTGAAGTTCGAGCGCCACTCGAGAGGCCTCTCATGAATAATTTTGTTTTTCGTAAGTTTGTTGACTCATTTTGAGGACTCTGTTCCAGATTTTGCCAGTTTGACGCAGAATAGAAATTCCTTCCTTGCTTTATACTGAAAGTGCCGATGAGCTCGTGCACGTGGTTACAAAACTTCGTGTAGTTCAGCTTCAATTGTTCACAAAGCGACGCCATTTGTCCTAATGACACATGAACACCCTCGACAGTTGCACACGCATCACCGTCCTTCGACAGTTGCACACGCATCACCGTCCTGCCCTCTATTTTTACGCCACAAAATAAGTCTCGGAGCTTTTTGATCGCACCTCGTAGATATATAGTGTGTCCTGTTAAGCCGAGAATATATTAACCTTTCTAATGCTGATGTGATTCATTAACCACTTTATTTTAATCAATGTTAGAACATTTAAAATGTTTTGTCATGTCCACGCTTCTTTATCATAATTTAAATATTAGTTTTAACTATATCTATTATTTCTTGAAATAATGCTCGTAATAACTGCTAAGGTGTGGCCGTAAATGTGCAATAACTTTGTGCGTTTCCTGAGGGTTGCTGTTTTAATAACTCTATGCTGAAACTATGGCAAAATTGAGTAAAGCAATCTGCTCCCAATTCTTGAAAAAGCTTGCAAATTTTGCGTATTCCTGCATAGTACAGGGTGACACAAGGAGACGCCAGGCTCTTTAAATCGACCGGAAATTCGGTTTCTTAACCTATCGTGCTACGACTTTGTGCAGCGTTGCCCACAGATGGTGCTTTTTTTCTTTTTTTGTAAAATTTGCAAAGACGAATTTACCTGAGGAAAAAGTAAAGAAAGAAAAAGGCTTAGTTCTTATGGAAACGCAGCGACGCCACCGGTCTTCAAACAACACGGCGCCGTTTCGCACGGGAGACAAGAGATGGCGCAACGAACGCCGTCAACGAACGAGCATACGGCGCCGAGAGCCAGCGTCTTTAGCAGACGAAGAACTGCAGTTCCTTGTTGTTATCGCGCCTGTTTTTGTTTCTGCGACTGTCACCGCCTGCGGAACTCGCGCCGCTTTTGAGTCGAAAAGATTGTCTGCTAAAGACGCCGGCTCTCGGCGCCGTATGCTCGTTCGTTGGCGGCGTTCGTTGCGCCATCTCTTGTCTCCCGTGCGAAACGGCGCCGTGTTGTTTGAAGACCGGTGGCGTCGCTGCGTTTCCATAGGAGCTAAGCCTTTTCTTTCTTTACTTTTTCCTCGGGTAAGTTCGCTCTTTGCAAATTTTACAAAAAAAAAAATGCACCATCTGTGGGCAACGCTGCACAAAGTCGTAGCGCGATAGGTTAAGAAACCGAACTTTCCGGTCGATTTAAAGAGCCTGGCGTCTCCTTGTTTCACCCTGTATATAGTCCTCCTTCATTTGTCTAGAATATACGGGTGATATTTCAGAAGCATACATGAGTCACAGTATCTTCATGAGACTTAAATTGAGGCACTGAAAGAATTACTTCCACATTCCCAAGGCTGATGACTAACGACAAAATCAAAAGGAATAGGTTGAACCTATAACATAGTTAAATAGCAGCACATACCTGGCAGAGGCAGTCTCCAAAAGGTAGCGTCTCAATGCCAAGTGCCTCCATGCGTGTCAGTTGCTCCTCGTAGAAGTAATCCAACTCATACATGGACAAGTACCCATCGCCATCTATATCCATGCACCGGAACCAGTACTCTATGCTGAAAAACAAAACAAAAGAAAGAGAGCTATTTGTTAGAACTCAGAGCAAGCTGCCCACAGGGGCGATGTGAGCTTTGTGTTTCCATACGTGGCTGGCATACCGTTCACCATTTTGGAGTAGGAATATTGCGTTCTTGTGCATCTTATATTTTCCAAGCCTTGGCTACATAGTTTGAGACCGTATATGCAACCACAGCTGCAACTGCGATTTTGGCAGGTTGTTACACGACATATCTGCGACAATCACTGAATCTTCAAAGCCGGAAAAGAACATTAAGAATGCACAAAAATGCAGGATTTTATCATGAAACAATTAATAGGCAGCACGAAAAATGTGTGAAACATTATGCTCACTCTCCTTTATTGCATTTTGGTCCGATAGTACCTAATGAGTACGACCATTTTTAATGAAACTGCTGTATTTCTAAGCTATGAAACAGGCTATAGGATTCATAAGTAACTTTAGTACATCTATTCTTTTGTATATTGAGGTTTTGGAAGAAAAGTAAATGCAGTTACAACAAGGTCGTTGGGGCAAACCACTGGGCAAACATAAATGGTCAACGTGCGCCCGAATGCGTGCATAGCGTAGTGTACTGATCATAATGTAAAAACAGCGCAACCACACACGGACGAAAGAGAAGAAACACGCAGACGGTACAAGCGCTGCCGTCTGCGTGTTTCTTCTTGTACAATATTCAGTACAAGTGTACTGAATATAGTCGCGTGAACTTTCCATCTGTAACGTTTCGAGTGGCTGCACATAGACAAGCTATATAACCTGGTCAAAACAACACAATCTCTCCCGCCTGAGAAGGATGTTTCTCCCAACGCGCTCTAGCGGTGCTGGGAAGCAGCATAGCGAGGGGCTGCCATGCGCAGATACGCGCCATAGTTTTGCAAGCTTCAAAAACTCTTCTGATGTACGAATGCAGCAATTGCGTTTTGACTTACATCTGTGTGTGTTACCGATTAAATTTAGTACGGTACAGGCAGTGCAACCCGAGAGTTTTAACGTGGAAGATGTTATATGAGAGTACTGGGCACATTCCAGCGTGACCTAACTGCGTCACGGAAGTTCGCCATGGAAGTGCGTTACGGAAGTGTGTTATGTCTCGCGTGAAGCATTGCCCGCCAAATTTAGCAGATGACGTTCATGGGATGTCATCAACGTAACGGTATACCGACCGCGTGACCAGGTCACACGTAGATGTCGGATCACGTGACACGGTGGCGTCGCGTGACATCGTCATGTGACCGTCCATCAGGTCAGGTGACTACGTGACTGCTAATTGTACCGACCATCTGACCGCCGTGCGTAATCTACGTGCGACGATTTCGTCAAGAACAATGAAGATGCTGTACTATATATGACCATAGCGTCTGTCGTCCTAAATTAAATCAACAGACAGAAGCAACAATGCGTTCGAAGCTGATCGTGACTCGGAAGGCGCATACGCGGAGCAAGACGGCGGAACCAACGGCACAAAAAGCGAAGGATGCCAGCGCGGCATGGTCATAAGCACCATGACGTCACTAAAATCGCGGTTTGCGATGACGGCGTTGGTCTTACGTCAGTCACTGCTTACGCTCAACAAGCACGTAAGTAAACTCTCGGAATCAACTGCGCTCGAAAGTGAAAAAAAAAAAAAAAAACTGTTTTTTTACACTCCGTTTAACGTTCTTAGTTAGCTGATTTAGAACGGATTGTTTTAGTGTGCAGTCTGTACAACTTCGCGCAAGTTTAGAACGTGAGTAGGCACAAGGGACAAACATAAAACAGGATAGAATTTTTCCCTGCTTCTTTCCGTACGACCTTTTTGACGCCCACAGCGCGTAAGTCCTCTTTAGGGCATCTCTTTAATTACAACTTACAGTAGAGAAGAGGCACTAACCTCCTGGGATGCCTCTTGTCTTCTTCTGACATGATGAACCAGACGAACTCGCTGTAGCTCATTTTTCCTTCCCTTTGCACGGGACCCCTGTCAGAGGACGCACAGTGACAGCGTGAGAAAAGAAAGGCTCCAACAGCACCGATTCTCACAAAAACGTCCAGCAGTCGCCATAAAGTCCCATGGATTTCCTATATGGGAGCTATACGGACATCATTACTATGAATATCCTGGTTCGATTACAGGTTATCGTAGCGCCAATTTTACTGCCCTCACCGCCAATCAATGCGTTTGTTATCATTCTTTTTTTTACAATTTAGATTGATTTGTTGAAGGGCATCCATGGCGCACCTTGAATGCACCAAGAATGCCCCGAACTCGCGCCTAAAATTCACCTGATTAAGGTGCTGGTGCACAAATATCACAACACTGGGAACCAGTGTATGGACGCGTGCAAGATAAGATTGCAATCACTAAATATAAATAAAGCCTTTTTTTTTAGCGTTGAAGCGAAAGATTGTGCAGGGAAAAAAGCTATATACCTACCTTGTCACGGCACCGGAAAATATTCTTTCAATCATCCGCATAGAGATGGCTGAAATTAAAATTGGAATCGATCTTTTGTTACAAAGCTAAAATCAAAGGACAAAGACTAATTCCAATCAACCAATGTTTTTCGGTTTTTTTTTTGTTTTTTTGGTTTTTTTTAGGAAACGTTTGCATTTCTAAACGTATTTCCGTTCCCACAGTTTTTCTGAAGAAAGCGCTACTACTCAAAGCTCTGAGGCGTCCTTCGATTTACCTCCTGTCCCTGTGTGCATCCTTCAAAAAGGCATGACTAGCATTGCCTATGGTTCGAAATATGAAAACCTTGATAAAGCAGAAAAATTGGCCTCCCTCCAAATATTGCAAATAGAGGAATTAATGGAATTTGTTGTTCTAATAAAATATTATTATAATAAAAATAATTACAAGCACAGAGTCACCAGACAAAAGACCCTAAGACATTCGGAAACCTTTTCTATCCCTATGGTATACACAAATTACGGACGACGTTTAAGAAAATACTATGTTCCCTCCTACTTTAATAAACTTCCTCAAGATTTATGCGACTTGCCATCTTTAAAAGTAGCCAAACAGAAGCTCAAGGAATGGTGTTGTCGGTTTGAATTATAAATGTTATCAATTCTCATGTATTATCTATTTTCCCAGCGGACTCGTCACCACGATTTTAACATTCTGTACACTTGTTTTGAGCATGGATGTGACTGCCATCATTTACTTTTGTTTTGAGCGAGATGTATGCACTGTTTGAGTGCGTTGCTGGGTTGCCATGGTCCCGCACACAAGCGCTTGCGCGCTTAAGTGGGCCATTGATTTCACTGTACGAAAGACTGTGCAATAAAGGATTTATTATTATTATTATTATGACAGTTATAACTCCTTCCTTACTCTGCACTGCATCTTTCGGGTCGTATAGTTGCAATTTCTCTTTCTCTGTTCATTGTATGTCTCTGTTCAATCTTTACGTCCTATTGCTTCTCATATTTCGAACAATTAATCGAGGTATACACTTATTTTGGACCGGACATATGTGCCAAGAAGGGATCACTGACGCGTGTGATGTATCAAACATGACGTTATATCGCCTTGGAATTCGGGCGTGCAAGCGTTCTTACGACGTGAAGCGAGGACTTACCTCCCTCGTTGTGTCGTGACAAGTCGTACCTGTCGATGTACAGGTCGTGGTCTTTGTCGAGTTCCCAGAACTTGCAGTAGATGACGTAGAAATGCTCGTACGAGAAGTACTCTGTAATCTGGTTGATGTCCTCCTCGTCTTCCAGAAGTGACAGCACCTGGAGATTAGCGTCCACGCTAGCGTTCAGCTTAGATCGTTAGTGACTGTAGACTGCGGTACTCAATTACTTAATTAAACCGGAATCCGCAAATTATCCATTTTTTTCTCTATTGCAGCTATGTTCAAGGGCAATTTTATCTTAAATTGTGCAAGAAAAGTGTTTAACAAATTTTAAATTAACTGTAGTATAGTTTGACCAATTTCATAACTACAACAACCGTACCAATTGTATTGTATTTACTAATTTGGTTCTCGAAATATTTTGTCCTGGAGGTAAAAACGGGCGGTCAGAAAGTTTTGCCGTCACCGGTGGCGAAATTGAAAGCATTTTAATAAACATTTAATTTATTGACACTTAGGGCAACTTTCACATGACTTCTGCTTTTAGACAGTGTGCTTTAGTGGCTGCTATATATTTTTTAACTTTATCGTTTGAACTAAAAATGGTCAAACTTGGCACCGAGAACATTAAAGTGCTAATTTTGGACTATAATAGCTGCACGCACTGGGGCATGAATATTTGTAAAAGTTCAAGCAATCGGCCCTCAATAATCCAGGAAATAAGGCAAGTACTAAGGCCAATTATCTGAAAAAGGGCGATTTTTACTATTTATTTTTGGTGTGTGAAAAGTCATGTGATCGTTTTTAATGTGGCCATAAAAAATTACATGATGCATATTATTCTAGTATACGTGACGCCGTTGCCTTGAAGATAGATATTTTGTGCCTGTTTGGTCCCGTTTTGGCAACACTTATAACGCTAAACAGTTCTCCAGAGGAAATCTATGTTTCGCGCGTGTGTGTGTGTGTGCGCGCGTGTGCGTGTGTGTGCGTGCCTGAGTGTGTGCGTGCGTGTGTGCGTGCGTGCGTGCGTGTGTGTTTGTGCGCGCGTGTGTGTGCGTACGCCTGTGTGTGTGAGTGTGTGTTTTAATTGAATAGGGTAATTTTGTAGCAAAAAGACTTACTTGTAAGAAATTGCTTTTCCTGAGTTCGGGAATGGTAATCCTGCCACTCCACGATCTATTTACACAATAAAATATCCTAGCAATCACCTGCAAAAAATATATATAAAGAGATATTAAAAGAAAAGTAATTACATATCAGCACATAACCTAACACGACAGTCACAAAGGGCTCACGAGGACACAGTCTAATAACGTGAATATTTTGTGGGTTCTTTTTTCTGCTTAATTTCTACTTGCTACCCTCTGTAATACCACTATGAGGCTGTTACATTAATAACTATCGCCTGATACAAATGTATTTTGATGGCGTGTGACATAACACTACAAATATGTAGTGGCATTTTTACTTCGCATGCCTAATAAGACGTGTGGTTGCCATTAACATTAAAATTCAACATAAAATTTACACCGAGCGGTGTAGGGACTGAACTATACGCCGTCAAAGAGCAAGACATAAGGACATAATCTACCTCTACGGTTTCCATTAGACATAAACGTGTGTAGGGGGGAAACATAGGTGGCTCACCGTATTAATGTATCTTGAGTGGAATTCCACGGCTTCCTTGAGAAATGTCAATCCTGGATGAGTGTCTATCACATCCTGTCGAAACAGTAAAATGAAAAGTGAAGTATCTTATGCCGTATTTGACGTTGTCATTCTTTCCAACAGTAACCATTACGTTCATTAACAGGAGCATCCATTGTTACTGACCTGTGTAAAGTTGTACATACCTGCATCATTGGAATAAAGTCGTCGGGAAGGAGATAGTTTCTCGTCCCTTTGCTTAGAATCTTGACGAACCAGGTTGGTTCGTCACGACCCCCAGAGACTATCCTGGAAGTAATGAAAATTATCCTTTACCTCAATATTTCCCTGCTGAGATCGTATCTATACTATCAAAACTTATTATAGCTAAACGCATACTTTTCTTCTTTTTTTTTTTTTTTTTTTTTTACTGTGGAGTTGTTAAGGATTAGTTTCCCCAGGATCATGTCCGTCCTCAAATCACCAACCTTTCGAGCCTTTCCACTCTGTCTTGCCGAATTGCGAACGGCCCTTACTTCATTCCCACCATAGTACAGCTTCGCTAATCTTCCTTCTTCACCAAAAAAAAAAAAAACTAAAAGTTTTTTTTTTTGTTTTTGTTTTTCTAAGAAGGTCGCTATTTATTATTACGCCGCCAGACTGATATCTGTCGCGTCCATTCCCATCGACGGAATCTAGTTATCGCATTATTGTGACCCAGGCCACAACTCCAAATAAAACTGTCAATCCACGAAAAAAAAAAAGAGAGGTTTGTCAGTTAATATTATTTATTTACTACTGTATATCCCGACGACTGGGGCCCCATGCTGAGTAATGGAGGAGTTTTCATCGAGATACTGGGGTTCGATAGAAACGAAGCAATACATTTGTTTCTGTTGTTTATTCACGCATGCTTTGCCAGTGTTATTAATTCGTCTGCATTGAGAGGCAAACATCGAGAAGAAAATCAAGATACGCACCTCTTCCAGAAACCCGTAAAGTGATCGCTCGTGACGTATCCCCTCGACTCGCCGCCGCACGCCACGAACAGCGGCATTTTCCAGTACAGGGGAATCCCGCAGGCCTTAAATGGAAGCGAGAGAGCGCAAAACGAAAGGTCAATCGAAAACAAGTCATTGAAATATTCTGTACATTTCCGACGTTCCTGTACACATACAGTTTACTTAAAGCACGTACTACATACACAGAAACAACAAATCATGAGTCACAAAGCAACTCACAACTCCGGAATTATGGCCATTCACTTTTCCTGCGCGAAATAAACATGCACTTTCGGCACTCATTTCGTCGGGGTCACCTCTACCGTAAAAAGGGTTGCAAACATGCTGCCTTGTCTGTTTCTCGCCCATATTTCGCATGAAACGATTTCACGGGGTTCGTGAACTGTGTCTCCAACTAAGACGAATTAGTGCAGGCCATAACTATTCGACGTGGTCGCCAAAACAATCTCCGCTGAAGCAATTTCAAGCAAATAGTTACCGCTCCCTCGTGCTGGAACGCGAGGGAGGGATAACATATCCGCTTTCAGCACTCCAGCAAATGGAGTGCTGAAAGGGGGTGCAAGCCGCCGAAGCACCTTTATAACACCCAAAAGGGTGTGCCCGGGGCTTTTATACTCTTTAAACGTAAGAGGCGCGCATGGCACAAAAGCACTCGTTTTCGCCGTCCCGCAACACTCGGAACTGTGCAGGGAAGGCCAGCAGAGCGCGCACGCAGTAATGGCGTCTTCGTTTGCGGAGAGTGCAATCAAGAAAGAGGGTAAAACGATCCACCAAAAACTACCTATATCATGCAGCCAGTGTCCCTTACCCTGGCGATGGCGGCGAAGTTGCTGCGGGTGGCCCTGCCGTCGCGGAACACGGCGAAGGCGGCGCACACCTTCTTGAGGTGGCCGTCCACCTGGGCTGCGGTGAGGGGCTTTCCCTGCGGGTAGTAGAACCTCGGGATGCAGGTCGCCTTGGCCGAGGACCGCACCACGCGCTTCAGGGACGCCGTCTGGGAGTCCACGAACGCCTTCTCGTGGGGGCTCTGCCGACGGGGGAAATGGCGAACCAAGAGCTCAAGACGCGCTCGGGTGAACGACATCGATGAATCATCTTGAAAGAGCTGCGCGCCGGAGGTATTTACAAGTACCACTCGCAAGATGGCTCCTAAATAATACCTCAGGCCTTACCACTTCCAGGTGTGCAATGAAGAAGTCACACTGAGGTACGCTAGAGGCATTTAAAAATTAGTTTAAAAAAGGTAAAAACTAAGTTAGACATATAAAAAAAAAAAAAAACGAAGAAGGGACAGATGTTTTGTGTTTGTCCCCTTGTTCGTCCGTCGTCTCTTTTTTTTTTTTTTTTTTCAAATATGTGTAACATCAGCCAGCTCGCCTGTTTACTTACTCTTGTGAATCTGTTGCCAAGTCGGGCAGTGGAAGGGGGTAGTTGCGCAATTAATAATAATATTAATAGTAAGAGGTTTTAATCACAAATGTAGCTATATATAAGGTTCCGTGCTTTCGGTAAATACCGATAAACACCAAAAGTTAACACCAGAGTCGGTTCTATCCAAATCGGTGAAAAGCGAAAAAAATCCGAATAGGAGCCAGTCCTCGAATGAGCAATTCCCAAGTTTCACGGGGAGTCAAAACCTTAATGTACGGCTTGTGCTCAGCCGGAACACAGCCCCCGATGTCTGCGAGGCTTCTTGTTTCAGATATCTTGTCTCTTTTTCTTATCGGTACGGGGACGCTTTCCAAGTATCACCTGGAGGTTGGAAAATGTCGTATCTTATTTTTTTCACCATAAGCCTCGATATACTCCGATCTTTTTTTTTTTTTTTTTAATATATATACCGAAAAATTCCCAATCTTTGGCGAAAATACCCCCCCCCCCCCCCCCCCCCGCCCCCAAAAAACAAAAAACACCCTAAATTAAAAAAAGAAAGCTTCCAAGACACGAACTATGTTGAATATTGGGATTTATGAAAGCCTGTAGGGGCTTTGTCATTGTCTTAGGCGAAACGTGTACGTCGGTGTTTTGATCGAGCACTTGCAGCCTGAAGATGAGCCTGACGTGTTTGCCCGACGTGAGGTTTTTCTAACTTTTCCACAGCCAGTGAGAAAAACCTCACGTCAGGCAAACACCAGTACCACCACCACCACGCACAAGTATTCGTAATTAATCTATAAATTGGTGTTTATCATAGTGTCCAGGATTCCAATAATCTCGCGATCTTCGTGCTGGCACAATTTAATCACAATAATTGGCGGAGCTGGAAAACCAGATAGTTTTGTTCGGAATCCGCCACAGTATCGAATAAGTAGGTTTTAAAGATGGAATACTGAGTGAGGCCAAAGAATGCTGACAACTGCTTGAAGCACAGAGGCGCTACATTAATTAATAAGACAATTTTTTTTTTTTTTTTTTTTTACAGACATCGAGGAGCCGTCATATCCCGCAAATTAAAGTCTTCTTTGTTTCGTTTTATTGCACGCTGTACTCTACTAACGTCGACGCCATCGTGGTGAGGGTACCGAGGCCGATCTATTTTTGATTTCGAAAACGTACATTCGACCCAAACTGGTATAGAGTGTTCCAGGGAGGGTTTGCGCGAGAACTCCCAGAACCTACCCTTGGTGCAAAGCCAACTTTTTCCGTGGTATATACGAGCGGATGGTCTCTGGAGAAGGCACTAAAAGACTTCCCGCTCCAGTTGGCTTCCGGAAACTTTTCCGACACACGCTGTAGTAAAACTGTGTTACTTAAAGCGGGCGGCGTGTAGAAATACTTGCGGCGTAACGCGCTTAGAATTTTTTTTTTTTTCGGCACGCAGTAATGTTTGCGTTTGTGGCAACCAGCATGCCTCACTATGGGTGCTATTGGCTCAGTGCCACAAATGCAGACTTGGTTTTCTAGGTGGCTATAGTGACGACGTTTCTTCCGGCCTCCATGATTCGCGGAGCTCCATGTGAATAGTGAGCCTAGAGTGTCATTCCATATACTCCGTTTCACTATACGTCTGACCGCAGACGACAATGCAATGGAACCAATAGAGAGTTGGAATAGATGGTTCCGATATGAGTTTGATAAGGATGCTTGCGCGTGCATCGTGTCGTTGTCGGGGACTGCGTCTTTTGCGCGGGGGAGGGGGGGGGGGGGGGGGGACAGTTGTGGTGACGTCAGAAAGACGCAGAGCTCAGATTGGCTCCGATCGAAGAATAGCAGAGGTAGAACTCGAAGCAAGCCGCCTTGAGCCGCCTTGAGGTCTTCTACCCACTATCCTTTCAATCGGAGCTAATCAGAGCCAATCAGAGCCAACCCCCGCAAAAGAAGCGGATGAACTTGCGCTCTGCATTGGATCGGTCTATGCTAAAACTTTCTAATCAAGCAGCGCCAAAAATTGCATAGTCATAGCGCTTGTCGTCTTTGTTTGTTTGCTGTCACCGACCAGATTAATCAAGCACAGTAAATAAACCGCAATCACAAACTTCTTTTTTTTTTTTTTTTTTTTTTTTTTAATGCGCGATTGGTTTAGGTTGTGGTAGCAAATCCGCCTTTTCGTCGCACTGCGAATGCTATGAATACACTTTTCCAGCGCTCATCAACCGGGCGAAAAATGCTGTGGGCGGATGCGTGGGTGGCGTTTGGTCTCCGCTGAAAGAGAGTGAAGCGCGAGACACATGTGCGAAAAATCCATCCGATCCGACGTCCGATCCGGCAATGCGACTGCCTGATCCGAAAAATTTGGTCGCATCAGACGTCGGATCGGCGATCCGACGCGCGTCCAACGCGCCAGATACTTTCGCACGGCGGACGGATTGTCGGATGCGTCCAGCCAATGACAGCACAGCTAGCGCGAACGTGATGATGACGCACTGGCATGGGCGTACCAACCGGGGGGGCAAGGGGGGCACTTGCCCCCCCAGTTCTCAGAGTGGGGGGGCAAGGCATGCGTTTTGCCCCCCCTGAAACGGCCGCCACTGGGCAGAGCAGACACAGGCCGGCGGCGCCCAAGGAATACCAAGGGCACTGCCACCCGACCCGCGCGGGCATATTTTTAACGCGCAGGCGATACAAACCCTAGCAGCGGTGCTCACGCACGCCGGATTGGCTGGTTCGTAAAGCCTTGCTCCACGAACAAGGCTACACGGTAACCTTACGGAATCCATCCGCGAGACATGGGCCGGACGGGCCGTCCAGACCAGGACGTAGGCCCTTACACAAAATAAAGTTTTGCTTGCTTGCTTGGAGATAGGCGCTGCCGCCGTCAACATAGGCAGCGGATACAATGCGAGTTTCCGAAGAGGTAGCGTAACTTAGTGGTGGTGAGATGTCTGCCTCATACGTGTCAGACCCGGGTTCTATTTATGGTGTGGGCCGGCTTACTTCTTTTTATTTTTTTTCTCGAACATTTTGTTTTGTCGAGGCATTTGGCGATATTTACATTTCTTTTTTACCATTAACACTAAAAAAACGAATGTTGTTGACGAAACATCGCTAAACTAAATCGTATCGACTCTATTTACGGAAGTGCATGGGGGGCAGCGGGGCTTGGGTTGCCGACCGGACGCCGCAAAGCGGCGTGTACGGGGGGTGGGGGGGCTAGGTGGGTTAATAGATTTGTAATTAGCAGCCGCACACCGTCACCGCGAAGCGGCGTGAACGCAGGCGCGGGGGTGGGTTAACGCGCTTCGAGTGATACACGAGCAGCCCATCCGGCGTGAGCGTCGTTGTTAGGGGTTCTATCGCCTGCACCGTAAAAGGAGCAGTGTGTGCACCTCCTGTAGTGGGCAAGAATTCCTACATTGGAGAGAAGCGGGGACAAGCCCTTTCTTCAAATGCGTCAAGTCTCCTTGAGCTTCGGAATACAAAGAAACGCCACTATTCGGAGCTAATCCCACAGTTACTCGACCTCTCTTGCGTCGTGTCTGTTCGCTCCCCGCGCCTCGTAGCAGTGTTGTTGCAGTGGGGGGGCTCGTTAAAATTTTGGGGTTTTTTGGACTATCTAAATCACTTTCTTCCTTCCCATCCCCCCCTTTTCTACTCCGCATGCTTCCCCCTCTGCAAATATCAGCTGACCTTCCGACCTCTGTTCTCTGTTGATAGGCAAAACAACCACTAAAATTAGAAAGTAATTTGTAATTTGAGTGGAAGTCACTCGGAAAAGTAGTTAAAGTAAACTACTAATTACTAGAATAGAAATGTAATTAAAAGTTACTAAACTACCCAGAAAAGTAGTTAAACTACAGTAACTTGAGTAAAGTAGTTGAACTACGTACAAGTCTGGCCTGGCAAGCGCTCTGCGTAAGTGTTTTCACTGATCTGCCTAGCCCCGCACACCATCACATGGGCCAAGAAAGGTGTAGTTTTACTGCAGAGGAGAAATCAGCAGGGTCCAAGATGGTGACAATGGAGGATGCGGGACTGTTCCAGTGGCTGATGGCTTGAGAAAGGAATGACCAATTGAAAGCGTTCGTAGAGCCAGAAGTGTGTTTGATGGTGCAGACGTTGTTGAGGCGAGAAGATGTTCGGTCGAGGGGTAATAACAAAGTGGTTTTGAGGTCGGGAATGTGGTAGTAGATTTTGTGAATAAGGCACAGCTGAGAGACTTTCCTGCGAAGCTGCAAAGAGGACATGGTTAGTTCAGTTTTTAGCGCCGAGACACTGAAAGAAAAGTCATAAGTGGATGAAATGAAGCGAGCAGCTCTGTTCTGAACTGCCTGTACAGCGTATTGATGAGGTACAGTCGATGGGTATTCCAGATGGTTGAAGCATATTCTATTTTTGGTCTGACGTACGTGTTAAAGGTTAGCTTAGGGACAAAGGGTGGAGCGATTTTTTAAGTTACGTCTGCTTAGTCCAAGAGTTCCAGATGAATCGGCGGTAATGACTTCAATCTGGTTATTCCAGGGAAGGTCAGATGTTAGTCTTACACCAAGGTATTTATACACAGTAGCGGTCTCAATCAGATCGGAGTCCAAGAAGTAATTAAATGACAGAGTGGTTTTTTTTCTTGGTGAAGTGGATTAGTTTGCGTTT